GAACAAGCCTGCCTCCGACTCGTATCAGAAAATTTGCGCTCCATGTTCCTCTCTCGAAGAGCCTCGCACACGACGAGTGATCCGAGATCCTGCCACAAACGATCAACCTCGCAGCGATGGCGCGTAACTTACGATCGTTGTACTGTTGTAAAATAATCATAATTGAACAAGAAAACGAGGACTACTACATGCCAGCACGTAATATGACGAAAAATATCACGAAAATATCACGAGGCTCCTGAAGAAATATCACGAAAATCCCCCTGGTCCCTATGCGCCTGATCTTCATACAAGATGCCCGACGAAATTCTAGCTGCTCGAATGAAAGTATCCAGAAGGATACTTCCGATAAACCCCTTCAAACTGCGGCGCATTAACGAGGAACAGCATTCACGACTTCGTTGCGTATCACAGCGCGGATTCGCGGAAAAATTGACGCAGCTGCAACATGCTCCGTTCTTGCGGATTTTTCCAGCTGCACAAGAACTGCTGCCCATTTTCTCAACAAGAGAAGACGACGGATCATGGAACAGTGTTGCTTGTGCGGCCGCTGCGGCTGATGAGTGAGGGTGACAACTACGACTAGAGCTAGTTGGTGGAAAAATCAATGGCGTGTCGAGTGTACCAGTCTGCGAGCAAATCGGCAGGAATCCACTCCTTTGCGCCGCGATTTGTAAAGAGGCTGAGCTTATCAAATGTAAAAGTGTCTGGGTCTGGAAGGATGTAACCTGTGATGCACATTTCAGAACACACAAAAAACTCTCATGCATAGGTAGCAAAAGCTGCCCATTTTCTGTCATTAAAGTGGGGGACTTGTCATGCGGGTTCGGCATTGCGGAAGCTTCTCGAAACCTGTGATGCTAGAGCTTCCATGCCAGACCTTCTGTGTCATGCAGAAACAGCATGACTCTTCCAGACCCAGACATTTTTGCATTTGATAGAGCTCTTTGTCGGCCTCGGCAACCGTCATCACGACCAGCTTCAACGGCTCGGGTCGTTCCTCTGGCACCTCTTCTAGGTGGTCTCTGAACATTTCTGTTTCAACTTGCGGTGTCGAGTTTCGAAAATTATCCGCAGTGGTGTTCTTCTTATTACCTGCACGGCTGGGTAGCTTCCTGCTGTTGGCGACCAGGCGAACCGCCGCCCGGACGGCGTCTCTCACCTGCGCTACGTCCCCCTCGTCGACGGCCAGTATGCCGCGAATGTTCAATCGGTCGCTCCACTTTTCACAACGCATTAGCATGTGCATCTGGGTGTGGAAAAGCCGGCGCCACCAGCCCCTCAGGCCCGCGCCGAGCAATTCAAACCGCTCGCGGAAACTATTGCGCTGCGTCTCCGAACGGCTCGTCACGTCGACCACATCGGCCACAACCAAAACCGGCAGACGCCCCGGGCCGAGAGCGTGCTCGAAGTTCGCGACGGCGGTCGCATTCGCCTCGCGTTGGCTCCAACCGAACCAGCCCTTCCACCCGTGTGGAAGCCGGCCCGCGTTTTTGAGGGAGTACTCCTTCGCGGCGTCCCACATGCGCCCACTCTCTCCCTCGCCCGTGCACTCGTTCATTCGAAAAGAAAGGGGCGCCGCTGCGACAACGGTCGGGCGCACGTCTGTAGTCAGGTTGAACCATTGTTTTTGGGCGTCTGCCATCTGCACCCGCTCACCACCAAAGAAGTCGATGCCGTTTTATGCAAATAAAAATGAACTAGTGTTACTGCAGTTCTTACACACTGTGAGGCAGCAAGACACACAACCTCTGTCATGCCCGAAGTGCTTGATGCGCATCTCTTTCCATGCTGGCCAGGGGCGATTTCACTTATGACCTCCGCATTGGTTGGTAATTGCAAGTTTGCTTTGGCACAGCGCAAATTTGTGTTGCCAAGTGTGACTGCAGCACTACTCTTTGTTCGCTTTCTCTTTGATACCTTGCGCTGCAAAAACATTGTCCCAGCGAGCTGGGCGTTCGTGAACAGGATCGCAGACACCACATGATAAATCGCGACACCGACGAGCGACCAGGGAGTTGGAAACAGTAGGTCGTCGTCTGTGCGCCTCACCAGCTCTAGGGCCCGATCGATCTCCGGCAGAGATGCGGAATGGAACATTTCGTCCAAGTACTCGTCATTCATTCTGGTACACCTTTCCAGCAATGCCGCGCTTTCGTTCACCACCCGGGCCAAGTCGGTTGCGTTCACCGCCCACCGGAACATGGTGGCCCAGGACCTCTCTTCGCTTCCGATAGTTGTATTTTGAGCGGCGAAGTGGAAGTCAGTGCTGCTATTATCGTTTGGTTGAAAGCGGCGCGCGTGCAAAGCGTCCCAAGATGTGATCGAATTTGCGTAGTACTTCTCGTCCTCGTACGGCGGGTCATATACGTGCCCAGTATCGTGACGACGCGCGGCCCAGGAAACCCATTTGTTATCGCTTCGGTCGAGCCTAGAAATGAAATTTTGACGCGGGAGAGAGTCTCCGCCAAGTGGCGAGCGTTTGATCACCTCCGCGTACTTGCGCGCCAGCTCCACTGCCCGGCGCTCGTCGACTACGATGACAAACTTCTCCCCCGCTTCAGTTCTGTTCAGCAGGGCCTCCTGTTCGGCGTCGTAGGAATCAGTGGGCACGCACTTTGGTTGCAGTAGTTCTCGGGGTTCCGCGCCTACTTCGCGAGCTGCCGCAAGCGCAAGAACATCGCCATCCGCTGGAAAAATAGTTGGCGACGTCAACGAGCTTTTCCAGCTGCAATATTCACGACCTCCGGATTGTTCTACCGCAGTGCTGTTACGCGTCGCATTTTCGCGGCTGTTATGATGATGTCCTGTGCTGTCTTCAGCTCCGCTCCGCGTCTCCTCACCGGGACCGGAGGGCGGCCTCCTCTTCATTTGACAAGGACAGTCAGTCTGCCACTGCAAAACCTGCAGACTGATCGCTGAGCTTTTCGGTTTTTGTCGCGCGAGCTCTGCGTTGGCTTGCCGTAGGCGCTCCGCAATCTATGGCGATGGCAGAAACTTTTTGCTCAAAAACTTTTTTTTTTTGGCATGTAAATCACCCATCGTGAGAACTAGATATGTTTTTTGTGGCGAATATGTCACCCATGAAAAAGGCGGATTTATATGTTTGTTGAGCTAGCTAGTCTGAAGGCAGGAACAGGTCGACGCTGGACGTCGGTTGCGTCGCGGATTCGGAACCGAATCCGTGGCCACATGAGCACCGGGGACCACCTTCCTCCTGCCTTCAGACTAGCTAGTTACATAGTATGCCGCCGTAGTGCCTTTATGTAAACAAGACCTGCCGGTAGCAGGTGGCACATACATAGCTTATGGCAAAATCATATGTGGAAAAAAAAAAAGTTTTTGAGCAAAAAGTTTCTGCCATCGCCATACAATCGGATTCGCGCTGATTACGTAGTCGCAGATCTCGTTCTTGCATATGGAAGACGAAAGCGCCGCACCCGATGAATTTCGTTTTTCGCCAAAAAGTACACCACTCAACTCCATCGGAGAAGAATCTCCTGCAATCTGTAGTTCTTCTCCTTCTTCGCTTCGGCTTCCATAATTGGGAGCAGCCGTACTAGAGGGCAGCATTCTCCCGGCTTGTACTCTTCCCGAAGATGTCTGACCTGCTCCGCCTTGCTGCTGCAAACCTGCTACACTTGTTGTCGCCTCGCCATGATTGTCGCCGGAGGTATGATCGACGGAGTGCGGCGACCATGCGCAGCCCACGTCTTGGTCTACGTCTTGGTCCTTCTCTTCCCGATTCGCATTTTCTGGAGCAGCAGAAGGCCCCCAAGTCGTTGAGCCGCCTGTGCCAACCGCGACACGCAGAAAACTTTGCGGAGTGGAGATCGGCAGCAGAGTTGCAAGAACTGCAGGACCACCTTGCTCCTCGTGCCCCGGAGACGTTTCAGCCTCGTCACTGTCTGATGGATGTTCGATTTCTGCAGCTTCCCACGTCGATGAGGAGAACGTGGCCGGTAAAGAACTGCTCGACTTCATCTGCGCGGCTCTTTCCTGCCTTACAGCAGCTTCAGCGAGATACCAACACTTCTGTGTCATCTCCAGTGGAAAAAGTACCAAAGTCGTGCGCTGCAAGAGACATAGAACGCCATAGTGCATGGAGGAGCGCGAGCCGCCCGCCCGTCTAAAAAACGAAATCATCTCTCTGGAACAATGGTCGCCGCACTTCTAGTTGCGACTAAAGCTGCACCGTACCAATTGGGATCCAGACGGACGTGAAGATATTGAAGATGGCATGATAGATTGTCAGTCTTATTTGTGTTTGTTTCTGATGCCCTTGCATAAGAAACGTCCTCGCGGACTACGACCCGCCGGTCGTGTCTATCCTTGGACGTTTGCAGCACCTTCGTGGTCACGACTATGCTAGTAATGCTCCTGCTTCCACAATGGCTATAATCTGAATATGTACGGAAAGACGACCCGAAGCGGATGACCTCGAACAAGCCTGCCTCCGACTCGTATCAGAAAATTTGCGCTCCATGTTCCTCTCTCGAAGAGCCTCGCACACGACGAGTGATCCGAGATCCTGCCACAAACGATCAACCTCGCAGCGATGGCGCGTAACTTACGATCGTTGTACTGTTGTAAAATAATCATAATTGAACAAGAAAACGAGGACTACTACATGCCAGCACGTAATATGACGAAAAATATCACGAAAATATCACGAGGCTCCTGAAGAAATATCACGAAAATCCCCCTGGTCCCTATGCGCCTGATCTTCATACAAGATGCCCGACGAAATTCTAGCTGCTCGAATGAAAGTATCCAGAAGGATACTTCCGATAAACCCCTTCAAACTGCGGCGCATTAACGAGGAACAGCATTCACGACTTCGTTGCGTATCACAGCGCGGATTCGCGGAAAAATTGACGCAGCTGCAACATGCTCCGTTCTTGCGGATTTTTCCAGCTGCACAAGAACTGCTGCCCATTTTCTCAACAAGAGAAGACGACGGATCATGGAACAGTGTTGCTTGTGCGGCCGCTGCGGCTGATGAGTGAGGGTGACAACTACGACTAGAGCTAGTTGGTGGAAAAATCAATGGCGTGTCGAGTGTACCAGTCTGCGAGCAAATCGGCAGGAATCCACTCCTTTGCGCCGCGATTTGTAAAGAGGCTGAGCTTATCAAATGTAAAAGTGTCTGGGTCTGGAAGGATGTAACCTGTGATGCACATTTCAGAACACACAAAAAACTCTCATGCATAGGTAGCAAAAGCTGCCCATTTTCTGTCATTAAAGTGGGGGACTTGTCATGCGGGTTCGGCATTGCGGAAGCTTCTCGAAACCTGTGATGCTAGAGCTTCCATGCCAGACCTTCTGTGTCATGCAGAAACAGCATGACTCTTCCAGACCCAGACATTTTTGCATTTGATAGAGCTCTTTGTCGGCCTCGGCAACCGTCATCACGACCAGCTTCAACGGCTCGGGTCGTTCCTCTGGCACCTCTTCTAGGTGGTCTCTGAACATTTCTGTTTCAACTTGCGGTGTCGAGTTTCGAAAATTATCCGCAGTGGTGTTCTTCTTATTACCTGCACGGCTGGGTAGCTTCCTGCTGTTGGCGACCAGGCGAACCGCCGCCCGGACGGCGTCTCTCACCTGCGCTACGTCCCCCTCGTCGACGGCCAGTATGCCGCGAATGTTCAATCGGTCGCTCCACTTTTCACAACGCATTAGCATGTGCATCTGGGTGTGGAAAAGCCGGCGCCACCAGCCCCTCAGGCCCGCGCCGAGCAATTCAAACCGCTCGCGGAAACTATTGCGCTGCGTCTCCGAACGGCTCGTCACGTCGACCACATCGGCCACAACCAAAACCGGCAGACGCCCCGGGCCGAGAGCGTGCTCGAAGTTCGCGACGGCGGTCGCATTCGCCTCGCGTTGGCTCCAACCGAACCAGCCCTTCCACCCGTGTGGAAGCCGGCCCGCGTTTTTGAGGGAGTACTCCTTCGCGGCGTCCCACATGCGCCCACTCTCTCCCTCGCCCGTGCACTCGTTCATTCGAAAAGAAAGGGGCGCCGCTGCGACAACGGTCGGGCGCACGTCTGTAGTCAGGTTGAACCATTGTTTTTGGGCGTCTGCCATCTGCACCCGCTCACCACCAAAGAAGTCGATGCCGTTTTATGCAAATAAAAATGAACTAGTGTTACTGCAGTTCTTACACACTGTGAGGCAGCAAGACACACAACCTCTGTCATGCCCGAAGTGCTTGATGCGCATCTCTTTCCATGCTGGCCAGGGGCGATTTCACTTATGACCTCCGCATTGGTTGGTAATTGCAAGTTTGCTTTGGCACAGCGCAAATTTGTGTTGCCAAGTGTGACTGCAGCACTACTCTTTGTTCGCTTTCTCTTTGATACCTTGCGCTGCAAAAACATTGTCCCAGCGAGCTGGGCGTTCGTGAACAGGATCGCAGACACCACATGATAAATCGCGACACCGACGAGCGACCAGGGAGTTGGAAACAGTAGGTCGTCGTCTGTGCGCCTCACCAGCTCTAGGGCCCGATCGATCTCCGGCAGAGATGCGGAATGGAACATTTCGTCCAAGTACTCGTCATTCATTCTGGTACACCTTTCCAGCAATGCCGCGCTTTCGTTCACCACCCGGGCCAAGTCGGTTGCGTTCACCGCCCACCGGAACATGGTGGCCCAGGACCTCTCTTCGCTTCCGATAGTTGTATTTTGAGCGGCGAAGTGGAAGTCAGTGCTGCTATTATCGTTTGGTTGAAAGCGGCGCGCGTGCAAAGCGTCCCAAGATGTGATCGAATTTGCGTAGTACTTCTCGTCCTCGTACGGCGGGTCATATACGTGCCCAGTATCGTGACGACGCGCGGCCCAGGAAACCCATTTGTTATCGCTTCGGTCGAGCCTAGAAATGAAATTTTGACGCGGGAGAGAGTCTCCGCCAAGTGGCGAGCGTTTGATCACCTCCGCGTACTTGCGCGCCAGCTCCACTGCCCGGCGCTCGTCGACTACGATGACAAACTTCTCCCCCGCTTCAGTTCTGTTCAGCAGGGCCTCCTGTTCGGCGTCGTAGGAATCAGTGGGCACGCACTTTGGTTGCAGTAGTTCTCGGGGTTCCGCGCCTACTTCGCGAGCTGCCGCAAGCGCAAGAAAATCGCCATCCGCTGGAAAAACACTTGGCGAGGTTAACGTCATTTTCCAGCCGCTGCAATATAATTCACGACCTCCGGATTGTTCTACCGCAGTGCTGTTACGCGTCTCATTTTCGCGGCTGTTATGATGATGTCCTGTGTCTACAGCTCCGCTCCGCGTCTCTTCATCGCCGGAACCGGAGGGCAGCGGCCTCCTCTTCATTTGACAAGGACAGTCAGTCTGCCACTGCAAAACCTGCAGACTGATCGCTGAGCCTTTCGGTTTTTGTCGCGCGAGCAGCTCTGCGTTGGCTTGCCGTAGGCGCTCCGCCATCGGATTCGTATGGAAGCGTCAGGTTTGAAATTCTCAAAGTTGAAAAAAAAATCTAGGTATGGCGTTTTATATAGAACTCTTAATACAAAACTAACATAAGTATCTATTTGGCGTGTTTATCTAGCTAGTTCAAAACTGCGCCCGCGGATGCGTCACGCATCCGCGGGCGCAGTTTTGAGCTAGCTAGTTAATCATCTGATAAACGCCACATGCATGCACGCCATAAGTAGTGTATTATTAAGGTACCTTAAAATTTTTTTTCAACTTTGAGCATTTCAATCCTGACATGCCCATAATTGGCGCTGATTACGTAGTCGCAGATCTCGTTCTTGCATATGGAAGACGAAAGCGCCGCACCCGATGAATTCCGTTTTTCGCCAAAAACTACACCACTCAACTCCATCAGCGAAGAATCTCCTGCAATCTGTAGTTCTTCTCCTTCTTCGCTTCCATGAGGAGCAGCCGTACTTCCCGACGGCAACATCCTCCCGGCTTGATGTACAACTCTTCCCGATGTCCGACCTACTCCGCCTTGCTGCTGCAAACCTGCTACGCTTGTTGTCGCCTCGCCATGATCGTCGCCGGAGGCATGATCGACGGAGTGCAGCGACTCGTAGCCCAAGTCTTGGTCCACGTCTTGGTCCTTCTCTTCCCGATTCGCATTTTCTGGAGCAGCAGGAGGCTCCCAAGTCGTTGAGCCGCCTGGGCCAACCGCGACCCGCAGAAAACTTTGCGGAGTGGAGATCGGCAGCGGAATTGCAACTGCAGGACCACCTTGCTCTTCTTGCGCCGGAAAAGTTTCAGCCTCATCACTGTCTGATGGCTGTTCGATCTCTCCTGCGCCTTCCCGCGTCGATGAGGAGAACGTGGCTGGTAAAGAACTGCTCGACTTCTGCGCGGCTCTTTCCTGCCGTACAGCAGCTTCAGCGAGATACCAACACTTCTGTTTCATCTCCAGTGGAAAAAGTACCAAACTCGTACGTTGAAACAGACGTAGTAGAAAGCCATAGTACAACATGGAGAAGCGCGAGCAGCCGCCCGCTCGTCTAAAAAACAAAATCATCTCTCTGGAACAATGGTCGCCGCACTTCTAGTTGCGACTAAAGCTGCACTGTACCAGTTGGGATCCAGACGGACGTGATGATGATGAAGAAGATGGCATGACTGTCAGTTTTATTTGTGTTTCTGATGGCCTTACACACGTAACGTCCTCCTCGCGGACTACGACTAGTGTGTCTATCCTTGGACGCTTACAGAACCTTAGTGGTCACGACTATGCTAGTAATGCTCCTGCTTCCACAATGGCTCTAATCTGAATAAGTACGGAAAGACGACCCGAAGCGGACGACCTGGAACAAGCCTGCCTCCGACTCGTATCAGAAAATTTGCGCTCCATGTTCCTCTCTCGAAAGGCCTCGCAAACACCGAGTGATTCCAGATGATCCTGCCACAAACGATTAACCTCGTAGCGATGGCGCGTAACTAACGATCGTTGTCGATACTGTTGTAAAATGGGGCCCCCTAATGGGGAACCCTAAACCCTGAAACCTAAACCAAACCCGGGGAGATCCCGCCGCGACGGATGCCCATCTTGTCAAGTGCGATCCCTACATGCATAGTTTTTTGGAAAAGGAAAGCAAAAAGAGAAGGATGAAGCAAAAAAAATTGAGCGAGGCGAGCGAATCTCTCGGCGGCCTATGAAGGACAATCCAGTGGCCAACCGGAAGTCCAACACAGTAGGGCTTCAGCTGCGCTGGCTCTAAACCTGTACAGAGTACAGACCTACGTACGTATGCGCCACACCTTCTCTCATCCGAAGTCGGGACGCATCCGAACTCTAAGCAAAGCGAGAAAACGATAAGGCAAGCGAGGAGCGATCCAACTCGGGCATGCGAATCAGGTAGAAGAGAGAAACCGAAAAAGCGAGCTTTTCCGAGGACCGACAAAGCATCTCATCACTGTGCAAAAACTCATATCCCTCATCACTGTGCAAAAACTCATATCGATACTGTTGTAAAATAATCATAATCAAACAAGAAAACGAAGACAACTACATGCCAGCACGTAATATCACGAAATATCACGAAAATATCACGAGGCTCCTGACGAAATATCACGAAAATCCCCCTGGTCCCTATGCTCCTGATCTTCCTGCAAGATGCCCGACGAAATTCTAGCTGCTCGAAAGAAAGTATCCAGAAGGATACTTCCGATAAACCCCTTCAAACTGCGGCGCATTAACGAGGAACAGCATTCACGACTTCGTTGCGTATCACAGCGCGGATTCGCGGAAACATCGGGTTTGAAGAGGTACTTAGCGACCACCAAAACGTAAAATATACTCAGCACGACTTCCACTCAAAAGATGTGGAGCTATCGCTTCCGGAAAAGAAAAAATAGAAGTAGAACTGACAAATGCCCGAGCTGTGTCTTTCTTGTCCCATGATCTTCAAATGCATATCTTATACCATCTTCATTTTTCTTGAGACGAAACTAAAGTGCGTCCCTGCAGTCGTGGCCCTCATAATTGTTCCCCCGTATCCCCGCCAATGACCTCTGTCCACATCTTCTCGCAGAATTCCGTGGCGGCGGTCTCGCGGTTTTCCCAGTCCGCCTTCATCGCCGACTCCAAAGTGGTCACTAGCCCGTCGCAGGTTCCCTTTGCGTCCGCCGGAGCTCCCGCGCACATCTTCTTGCCGTAGTCTGGGCCGGATTTCGCTTTGAACTGCAAATAATTTGAAGCAAGTGCTTTGTTTCTCATATTTGTTATGGGCACCATTGTGTTTTTTTTTTCAATGCTGTCTCACTAGAACCCGAGTGCCCAGATCATGTGCAGCTCCTTCGACAAATGAGCAGACTCGTATCTCTGATGTCTACCTCGAACTAGAAGACAAGCATCACCGTCATCATTTATCCTGCACTTGGGGGGGACGTGCGGAGGGGTTGATGGGGTTCAAGTTCACAATGAATAAAACAAAGCTTTGTAACTCGTACCAACGACGGCCTGAGCACCCCATTTTTGCAGTCGACGTTGAAGAGAATCTGAAACACGCTTTTGAAGGCCTCTGCCTCGTTAATCTGCACTTCCTGGCACTTGCCCGCCCAGTCCTCCCACACCTCGTTTACAATGTCGCACTTGACCCAGAAAAACATGTTGTGCCCGGCCCCGTAGCTGCCTCCGTCCCGGCCGTCCAACGAGTACCCCTCAGCGCACTGGTATTGTGCGCCTTTCACCGGGTATACTGAGTAAAAACGTCCCCATACCATACTTAGTCAAGATCCGCTAGACAAATCAACCAGCTATGGTTGTTTCGCATGACAGGTTTGTCCTGGTAGTGTAAACCTGTTTAGCTAGTTCCGAAGCAGCACAGATCTAGCATATCATGCTGATTCTAGCATCACAAATTCCAAAACACGACTCGAAGATGCAGATGGTTCTCATGAGGCTCCGCATGAGGAACTTTTTTGGCATGCAAATTTGCATCACAACTCTGGGGTGGGAACGTTTTGACTTCGGATACCGGGTCCGTGATGTTCGCAAACACCGCGTTGTGATTCTCCGGTCGGGGTGCCGGGCACCGGGGTTTCGGCACGCACCCGTACTCCTCGATGACCGTTTTGAAGTACCCCGCTTCCTGGCAAACCATCTTGGGCGGCTCGCCGACAAAGCCCTTCTGGCAGGCCAGTTGCAGTTCGTACCCCGGGTCAAACTCGTCCTTCCGCGTGTCGTCGCGGGGAATGTACGTGTTCTTGGGGAAAACGGTCGGCATAATGCACTTGACGTCCTTGGTACTATGATGTGTCTCTTCGCGGCGACGGGCATTTGATATTTTTGAACTTGTACCGCTACGCTTGGAACTACCGAAAAACAACCGGGAAGTCGACACAGAGGAGGTTCCAGAAGTCCTCGCAGAAACCTCCTGCGTCACAGCGAGGAACACCGTGAGGCGTCCAATTCTCCCCCGCGTCTCCCGACGCCGCCCCACCATGATTGGAGGACCTCGACCGGAGGAAGTTCTCGCCTGTGGACTAAAATTTGGAACGGACGAGGAAATGGCAAGTTGTTGAGTTTCTGTCTCGAAGAAAAATTGTTGACCCTTCTCGAACAACAATCAAAAATTGTAGCATCAAACTGGTCACGGAAGATCTTCTTCTTTTTTCCCGAACAACGACAGGCTGGAAAATTTGGCCAGTTGCTTCAGACTATGCGCGGCGAAGGGAATTCGTTCAATTTGTCGTTGAAATTTTCGTTCCAAGCAATGTGACTTGTTTCCCGGAGACAACGGGAAAGCAAAAGATAAAGATTTGCGGTGGCAATGTCCTCGACTGATGCTCACCGCAGAGCGCACCATGCGGAATCACACGAGAAAGGGGTAGGGAAAAGTCGCGCAAGACAACAGAAAGTGAGAAGATAAAACTACACATTGCAGCTGGTAGAATGATCTACAGAAAGATTAACATATGCTGTGCTGGGGGTAGAAAAATTCATCACTGAAGTAGACGTAGAGCAAGTTCACTTGCAAACCACTTCAAGAATACTTCGTATGTATATCGTGTAGAGGTACAACACGAGGTACGTTCAAGTTGATTGCATAGAAATACGCGCAATGGGACTAAAGTACTTCAAAAAGTAGTATGAAATTCACAGAGGCCGTGGCTATTTCCAGAACTTTCCTACTTTTCATTTTATGCATATTTCGCGTCTTTCGTGACAAACCACAAATTTAGCACAAACACCACGTACAGGACAGCGAAGACCGTTGTCGTGTTGCTATCCAGCGTGTACTCTCGCACGGCAGCCCAGCCCACCAACAGGAGTAGCGTCCCCGCCATCCAGATCGTGCCGCACTCCAGGCCCGGGGAACGCAAGGGGATCGTCACGACGCTTCCACTACTGGCGAAGACGTAGCACTTGAGGAACCAGGGCAGAGCCAACGCCACAAATGCATTCTGCACGTTTGACCCCAGCGCGTTCGCGATCGCCATGTTGCTCTTCCCGTCCTTGTATCAAATGCAAAAGTGTCTGGGTCTGGAAGATTCTGAGACTTGCCATGCATGTTTTGTATGACCCAGAATGTCTGTACTGCACGACCTAGCATCACAGATTTTTAGAGGGCTTCCTGATGCCTATTCCGCATTACAAATGCCCTCTCCACGTAGCACAGTCTGGGCTCCTCTTCCTGGTCATGCAATACAGATTTTTTTGGAGTCCAAAGATAGCATGACAAGTTTGGATCCTTCCAAACCCAGACATTTTTACAGTTGATACCTTGCTCGCCAAAAAAGAGGCCCACACGTTCGGCAAGGAGGTTCCCGCGGCACAGAGCGTGGCCCCCAGGAAGCCGACGGGGATTTGGTACGCTTTGGCCAGGTGCTGGACGGTGGAAACCATCAGGTTGGAGAAAATCCCGAGCCACAGCATGGACAACAAAAAGCACCAGTACCACCGGTGCTGGCGACTCGTCTCCTTCGGGTCGCACCAGCTCATGGTGATATCGTACAGAAAGTTGATCGGCGCTTCAAACACGAGCAGTAACTTCCGCGCGGTGCCGATGGTCTCCTCCTGCAAGTCGTTGGTTAAGTCCATCAAAGCGTCATTTGACATCACGCTCGCCCGCCGCCGCAACTTGGTGCTGGCGACGCGAGGAAGCATCTGCGGACTGGATTCGGTCGAGGAAGCGATCGACGACCGCAAAATCGGTACTACTGGTGGATTGTTATTCCTGTAACCGCTCAACACCTGGATTCGCTCCGGCGGGGCGTGTGCTGGTCTACTGTTGCTATTCATTTTGTAGGTCGTAGTACCATTGTTGTATCTACTTTTTTCTTCAAGCGAAAGAAAGTTGTCGCCGCTCCCTGCGGTCGTGGTCCCTGAGGTAGTTATTTGCTGGCGACGTGCAAGTTGTGAAGAAGAACCGGGCCGGTTGTAGTAGTTACCGTCATCGCTACTGGCCGTAGTTCCGGATGTCGCGAGATTGGGGCCCTGCTGCATGTAGATCGGGAGATTGTACTTGAACGGTCCACCGCTGGTGCCCTGAGTTTGCGATGGTCTAGCTGGAAGTGGTTGTTGTGCGGTCATCTCAATACGAGCGGAAGTGGACCCCAGATGAACGTCGTGTTCTGACGGTGCCGAACCCCCTGCTCCACCAACAAATTGGCCCGCACCCTGCAGCTGCTGCCCCGGTGTAGTTGTAGTAATACTTCCCGGGCCCCCGATCTGACCCCCGATGCCGAAGGTCATCTGCGTTCTGCGCAGCTTGGCCTGCTCCTCCAACTCGCACTCCACTGGCAACAGGTCGCGAATCAACCGCTCCTTGTCCTCGAAGCGCGCGAACTCCAGCACTAGCACGACTTTCTCGCCGTAGCTCCCTCGCACCTGCACTTGCACCTTACGGCTGCTGGGGTCCGCGTCTTTGAGGCAAATAATGTCATCGGAAGAAACCCCGGTGGTTTGGTGCCGTGCGTACGTCTTCGTATACTTTTTCGCCTGTTTCTTCGGACTCTGACTACCCGCTTGGTTGTGGTTGTTGTTTCTTTCCGTGTTCGGACTGATTTTTTCTGCTCCAGGAAAAAACTGCTCCGGGGGAGGGGCCGTCTGATTGTATCGGTTGTACGGCTGAACATTATTTATTGCTGCCGTCGACAGGTTCTTATTTCCGCCATAATTGCTCTGTTCCGTGCTGGTGCGCGAAAATCCACCAGACAGCTGCTTTTGAAGGAGCGGCTGTTGCAAGGGATGATGTTTCGTAACCTTATTACTCTGTCGCTGTTGTCCACCACCAGTACCAGCCAAAGCCTGATACAGCATGCCGCCCTCGGTGGCGGTTCCAATACTGCTTCGCATCGTTCCGTCAGAGGACTCTGCTGACTGGCTCAGCTGCTTCTCCTTAAGATTGTAAAAACCTTGATTTTCCTGCTTTGCCGCTACTTCGAAGGGAACACTTATCCCGTTCGCTGCTCCTGGATAGGTACTGGTGTGGTGCAACATTGCGACGTGGTCACCACCACCACTAGCCTGGTAAGCCTCTATGCGCGGCATGTCTGGGATGTCGTCACTGTCCTTCCGTGAAGAGGCGGGCAGCGACGGGCTCCGGCGCTGGATCACACCAGTCGCATTGTCTTGCTTCCACACCCCACCAGGTCTGGTGCCATTCTGCGCAAGAAATGGCTTGTCGAAGTGCGCAGGACCTCCGGTCCACTTATTGTTCTGGTCCATCTGCGATTTGAGTTTCAGCTGTAAGCCGGTGATGAAAATCTTGCCGTCCTTCCGCACGAGCAGGTGGTCGTGGAACCGACTGTCGTGGGAATCGATCATCCGATTCCGCCGGATCACCTTCACCCGCACGCGCGCGACCTCTGCGCCGTCCCGCAGCATTTTGGGCGGGACTTGCTGCATCAAGGATTCTTGCCCGAATTCCGGCGAGGCCACGACGTGCTTCGCCCGTTGCAGCGGGCTGCTGTCGGTGCTACCACCGCTCGTCGCCCCGCCGATGGAAGAGGGCGGCGGCCGAAGATACAGGGTGTTGCTGTAGTTGCTCTTGCTGTCGGCCGTGCTCTGGGATGAACTGCCGAAAAGCAATGGCGCAGTTAACGGAGCTACGGTGGCCGCGGTCGTCCTTTCCGATGGCGCTTGCTGTAGTCCAGCTGCCGGTTGGCTGCTGTAGGTTGAAGTTCTTGACGCGCGAGAAAGTGGGAGCTGCGGCAAAGGTGAATTCTTCACACTACTTCTTCGGATGGACGGCAACTGCAATGTGCTGAACGCTCCTCCGAGCGGAGGAGATGATGAATTCGTCTGCGCAATTATTTGTTCCCCGACTGCTGCTGCAGGAACTAAAGGAGGTTTGTTTTCCTTGTCTTGTTCCGTGAAAATTTCGCTCTGTTTCTGTTCCGGCGAGGCAGCTATTCCGAACAAGTTGTCGATGTCCGAGAGACCGGGGCGGTTCGCGGATTCCTGTCGGTTCTGCGCGAATGTGACGGGGTCCTCGATGCTGCTGTCTACTGAGGCCTGGATGAACGATCCCTGCCGGCTGTCGTCCTTGCTGTTTAGCTCCTGCCTGTCGAACAATTCCTTAAATTTCGCTTCCTTTTCCTGTTGCACATCAGTCGCGGTAGTTGTGACACCTGCGCGTTCACCTGCTCGCGCAGAAGCTGCGGAATTGTTGTTCGCTGCGCTCCCAGCATTCGCGTTCGACGTCGTCCCTAGAGCGAAATAGTTGAAGGCGGAGTCCTCGTTTGTTCCTCCCGCCGCCCCGGGTACAACGGCCAACGCTCCGCTCACATCTTGCGAGAGTGTCGGCGCGAGCACGAGCGTATCGAAGGATCCCGGGATGAAGGGCGCGGACGAGGTGAGTTGCTCGTTGATCTCCGTGATCTTGCTCAATTGCTTCGCGCGGAATTGTTCGAGACCACCCAACTGGTCTCCTCCGGCGGATGCTGGTCCTTCGGCGGAGGCAGTTCTGGAGCCGGCGTTGAGAATCTCCTCTTCCAGTTCCGCATTGTCGTCCTCCTCCGTGGTATCGTCCTCTGGGAAAAAATACGCCGTTGAGCCCACGCAAACCGCGTACAAAATCGCGCAGCTAAGCAAGACCCCGCTGTCGACTGCGCCCACTTCTCCCTTGAAGAAGAGATAAGCTAGTAGCACGATGGAGAGGGCGTAGAAGCCGCAATCGCGGCGAAAGGAGACCACCGAGAGCTCCAGGGGCATCTCCGGGCACGCGTACACCGCCGCGGCCACGATGGCCAGCAGGTTGAACACCTGCGTGCCGACCACCTGCGTGACCCCGACGTCCGAGGGAATCAGGAAGAGCGATACCAAATTCGTGATCAGCTCCGGGCCGTTGCACCCCAGAGCGAGGAGCGTCGCCCCGGCCACGTCCTCGGGAATGTCAAATTCCTCTACCACCACCTCGATGGCGGGCACCAGCCACTCGTCCGTGACGGAAACTTGGGCGTAGAAAATGTAAATCACGACCAGCCACCAAATCCAGCGCCCGTCCTCCTCGACGATCTTGATTTTCTCCTCCACTTCCTCATCCGTTCTTGCGCGGTTGTCGCTGTCTTCAGCCGGAGTTGAGGATGTCAAGAGGAGCTGCGCAAGGTCCTGCTGTTCCGAAGTCGTGGACGACTGTGATTGCTTTTCTGTGCTGTCATCAACATCTTCATCTGCTCCGGAGATCTTGGCGCTTGTTGCAATAAGGAGAACTGCTGGGGGTCGCTTATTTGGTTCTACTACTTCAGTCGCGTTTGCAAGGGCTACGCTTTGACTTTCAGCAGGACCTGACGTTGCACCGCTGCTCGTGTCCGGATTTTTCATGGTCGCCGACGCGGCTCTCGCATGCTCCGGGCAGAGCACGAGTATGTTGCTAGCCGATGCCTGGATCAGCAGCAGAAACTTTCGTACAGCAGACAGCATGTCCTCGTGGCTTGTTTACCAGTTCCCGGCGCTGACGGAGTGACGTCACAAGATCGCTTCCACCTTGTTCCCAGGCTGGACTGTTGCTCGCGTGGTCCTTATGTTTCTTTCATGTTGAAGATTCATCTTGTCGCGTAGGCGTACTATTCTCAATACTTTGAATAAACCTTGTCATACGATGAGGAAAATGAAAAGCCAAAATTTCCTGTAGTTTTGTTGTAAATAGAAGCTGTTTCCTGTTGTTCAGAAATTGCTCAAACGCTCGCTTTTCTTGTACATATTCTGCAGGAGCGGCTAGGGCATCGATACAAGTCAATGCTTGTCGAAAAATATAAACGGTTTACGGTTTTAGATTTCATATATCTTCTTTATGTTCAGGTGATTCGTCGAAGTCCGATCGATGAGCTTGTAGCTTTGAGCAGACCGAATTTCAAGATTTGGTAGTGATCTCAGGAAGGAAAGCCCGAACTGGCATTCGAGAAGCTTTTCTTGAGCTCCTCAGGTTGGAGCGTCACCGAGGATGCGGAAGCGCAAAGCTGTTGACCGATCCGTGCCTTAAATGCCACATTCATCACATACATCTGATTTCAGCCTGACGGTGAAACAGAAACTTCCACATTACTTATTACATCGATCGGCGCACACCTGAAAGCAGCAACTATTCTTGTTTTTCCGGCGCATGAACATCAGCTGTCGCAGCAGCGTGAAAGAATACACGACGACGCTGTCACGGCACTCTTCGTCCGCGAGACCTCCCAGCTGCAGTCGTGTGTACGAATGATGAATGAAAATCTTCTCATTGTCATTCTCCTGGCTAATATGATTTCTTTCCTTAGATTTTAGAGCGCAGTCAGTGGGTAATGTCGTTGCGTGTGCGTAGAAATATCAAGAAGATGAATGGTCCTGCCTCAGCATGAACCACACGAAGTTGGCATTATCTATGTAGTTTCGTCGTTAGATTTAGGACGCGATCGTACAAGATCTTGATTGACACACATGACGCAGAAGAGGCGATAGTTGAGGACAGCACAGGACCGGCGTAGTTGCAACGACGTCGATTGAAGCTGAAGGACCAGCGTTTTTGTGAAACTTCATCACATAAAAATTCTTTAGATTTCATCGCGACCAGAGCTCCTTCGGGAAACAAGTCGGAGCTCTTGAAGCGCCTCCCGTCCTGCTTGCAGCCTCTGCCTCACGCCGCGGCCTCTTGCACGACCACCCGCAGGGTCTGTCTCCACGAGGCGGCACTGGGCGGCCCGCACCGGGCGCCGTGGTAGCAACTCCGGAAAACGGCGACGCCTGGCGCCAGGGCGACAAATTTGAAGGCCACTTTCAGCACCGTGTGGCCCGGATGAAAGTTCAGGTCAAATTCGCGGTGCAGGTAGAAGACATCCTGTGCGACGACGTCTTCGCGGTCGATTGCAAAACGCCACTCGTTCTCTGTTTGTTTCCATAAGGGTGTTAGACTTAAAGAGCTGAAATGGAAAACAAGGCATAGGATTAGATAGCATGATGTGCTAAAAAGCGTATTATGATATTGCAAATGCAAGAGTGTTCATCGATTCGTATCAATTATACCGTCAGCGACATCCTCAAGCTCGACGAACAGCACTGCATCTCCAACTGTCAAAGACAAATCCTCCGTAACGTTCGCGCTAATTTCCACCGTGTTCCCCGTGTGAAAACCGGCAACTTTTCGCGCGCTGAGCTCGTCTTGGTACCTGTAGATGTACAACCTTATAACAGCAACAGAGATCTTCACTGACGATAGAAGGCCAAGGCAGAAAGAGAAACAGAAACACTGACTGCTGCAAACGTAAAAAGACCCCAACCAGTAAAGCCTTTACGTGGCCCCATGGCTCCCGGAAGCTTCGTGCTCCGCCTCTGCTTGCGCGTGGCGAAGCAAGTCTGGGACTGGCGGGTTTTCTTTTATGACAAAGCTACACGACGACGCCTCGCTGCCCTCCAGGCTGATCGCGGGGAACAGCGGGTAGCTCTTCGGGATGTCTGGGAGCGACCGCGCGTCGGCTGAAAACTTTCCGTTTATCCAAAACGAAAGCTTCGCTTGTGGCTGCGACGCGTCGAGCAAGACGCCGAGGGTATCTGTGATTTTTCACCACATGCTGCACAAAAGCCGTGACCGGCGTACTATTTTTAGGGGCTATTTTTATTGTCGAAAAAGAATGAATCAAGATAAGCCCCTGAGGAACCAATGACACGAGATGTTGAGACTTTGTTTTCGCCTTCCTCGAAAAACGTCAACTGTACCTCCTGGCCTGAAGTGCCTACCCTGTGCCAAGGTGACGCAATGACCCTCGTTTTCCTCGACGGACTGATTGATGTTGATTCGTGTTTCCACACCCCGCGGAACCACACCAAATTTGATATCCACGCCGGCAGTCTGAATTTCAATTTTCGGAGACCAAAATAAGGACCGAGCAACACTCTGCCTACTATAAACCATAACCATTTCTATTCGCCAAGAGGAAGAGGAAGAGCAAAATCAAAAAGCATATGCATAAGGATAAGCACGACCACCTCAACCAATAAAAAGCCCTTCCAAGAAACCTGCTGTTGCGGCCCGGGCTCTGCTGTGTTCAGGAACTCCCAGTAGTGCTTCCCACTCGAAAAGCCTTTGACGCTGAGCAACATCCCAGTCCCCGTCCCCGACCTCACATAGGCCCCCGGCTCGGCCTCCAGAAACCCGCTGCGGTTCGCCCCAAGACAGGAAACGTCCACCACAAAGCACTGCGTGTTGTTACACGCGTTAATATTAGCACCGTCCTGAAACTGCTGCATCGACGCCGCTTTGCTGCCGCTGCGACTGCCCGGGCGAGATCCGGTTTTGCTACCGGAAGACCGCTGTCTCGAGGCAGGTGCTGCTGCTGGGCCCTTGCTGCTGGAGGACGTGGACGTCGACGGTTGAAGATTTTGGTGCAGTTTCCCGGCTGTCGCAATCGTGCCGTGTGATGTCGTGCCGTCTTTAATACTGGTCGTTGTGCTCGCCTGCAGTTGCTGTGCGTGTTGCGTTTGTCCGGGTCGTGCGCCCGCGGCGTGATACTGCCGCGTCCCGTTCGGCGTGCTGACCACCCGAATGGTGTGCGGCTGTTGCTGTTGCTGTATTTGCATCCCATTTGTATTCATCCCGGCTAAATGCGCCATCGATTGGCTCTGGGTGAGCACATCCACGTGATGATCATTGGGCGTCGTATGGATTGCAAAAATGGGTTGGTCTGGAAGATTCCGAGACCTGTCATGCAGATTTTCCATGATCCATGTCACCTGGAATGCAGGACCTAGCATGACAGATTCTGCGGGATCCCTATCATGCCTATCCTGCATGAGAAACTTCCTCTCAACTTCGTCAAAAGTGGGCAACTTTTGGAATTCATGCAACACAGATTTTTGCATGATCCAGAATTAGCATCACAAGCTCCAACTACCTTCCACCAGACCCAGACATTTTTACATTTGATACGTTGCATTAGACGACAAAACGGCCGCCTGCTGGTACTGCTGGTACGACCGCGGCGGAGGAGGGAAGTGCAGCGAGGCGACCGACGCCGTGCCTGTCAGTTGTTGCGGCCCGGACGGCATGCGATAGTACTGGGGCGTGTAAGGCTGCGCAGATGTACTAGAGAGCAGATTGCTGCTGAAGCCCGCAGGCGTGCCCGCCGTACTACTGCTCACAGCAGTGGTAGCCTGCTGATGTTGTTGTCCAGGAGCTCCTGCACCATGGAGAAACTCACCCTGCGCCTGGAGCCACGAACTTTGGAGATGATGCGCAGTTGAGGTGGTGGAGTAGGGGGACGGGGTTGCGACGGCTACCGGCGGCTCGACCTTCATGTCGAAGATGGAGGCCCCGACGTTTTTGCTCGCGGCGGACCAATTCGTACCCCCCGCGCCGCCGAGACTCACCCGCAGCGCATCCGGCTGCAGCCCCACGGTCACGCCCTTCAGAGCCGGGGGGGCGGCCAGTAGCCGAGTGTTCATGCCGGACAAAGTGCCGGTGCTGCGGCTCCGCTGCATGGTGAATTCTTGGAGATATTTCTGGCAGGTTTCCACTTAGATTCTACTTCGGCTACTTTTTGAAGATGAGGAAAGGACTCAATGAGTCTTTTACTTACCCTATCGGAGAAAAGGGGGTTCTTCCAGCTGCGTAGGTAGAGATCCGTTTCTAATTCCACATAGGCACGACCACGATCAACAACCAGGTCGGGCATGTAGATGTACCTTACCTGTTCCTCGTTTGCTTTCTTTCGCAGTGATACGGATACCAGAAACGCTGCTGTAGACTCTTACCTTCCTTCCGCAGACCGACAAATCAAACTGAGAAAGGATGCCAACAAAAATGCAATCACACACACACGAAAACTACAATCAAGCATACAACGAAGATATCTTTCAGGACATGGACCAGCTGAGCTTGTCTACCAATCGCAAGCGGAATCGGATTCAAAATCACAGAATTCGAACACGTAAGCAAGAGAACGACAGAAACACGTACTCGTGCCCCATTTGCAGGTCCAGGTGAAAGTGATGAACGAAAAAATGACCTCCTGCGTACAACAACATGAATGTAGAAAAAGAAGGGTAGCGAAAAATCATGTGTGTGCTGTAGACTTTAGCATTAGACAAAAGTTTAATTTGTTGAGTGCAAAAATTTCTACCACGCAAAATGCGGACTATGTAGTGCTACAGTGTAGTTGACTCTACTCCTGTGTAAAACTAAAACTTCGAAAAGCCGGGTACTATTCAATCATTCGACCTTAGGGATTCTATGTGGTGCACTACTTGCACCTTTCTGCTATCCTGAAAGACACTGGTAGAGAATGCGGCGGCTATGGGTCTCTTCGGGTAGAGCGCGTTTCTCTCTTTCAAACGGGTCAGGAACCCATACAGCCGCTCCGTCGTGTTGGCGTACTCGAAGCTGTAGGGTGGTCGCGAGAAGGCGTGGATACCGGTGAGTGCGACTGCCTCCAGGAACCGCGGCCGGTTCAGGAGCGCGAGCTCGCTGCGGCACCCCGTCGCAGCCTTGTACTGCATCAAAACCTGGGGACGCTCGAGCAACGCCGGGTACACGCCGAGGGCCTTCATGCAGTTCAGGAACTGTTGGAAGTCCATCTTGTTCCGCCGGTCCTTGACCTGCACCTCGCCGTTGGCAAGGCCGTCGGTAATGGAGTAGGTGTTCATCTTGTACATGTTTTGGTCGGTGTCGTTCCGGATTTTCGCGACCCCTGTGACCATCTTGCGCACCAGCTTTTCTTTCAAGGATGTTGACGCAACTGTCTTTCGGCTTCTCCGGGTACTAGTCGTGTTGTGTACTATGCCCTCCTCATCTTGATCTTCCTCATCTTCGAGGACATTATAGTCCTCACTGTTCATGACTGCGTCGCAGACCGCTACCCGTTCCGCCCTTTTCCTCAGCCCAAGCGCCTGATTTTTCACTCCTGCGCCGCAGTTCGTTCGCAGCTTTTCCTCTTTATTGCGGGACGTGAACGCGACGAACAGGGTGATCAAAAAGTCCTTGAAGTGTAAAAGAACCTCCACATCGACCTCGTTTAGCCGTAGACTGTCGTCCGGCACGCAGGAAGTGGCGTACTCCGATTTTGGATAGCAGTGGAGTAACACATTCCGGAAAATCCGCTGCATGGTGCGATCCAGCATCGTGGAGGTGATTTTCTTCGAATAGACCGACGACGCAGTGGCCGCGGTCGGCGAAGGTTGTTGTAATGCGGAAGTTCGATCATGCGCCCTCAAGTCGCTTTCCGTTTTCTGCATCAGCGCGGCAGCGAGCCGGAGAGACAAGATCGCCAGAGCCTTGCAAAAAAGATCGAAAGACAACCGTAGCAAACCGGGATCGCAGGTCGTTATCACCTTCGCGTGGATCAGATCCGCTTCTGCAATAGTCAGAAGCCCGGTGTTGGTCGACGCAGGGACGGGAGCAACAGTGGTTACTGCCTTATTGTTCCTGCCCTCTTTCCCACCAGCCTTTGAAGATGAACCCGGGGCTTCTCTTGGAGATCTCGGTGTAGAAGTCGATGATGATGAATTTGTATTTCCAAAGCTATTCCCGGCTACAACGTTCACGGTCGGCTTCTCAGCAACGAGGAGTCGCGCGTCCAAGAGCAGTTTGATCCACTTTTTGTTGCTCATCCACTCCGTGTTAACGCGGTCGCCCAGGTTGCAATACCGCTCGAAGACCTCCCGGAGGAGCGGCGCCATTTTGTCGTCAATCAGCAAGTCGCCCAGCAAAATGCGCTGCTCTTGGTCGGTGACGTGCGAGGTGCTGTGTGTCGCGAGCGAGTGCGTCAGGTACGCCTCCAGCCGTCGCTGGAACTCGGGATTGCTGCTCCGCGCCACCGTCTCCGCGAAGAACGGCGCCTTCGTACCCCGGGCGAGGCGCATCGACTCCGAAAGATTCTGCGCCGACGGCGTGTGGGAGCACTGCATGAAGACGCTCAGGCGGTCACCTGTTTTTCGTTTGGGAGATAAGATTGATAAAAAGATTTTCACTTAGAATTTGACACCACGCAAAGAAAAAGAAGAAGAACAAGTACAACCTACAACATGCATAAATCAAAGTTTTAAAGTGATAAAGTACTCATGCGCTTGTTCCCCCGCCCAGCCGCAATGTCCTTTTTGTGCAGCAGCGTTACCAAACTCGCGGCCTTCGGTGTCGTTTGCAGATGCGCCTGCACCATAGACCAGCGCTGCGACTGCGGTAACTCGTAAAACGCGTGCAATCCGTTGACTTCCGTCAGCATCTCGCCCAGGCTCTTCCGTGGCTGCTGCGCGCTGTCAGGTGGAAGGTTGGTGTGCTGTGTGGACGGAGTGCGCGTCTCAGGCTCGCGTGCTGGAAGTGGTCCACCTCGGGGGACGGGCACTGGTTCTGTCGTGGCGATGCTGGTCGGTGGCGACCTGCGTCCGCCTCCACCGGGGATGTTGGTCAGGATCTCGGTAGCGGAAGTTTCCGAAAACAGAAACGGCTGTTTCTTTTGTTGAACGAGTTGAGCTTCTTGTTCCTCGTCTCTAGCAGTTGCTGTGTCTCCTTCTTCCACCTCCTGCCGTTGTTGCAACACCGAACAAGCCGCACCACAATCCGCGTCTTCCATAGGCGAGAAGCTGAACACGAGGGAATCTTCCAAGTGGTTCAATGCTTCCTGCTCCACGGTGCCCGTGGACCCTCTTTCGTCCTCGTCGTCAACCGACGTGTCCATGGAGAAAACTCCGAATTGCGGCACCAAAGACCCCAGCTCGTCGTCAAAGCTGCTGGACGCGGATGACGAAGAGGACGCGAGTTCCGAGGAAACGCCTTGCTGGTGCTCGTTTTCGCACAAAATGTTCAACGTGTAGCGGTATTTGCTGTGGCTAGAATGAGCGGCACCAATATCGGAAGATAGAGATACCGGTTCTGCAACATCGTTCCTTTCTTCATCCTCCACTTCCAGCGCCGTACAGTAGCCGCTTCCCTGGCGGGAGGAGCGGCAGGTGAATACGCTGTTGTAGCCGTCTTGCTCCTCCTCGTCGTCGAAAGTGCTAGGATAATAATCCTCGTCGTCCGAAGAGGAAGACTCACTCGTCGTGCTGTTGTAGTAGAGAAACGACGGCGAAGTTGTGGAGGTTTGTTCTGCTCCTCCACTAGAAGCACTAGACGCTCCTGACATCCCGGCTGCGTAGCTTCTCGTGGGTACCACCTCGCCTTCTTCCATTACTTTCTCCCCTCGCTCGGTCATGCGGAATTCACTCTTCCCGACCCGGGTGGTCCTCCGCTTCAGCGCTTCTTGCAGCCCGTCCGCCAGAGTGCCAGTGCGATCGCCGATCAACTGCATGCGTTTCTGCGTCGCCGTCCTCTTGAAGATGGACCCGCGAGACGTGATCTTTCCGGCGCTCTGAAACATCACTTTGGCTTTCGGTTTTGCCGCGGGTTTTTCTTCTACTTGATTTATAGGCGTAGCCATCGCAGCGGAGGATCTCGTCGTACTACTACTGCTCGGTAGAAGAAGTTCTTCCTCAACTAGTCCACTTCTCCGGCCCCCTCCATCCACCCGCTGCGCGAGCCCTTCGACCTCGTCTTGCAGCAACGCCGCGCGCGCGCCGAGGTCATCCAGCGAACCGCGGAACGGTTCCACTTCCAACGTAGTGGAATTGAATTTACGCAGGTTTTCTTCCAAACTCTGGGCGTCAAACAGCAGTTGATTCAGCTCCACGGCCGAGCTGCGGACGGCCTGCTTGACACTCTCCCGGTTTTCCTCGACAATGTCGTCCGAGTCCAGAATCTTTTGCGCGATCTGGTTCTGCGCCTCCTCGAGGAGGGGCAGTAAAGCCTCGGCGTCCGCAAGGTTGCCGCTTTCCTCGGCTTCTTCGATGGCCTGCATCAGCTGCGAAAACCGGCGCATCGCCGGATCCTGCAGAACCCGCTGCAGGGCGGAGGTAGAGGTGGCAGCTTCTGGAGCGGCGACGGACGGGGTGTACTGTTGTTCCGCCGGTTGTTCTTCAGCTGGAAGTTGCTGTAAAAAATCTTCACCATTAGTGACTACATCATAGCTGTTCTTGTCGGGGCTGGGCTGCTCTAATGTCTTTGTACTGATAGCTGTTTTGCGTTCTTCAGAGCTTTGCGTTTGCCTCGTTTGGGTGGAAAAGACCAGGTCAAAGTCCGTGTTCTGTGGATCGTCAAAAATTCCGAGTTGTAGTTCTTCAGGCCGCTGCTCATCCTGGTCCTCACGAGCCACATCATCCAGATTCCCGGTGTCAACAACAGCAACGGTTTTGTTTGTCCGCTGCGACTGCCACTTTCGCATCAGTTGCTCGTACATCTCGTCTTTGGTTAAGGGACGTCTAGCGGGCGTGTTGCTGCTTGCAGAAACATTGCTCGGCCGGGCTGGCGTCTTCGTGGGCGCAGGCTTTTCGACCACCTGCTGCAACCCGGGCGGGCGGTTTGGCTTTTGTGAATGCGCAGCGGCTGCGGCCTGTCGCGACTTTCGGACAACTTCGCTGAACGGCGGTGGTGAGGGTTCCGACGATGCGGGTTGCTGTGCCGAAGTAGGGGTCGTCGACCCGGACGAGCCCGAAGTAGACGCTGCGCTCAACCGGTCGTTGATGTCCGCAAAAATGTTTTGGTTCCCCGCGCCAACCATCTTATCCGAGACCCTTGCCAATTTCTCGGCGTCGCCGACTCTACTTTCTGCGCTCCCTTTCAACGCAGCAGCGAGCTCCTGTTTTTCCTGGCTCTGCCGCCTCTGCTCCTCCTCGAGCGTCTTTCTCCTCGCGCGCTCTTCCGCCAGCGACTTCAGCCGCTCCACCTTCTGAGGAATGGTGAGTGTGGCCTCTTCGGCCGGGTCGAGTACTAGCGCCTCAGTTGTAGAGGTAGACATGGATGCTTTCTTGCTGCTCGAGGATTTTTTCGGCGGCTGCTGGCCTTTGTCGTCGACTGGAGGTGCGCTGTCCTGCGATGCCCCGATTGAGTCCTTGCTCTTAGAGGAAGATCTTCTGGTGCCCGAAACTGGTGCCTGGCGCTCAACGACGTCCGTTGTAGCAGCATTCATTCGGGTTGTTGTATCTGCCGGCTCGTCTAGAAGAGTAGTCGTTGACTTCTTTGAAGTTTGTGGAGTTGTGGTAGTTCCAGGCCGACCTTCCAGATCCGCTCCCGTGCCACGCTTTTCACTCGATCCGCTTCCGCGCGAAGCGCTGGTGATATCCATCCTTTCCTCAACCGGTGCCGGAAAGCGTGACACATTTCGACTCGCCTTGGAACTTGTGTCGACATAAACATCGCCTTGAAGAGTTTGACTTGGAGCTGCAGTACTCCTACCTCTTGGTGTTGAAGATCTCGCCACACGACCTACCGCTGTCTGTTCCTCTCCTCTTCGCTTGTTGCCCGGAGATGAACTCCTGCCCGGCCGGGTCAAGCTCGACCCCCTCGGAGTGAGGATCTGCTCCTCGCTCCCACCGATCCGCACCGTTCTCTCAATGCTTGCCGTGCCACCCCGACTTGTTTTCGATGAACTGGTTTTTTTGCTCGGCGGCCGACGAAGGTCAATTTCACTACTGGACGTTGTGTCCTTCGAGTCCCTCAGATCTTCGTACGAGCTCCTGCTCGGCCGAGATCGCTCAACATCTGCCTGCGATGTCCCGCCACGCGTAGTTGTGTTGGACCTTTTGGTCCTGTCCGTGGTCTCTTCACTGCTCCCGCGGCTGGTTTTCCTTCGTAGAATGGAAATCGGTCCTGCCGGAGCGGTTTCGCGGTACATCGTGTCCGTCATGGTTCTCTGTTTCACGACGACATGATCGGGAACTACATCCATCGGTTGTATGACCACACGTTGTTGTTCTTCCCCGCCTCTACTTCTAGCCTGGGCGCTCGCTGGTCGTCTACTCTGGCTTGCTGTCACACTGCCTCCGGGCGACGTTGTTACAGACCCAGAAGCAGCATCGTCGCGCGACCGAACCGAAACAGGATAAAGCGGCTGTTCCGATTGGTGTCCCATCCTTTGAGAGGACGACGCCGCCCGTAGTGGTGGAGCGGACAAATTCCGAACTACTTTCACCGAGGGTTTGGAATACAGTCCGCTATCATCCTCCGCATTGAACTCCGTGTTTCTTTCCTTATGGTTTTTCACCGCTTCCGGCGTCCGCGCAACCCGCGCGTAGTATTTCGACGCTTTCTGCTGCCTCGTTTGCGCACTCGTCGGTTTGTTAGATCCGAACGCAGGTTTGATCTTGGGCGATCTCCCTGGCGAAGAAAGCGGCGACTTTGTAGCTCCTGCACCCGCCACCTGTTTTGGCATGCTCAACTCCATCAATCGGGGGGAAAGCTGCGGCGTAGTTACGGACGGGGGTTCCTGCTGTATCGAAGAATCGACTTCAATGGAAGTGGTGTCAAAATCGACGTCTTCGAGGTTCATCTTTCCGGTGCTTGCTTGGGTTGTTCCGAGCAGCTGCCGCAAAGGATATCTCTCCGTGCCCAAATCCACCGGCGATTGGATCGGCAAAGACCGGGCTGGCGACCGGGAAGCTGCTCTCAATTTCGATTTCCTTTTCAAGCTCGGCCTTTGTTCTCCACCAGCCGCAGCAGCTTCGACCTCTTCCACACGGAAGTCCACCACGGCCGGGGTTCTCCGGCTTCTCCCCCGAGTTGTAGACGTTGCAGTTCTTGGCGCTGCTGTCTGACGCGACGTCGTTCTTGCGGAGGAGAAGATCTGGCGACTCGGCGGAATCATCGCCGCTGCACCTCCCGGCGCCCCCGGCGGTCGCACGAGTCGCAGGTCCGCTGTCAAGTCTTCCTCCTCATTTGCAGCCCCCCTGCTGCGGACTCGCACGACCGGCGAGAGGCTGGCCCGCTTCGAAGTCGCCGGGGTGAGGGAGCGTGAAGTTACGCCTCGTCGTCCCCGCGGCGTAGCACTTCTGGAGCGATCCGGACTGGAGGGGAGACGAATGCCGCTGACCATGCTGACCTCGCTGTTCTCACTGTGCGCGGAACGGTCCCGTTTCCGCGAGGAGGCCGTGTGCGTCAACAAGCGTTCCTGCGCGGAAAGCTCCCGCAGTTCCGAACGAATGTGATCCTTGTTTCTCGTCTCAGGAGAGGAGACACGAACGGATGGACTTCTGGACGTCGCCAGTGGCCGCGTAGAAGTGTCACCCCGACTAGCGCCGGCCCTTCCTTTGCCGCGGATCGTCTTCTTCTTGGACGAAGGCCGGAAGGATTTCTTTTTCTTCCTCGGAAAAACAGCGGTCGAGACTTTATTTTCGTGCGACTCTCCGGTCGCTCTTCGAGGGGATGGAGATGATTTTACCACCGAAGACGAGCTACTTTTCCCCCTCAGTGTCCTTTTCCATGAACCAGATCGCTTCTCCTTCTGTTCGTCTTCCCGCAACTGTGCGTCAACCTGCTGCAGAACGTCGGATAAAGCCGCACGCTTTTTCGATGCTTTCCGCGGGGTACTTTTCAGTGGAGTCACGCTGCCCGGCGGAGTAGTGACAACTGCTGGCGGCGTGACTGAGCGCGATGCCGTTCTCATACCGCCTTTCGCGCTTGTTGTCCGCACCGACGGGGGTGCCAGAACTCGCTGCGGAGTGGATTTGCTGTAGGAGTCCTGCTCGCGGTCTGGTGTTGATGTTGTGCTCTTCTTCTTGCGCTCCTGCAGATCCGTTGCAACATCTTTCACCATTGTAGTATGCTCTCGAGGAAGTTCCCCAATAGGATCTACCGGATCCAAGCTGGCTACGCGCCGGCTCGCCGCCACGTCGACGTTTGTGCTTCGCGGCGTGCTGACCGTTCGGGTGGAAATCGGGGTTGCCGTTCCCATCTGCAACAAATTCGTTGACAGCGGCTTGATGCCCTGTTGCTGCACCCACTTGTGATAGGAGAGGGTGGATGGCTGCTGCTGTGTTGATACTCCTGATCGCTTATCCTTACCGGCTTCTGCTCTTGCTTGTTTATTCGCCGTGGTCTCACCAATTTTCGTCTCCATCTCAAACCTACTAGTATCGGAGGACCCCGACGCGCTGGCAACGTCGTCCGACGAGGTTCCTCCGCCAACATTTTTATCGCGGCTGGAAGGAAGCTGCACGGGCTGGACTACCGGCGCAGTCAGCTGCGGTGGAGTCATCTGCTTGTTCGTCGGCATCACCTTCGTGTCCAATCGCTCCACGACAACTGGTGGCTGGGATGTCTGCTTCTTGGGTTGTGATGAAGATGCTTTTGCTCGTGGTTCTTGTTCCTCGTCTCCCACCTCAGAGGCGATGAGCGAAGCCGTCGCGACAGGTTCCTCGAACCCGGATTCTAGCGTCGTGAGCGAAGACGTGGGAGCGGCGGCAGCGGCGGCCGACTGCGGCTCTACGTTGATCGAGAAGGAAGATCTTTCTTGCTTTGAAGATGACCTCTTGTTTTCCTCGTTTCTCGTATTCACTGGCGCCGGCGAGGGGGCCCGCGGAGTGGACAGAAACTGGCGCATCATATGCGCCTGTGGCGACAGAACTTTCAGATCTACCTTTTCTTGCTCGGCAAGGCTGCTCTCCACGCCGACCACCCCGGTGATTCGCGCAGTATCAAGAACCCCGGCACGACGTAATGTAGTTTCTCCTCGCCCACTCTGGTGGTCCCGTGTCACTTTTAACACCGATGGAGTTGTAAGTCCGGGGAAAGCGTAGGAAGGTTTCTCAACAGCAGCTGAGGACATGTTGCTCGTCCTGGCCATCGCAGAAGTCGTGGTCAGAGAAGCTACAACCGGTGGTTGCAGCGACAATGCTCTTCCACTGTTCCGGGTGTCGTTGATGTTGACACCCGGCAATGACAAAGTGATCCGTGGCGACCAGACTTCCGTCGCCCGCAATGTGGTGTCGCGACTTGGGGTGATTGCGCGCGGCGGGGTCGCTAGCCCAAGGTTGATCCGCGCCTTCGACTTGTGCTCTTCAATGATACTGATGATCTCCTGCTTTCGTTGCGAAAACTTGTTCCCTGACTTCTTTTGCGCCGCTCGGAGAAACTCCTCTCTTGGCGGAGGATCTAGCTGCGTAGAGGCTCCGGACACCGAAAAAGTAGCGCTGTTCTTTGAGGCAGAACTCATATTTGTTCGCTCGCTGACTTTAGTGCCAGTTGCAACTCGCGACGCGCGGGTTGAAAGCAATCGGCCCATCGTCGCCGGCTGCTGAAGTTTTCTTTCGAAATCCGGTGCGATTTTGAGCAGCTGTGGAGACACTAAAGGCTTTTTCGGGGGCATGGTTTGAGAACGGAACCTGCTGTCTGGCACGGCGTCGTTCACACCTGGCCGCTCTTCAGAACTACTGCTGTCGGTAACGACAAGCGACTTCTTGAACAGCTGCGCAGGGACGAAGGGCTTCTTTTCAGACGGCCGTTGTTCTGGCGACGATCTCTTCCTTACACTGCTATCTCTCTGTTGCTTCTCCGACGCGGGTCGTTCTTCGGCACTGCTGTTGCCAGAAGTAGAGGACTGAGGCTTCTTGAAGACGAATTGCGACGCCGCGAAAGACTTCTTCGGTGGGGGCTGAGATTTCGATTTGGTGCTGCGATTCTCCTGCCTTGCAACTACTTGTTCGACCGGTTCCATGTCGGAGCTGCTGTCAGAGCCTACAACTTGTGATTTATTCTTGAGGAACTTCTGTGCCGTACTAGTTGCAGCTACTGGCTTTGTCGCGCGCGATGGGGATGATCTTGCGCTGCTGCTTGCGGGTCTTGTTCCTGCAACCACCACCTCCTCAGAGCTGCTGTCGGTCGAGGGAGCCTGCCTTGCGGGTTTTTGTTTCGGCTTCTCTGCTTTCCGCTCCACAGAGTCCTCCAATAACAACGTGCTTCTGTCGTCCTTTTTACTCGTGCGTCTGGGCTGCTGTATTAAACTCGCGGGAGAGGCGAATCTGCTGGCCGGGAGGTTCATCTTGGCGAGAACTTCCGCAACCATGTTATCGGAAGAAGAAGAGGAAACTTCATGATCCTTTTCGATCGGTGTGACGAAGGGGATGCGTTCCTCGGCTTGCTTTCTGTTGCTAGTAGTGTCTTCTGTCGCCGTACTTCCTTTCGGCTTCGTTGCAGTTGGCACAAATCCGCTACGGTAAATCTGGGCTCTCTCCTTCTCCGCGTCTCGCTGCGCCCGGGCGTAATCGATAGACTGCACCTGCAGGGAAGGAGCACGGAGCCCATGAGCATCTTCTGATGTTGAAGATGAAGATTCACTTTCATCAATCGCGCGTGCCCCCGGCCGCACTTGCTGCAAAAACTGCTTAGCGCGCGGGAAGTCGCTATCGGAGGCGGGCATGATCGTCGGTTTCTTCTCTATCGGCTTGTTTGCAACTTCGCTCTTCGGAACGTCAGAACCGCGTGAAGATTTTAATGATTCTTGGCCAATGGACGCACCTGCAACATCAAGCGAAGCAGTCGCATCTCCTCGCAGCGAGTATCTCGCTGTCGTCTGAAGCCGGCGCGGCGTTGTGACGTTATTGTTCTCTATCGGAGCAGGTGCGGTCGTGTCTCGCTCCTGCGAGCTTCCACTCCGCAATTTTGGAACTCTCAGTGAAGCAGCAGCGCCGCGTTCCTGATACACCGTTTGTTCTATTTGCGGCGAAGTAGTTTTTGCAGAATCCAGAGCCGGCGCTTTCTGCTGGTCTTTGTTCCCATTGCCAACAGTTGTACCCGGACGGCGCATGTCGGGCGGAGACGGCGGCGCGGACGCGGTGAAGAAGTCCCGGACTCCAGACTGCTTCTTCCCCGTATCAGTCACCACGCCTGTTGGCGGTGGCGGACTTGTTCCCCTGTCTTTGAATTGTGATGTGCTCTGGAGGCGGTGACTTGAGGTAAATCTGTCTTCCTCCGTAACACTCGTGACCACGACGAGGGCAGGTGACATAGGATCCTGCTTCGCCACGGCACTGGTTTGCCTACTGACACTGGCGGACGGCGTTGGTCTCCCTGAAGATGCCGGTTGCTGTACGGGTAAACTGGTCGAGGGGAACAAAGCCGCGCCCGAGGATTTTTTCGTCTCTGGCTTCACCACTTCATCTTCCGCAGCTGACGTGTCTGTATCTTCGATGGTGGCACCAGGACCTCGCAGGTCGCGCAAAAACTCCTGTGCGCGGCTGTATTTTTTCTCCGGCTTGTTTGACAATGCTGATAGAGCTCCTACGGGTGCGTCAACATACTCCTGTCGTCCAGCCGCGGGTGGGGAAGACGAACTTAAGACCTTGGTGATTGGTTCTTTTCTCATCTGCATCTCCCCCAATGCCGATCCTGCAGTGGAGGTCGCACTCGCGGCTAGTACCCGCGTTGGGTCGCGGCGCTGTGCGCCGAAAAATGCGTCCTCGCTCGAAACACCTTTTGGAAGAGCCGTACTGGGTTGCGAGTCTGTCAATCTGCCGTCTGTGCTACGCAGAACGCGCGGACTGCTTGCGCCGAGCGCTAGAGAGCCTGTAATCATGTCCTGCTCGGATGCTTGCTTTCTTGAGGCGGAAGCTGCAAGAACGGAAGCAGCCTTGGTGGGCTGCTGAGGTGGGGATAGTGGCACGACCTTCATCTGTTTTGTCAATGTCGAATCGGAGGCTACCTTCTCAACGGGTTCTTGTGCCCCCGCCTGCGCTCGGACAAAGGACTGCCGCTCCTGCGCCAGCGTCGGACTCGGAGTGAACATAGAAGGAACCTTGTATTCGAGGTTAATACCCGCAGAAGTTTCTCTGGCGGCCCCAAAAGCGGCCCGCTGGTCTTCAACTTCTGCCGCCGCTGCGAAGCTCGAAGAGAGATCGGTATTCATGCCGGAGGTGCGGCTGGCACGCGCCGGAAGGGCTGCCGCAGAAGAAGTACTCTTCAATCTATTCGGTTTCTCTCCATACACTGGAACCCTTTCTTCCTCGTAGTCCATGATGATAGTCTCGTGCGTCCCACTGATTCCGTCCTTGTTGCCGCCTTTTGCCAGCTGTTGCAGCCATGTAGACCGACCGTCGAGAGTTTTACGATCCATCCGCTGGCCACCCGGCGCGATTGAAATGTCCGTCTGGACAGCAATGTGCGCCGCAACGGCAAAATTATTTCTGCTGTCTGCTGACGAGGCATGATCTTCTACACCGCTGACACGCATCATGCGCGTGGACGATGAGCCCAAACCCCGGAGCGATTTTTCGGCGGCGGAGTCCCGCACAGCAGCTTCAGCAAGCTTTTTCGTGAGTGTCTCGAGCGTGGCCTCTTTCGACACCGCCGCCCGGATGTCGTCCAAGTTCGGCACCTGTGTATGCGTGATGGACAGACGAAAACGCGAGGGCTCTTCCTCTGCAGCGGCCTCTATCCGCTTTTTCGTCACAGCAAGCGCGGACTTAGTCTTCTCGCCGGGTTGTACCAGTGCAGTCCCCCGGGTCTGCATCGGGGGACTAAGTTTTCGCACTTCGAACCGGGCATCGTCCGTTTCCGCGTGCCGCAGCACCGCACCCGGCAAAAAGCCGACTGGGCGCGCAGAGGGTGTGTAGGGAGCAAAGGTGGATGCCGCGGGCGTCGGCTTACTGGTGTTTGGCGAGCTGGTACTGCAGTCCTCGGGAGAGCTGATTGTTCCCGCCTGTAGTTCCCCGACAAGAAGCTGGGGGGCAGCGAACCCGTGGTCCAACACGACCTGACGAGGGGTCCCGATCGGCGAGGCACTGAACAGAAAAGACGCGGAGAGTGGCTGGTGCTCTGGTCCGGCGGGGATTAGTTGGGCCCCTGGAGCAGAAGCAAGAACAGCTGAAGGCTGATCAGACGTAGCTACAGTTTCATCCTGCCGCGTTTCATCCTCCTGCCGCTTTTCATCCACAACTTCTTCAACTGGCCGCTGGACGAGGGCTTCTTGCTGCAGATCCTCTGTCTTACCGCCTTTCGGAATAAACGCTGCTGCTGCAATATTCGCGGTTTGATGTTGTTCCACGCTGCCCTCCTGCTGATCACCCAGATCAGGCTTTATTTTACCGGCCACATCACTCGAAAACGGAAGAACCCCTACTGGCACAGCTTCGCCCACAACATTCGTTGGTGGCAGGCGCGTGGGCCTCGGCGCCGGGCTCCGCGAGGTCCGCGTTGTGTAGCAGCGTGCGGTGGGCAACTGTCGGCTCATCGCGTAGCCTGGATGCAGGACGCTCCGGTAACTCAAGTCCTCATCCTCCGTGTTCGCCGAGTAATTGTTCGGAATCAGTGTCACCGTGTTGGCCTTCGAACTCATGCGGCCGTAGGCCTCCGCTTGCAGGTCCTTTGTGGACAACCGGGGTGGCGACACCGCCGGCGCCCGAATCCAGGGTGGCGTGAGGCCCTTGGAACGCGCACGACTTTCACTATCGGAGAGATGATCGTTACTGTTCCTCTCGTCCGCGGGAGCACTGTTGAGGAGGACGTCTCCGAAAAAGCTGGGCGGGTGGGCCGGTCGCACGGAGACTCTCTGCAAATCTAGGTCCTGCGAAAGCATCAATGGGGCTTCTATGGCGTCGATGGGACGGAGCTCGGATCGGGAATTTGTTGGTTTCTCGACCCGCGTCCGTGACGTGCAAATATGCGACGTCGCGACGTCCCGCACTGTCGGTTTTAAGTGAAGAGACTCTCCGCCAACCTTTTTCCAGCTGTAGTAGTTATACCTGGGCGGGGAAAGGGATTTCGACTTTGATGTGAGGGTCTCGGATTCTACTCCTGCGCTAGTATCCTTTTGTTGTTGTTCCTTATCATCGAACGGAATAATTGCATCCCGGTAGCTATGTTTGCTGCGAAACATCCCCGGCATGCTCACATTGCGCGCGCCGGTCGGGCCGCCGGGAAAGAACTCCGTCGAGGAGGTCCTTTGCCAGCTCTCGGTCTGCGCGAGAAATCTCTCGCGCGGCGAGGGCGACTGAAGCTGGAATTGCAACCTCTGCAGCTTGTGCGCTTCGTCTACCTCCGCGGGGGGAAACTGCAGACCGTAGTTTTTCACCAATCGTGCGGTAGCTTCCCACTCCGGGTGCTTTTTCCGCTGCGCTTTCCAAAATTGCTCTGGGTTATTTTTCACAGACTCTTCGGACGAGGAAGCGGCGGCCGCAGCAGCAGCGTCGTTGGCGGCGTTCGATGTCATGCCAAGACCGATAAGCGAGCGCAGCCAGTCCATGGCGCCACCCGGACACGGCTCGTCTCGGCTGTTCTCTCTATTGTCCGCTTGCGATTGCGAATGATCATCTGCATGTTGATCGGATGGTGCTGTAGTTCCGGTGCAATCATAAACATTTGGATTTGTTCCATCACCTCTGTAGTAGAGTTGGTCATATGTCGTTCCCGCGGTATTCAATTCCTCGAATTGGTTAGTAGAATAGGGACCACTTTCTGGATATGGGCGCTCCCACTGCCAATGAGTCTCGCAAACTTCCTTGTCTTGTTCCGAATCCTCTTCATATCCGGGCCCGGGGGGGTCATTCGAGAATAAACCGTTCCAGAGCTTCATCTTCCGCTGCTAGTGAGTTGTTGTTGGGATTCTGATGGAATATAGCGCTGGCTTAGGTCAACAAGCAAAATGGGGGACAATTACGCTTAGGTTACTTACTTGCTTAGGCAGGATATTACAATTACATTCAATCAGAGACAGAGTGTCAGAAGATCAAGATTTTGATTTAGATTTACAAATACTTCGGGTTCGTAAAATACAATTCAGCACAAGCTTCTTCGGTTCGTAAAATACAAATTTAGCACTCAATTCGACCACAGATTCGATCTGCCGCACCAGGAAGGCGGCTCCTTTCGGAGTAAAATGACCATTCGCGGATATTTTTATGGGGGGGAACCAAAAGGGAAACGACGCACTGGGTCGAAGCAATACGATGCGGATGCCATCTGATAGATACTATCACGAGGAGCGCCAAAAGAGCGTAGAACTTCTACGTCTGCACATTTAAAGCCATGAAGAAACGACGAGGCTTTGCACGATCACGAGAGGACGAAGTGAGAGAACAAAATGACACGGTGACTTTTCAAATTATGGAACGAAACCGATTCCGAACGCAAAAAGCGATTGGTGCACTCACCTTGCTGACTTTATCTTGAAGAAGATGTAGATAGGAAGACGACGGACGAAATAAGCTGACGAGATGGCAGAGGACTTTATTGCTTCGCTGTCGTGACCAAGTACGATGTACATGAACGACGATCGCATACTAGAGAATTCTGCAATGGGACGGGTCAACCGAGAGCGAACAAAACAAGAACGGCGACTAGCACAAGTTGTGTTCACTGCACGAGGACACCTGCAGCTTGGCTTTCATGATTCTTGGCGAAACCGGGAGGAAAGAATGAGAACTATCTGAGAACGCCAGAACATCGGGATCGAGCTACACAAGTACAACTATTGGGTGCAGCATCAAATTAACATTAAGTCAATTCCTTTACAATTACAAATCTGAAAGAATAGGATGTTACGTCAACGTCGCGTTGAAGATTTTGGTATGGCGATTGGATAATCCCTGTCGTTGGGTGCGAACTCTAAGTGGTCGGTGGAATGGGTATTAAACTAAGTATAACTCCTATTGCTGAGCAGGGGCAGTTAAAATTTTGCAACAGGGAGGAAAATCGTCCACGCCGAATATTTTTTTGACAACTTTCATACTTTCCAAAGCTGTCGCGATTTGGGAAGTCGCCCAACGCCCAACGGCCAACGGCCAAAAATATTTTGCGGCTCGAAATAGAAATACTTTGCAGCTCGAAATATTTTCCAGCTCGCAAGATTTTCCAGCTCGAATATTTTCCAGCTCGGAATATTTCCCAGCTCGGAATATTTCCCAGCTCGAAATATTTCCCAGCTCGAAATGTTTGACAGCTCGAAATATTTCCCAGCTCGAAACATTTTCCAGCTCGAACTATTTTCCCGCTCGAACTATTTTCCAGCTCGAAAAATTTTCCAGCTCGAAAAATTTTCCAGCTCGAAATATTTCCCAGCTCGCAATATTTTCCCGCTCGAAATATTTTCCAGCTCGGAATATTTTCCAGCTCGAAATATTTTCCGGCTCGAAATATTTGCCGGCTCGAAATATTTTCCAGCTCGAAATATTTGCCGGCTCGAAATATTTCCCAGCTCGAAATATTTCCCAGCTCGAAATATTTTACAGCTCGAAATATTTCCCAGCTCGAAATATTTCCCAGCTCGAAATATTTTCAAGCTCGCAACATTTCCAGCTCGGAATATTTTCCGGCTCGCAATATTTTCCAGCTCGCAATATTTTCCAGCTCGAAATATTTTCCGGCTCGAAATATTTTCCGGCTCGAAATATTTCTCAGCTCGAAACGTTTTCCAGCTCGAAATATTTTCCAGCTCGAAATATTTTCCAGCTCGAAATATTTTCCAGCTCGAAATATTTCCCAGCTCGAAATATTTTCCAGCTCGAAATATTTTCCAGCTCGAAATATTTCCCAGCTCGAAATATTTCCCAGCGCGAAATATTAATTTCCCAGCTCACAACATTTTACAGCTCGAAATATTTCCCGGCTCGAAACATTTCCCAGCTCGAAACATTTACCGGCTCGAACTATTTTCCAGCTCGAAATATTTCCCAGCGCGAAACATTTTCCGGCTCGAACTATTTCCCAGCTCGAAATATTTTCCAGCTCGAAAACTTTTTCAGCTCGAAAAATTTTCCAGCTCGAAATATTTCCCGGCTCGAAATATTTTTCGCAACGCAAAATATTCTGCAGGGTCGCTCGGATCTGCGCGATCGCGTGGCACCTCCTTACTGCAACCCCGAAGGAAAAAAAAACTTCAGCTGATCGCGCGTCCGAGGAGAGCAACGCGATCCACCAGGCAGCTGAAGACCGAAGGCGGCGAGCGCTGTACATGGATTGCCACCTATCCTACTGGGAAATCTTTCCCCTGGGTAGCCAGAATTGCTGTGCTAAGCACAGCAATTCGGGGAATTTTTCCTCCCCGAGCCAGTACCTTCCCGCTATCCCAATACCCCCTCACTATCCTGATACCCTCCCAGTACCCTACTGGGACATCTTTCCCCTGGGTAGCCAGAATTGCTGCGCTAAACACTGCAACTCGGGGAAAACAAACAGAACTCTCCCACCCCGAACCCGTACGCTCCCACTATCCCAATATCCCCCCACTATCCTGATACCCTCCCAATACCCTACCGGGAAATCTTCCCCCTGGGTAGCCAGAATTGCTGTGCTAAACACAGCAACTCGGGGAAAACAAACAAAATCCTTCCTCCCCGAAGCCGTGCTCTCCCATTATCCTGATGCCCCCTCATTATCCTGATACCCTTCCAGTCCCCTTATGGGAAATCTTTCCTCTGGGTAGCCAGCATTGCTGTGCTAAACACAGCAACTCGGGCAAAAAAGCAAACTTTTCCCAGCCTCTTCAGCTGGAAATCCAGCTGATTTCCAGATTGATAGAAATGGAACAGGCCTCTTCAGCTGGAAATCCAGCTGGAAACACTTTGAACAGGCCAGGTGGGAAATGCATTGAAAAGGCGTCTGCAGCTGCGTTTCCAGGTGGAAATGCGCTGCGACAGATGCCTATTCCAAATTTTTCCAGCTGGATTTCCAGCAGAGAATGCATTGCAAACGTCTGCTGCCGTCTGGGGAACGCCGCCGGCGGCCAAGCACCAGGCGAGCAGCTGCCCACCACCCTCCCCCGGCGCCCTCCCTCTGTTCGCGAAGGGAAAATCGCGCCCCAGCGCCAGGGTTGCACGCGAGCAGCTGCCCACCACCCTGCCCCGGCGCCCTCCCACCCTCTGTTCACGAAAAGGCCGGTAGAGGGCGCCACCGTCCGCCGTCTCTGTCTTGGAGGGTGCGCGCGAGGGAAACAGGCGGGGGCGAAACAGACTGCATGCGGGCTAACACGGGGGGCGCCGATGTTGTCCGGGGGTGCTAGGGGAGGGTGGTGGGACCCTGCGCCTGGGGGGCAATGAATGCCCCGCCCCGGCGCCCGTCTTCCATCGATCCACGCGCGCGGCAGGGGCCCCAACGCGCCCCCGTTCTGCAAAGCTGCGCGCGGGAGAAGGGCGAGGGGGCACCAAGGCGCACAGGGGCGGGGAACACAGGCAGGCGGCACGAACGGGCCACACCACAAACATGCGGGCGGGGCGTCACGCGAAAGCGCCTCGAATGGCGCCGACTGTTCCCCTGCTTCCTTCCCCCGCCGACTGGCGGCCGCCCTTTGCCGCGCTTTGCGTTGTTGCTTGGGCCTAAGGCTTGCCGCCACGCAAACGCGCGCCCAGTGCGGACGGGGTCCTCGCGCTCGCACAACGACGGGAACCACGGGCGCCATGGCGCTCCGCCTTCGTTCTTTCAGCAAGAAGCGGCGCAGATGCCTGGCCCCGCCCTGCTTCAAAAATTTTTTCCCTTGCCCCTCTGGCGTTTTTCTTTCCCCCCCGTCCACTCGTTCGCCCTCCCACTGCGCGACATAAGTTGCGGCCTTGTAGGTGCTCGATTCATCAGCTTCAGCTGTCAAATCTGCAACGAAAATCCATTTGCAAATGAAATGCTTTCGCGTATCGACCGCACCTGGTAGAGGGGAGCAACTATGTGATGTGTAGGAATATTTCGCTTGAGCTTGAGTTTCAAAGCTAAGGCTACAAGCGTACGCCAACAAACGCGTTTTTTTTATTGCTTCAGGTTCACCCGCCCGCACGCGTGATTGCAATGACCCTTTCCACCGTCTTTCCGAACTGTTTCCCGGAAAGCCCCGTGCTGCCCTTGTGGTCTCTCACAATTGTTGCAGTTCCTCCCGGTCCGTGCAAAACGTGGTGGGAGCCACGAACATTCAACTTCAACTGCGTTTTGGCTGCCATGCCTGATTCACTTTCTACATTCTCCACCGTAAGAAGGCCACTTTTACTAAGCAGATGGAGTCCGCGCTTCGTCTGACGGGTCGTCACGCGCTTCTGCGCGACTATGTCCCACACAGCCTTCCCTTTGCGCGGCAAGCATTCATCTCTAATGCTGGCGGAACCACCACTTTTCTTTCCGCGCCTCTTCGCATTCGCAGCGGGCATGCTGCGCGTCGACGAAACTGAACTCTTCGGGGGCTCGTCCAGGTCGTCAATATCAAGCCCTGCGCCGCGGCAAGACCGCCGGAACGCTTCATCGGCGGACAGTTCATGCTCTGCTTCCCACGTTTTGCGAAAGTGTTCTGCCCGTTCCCGAGCAGAGTTCACTTTGAACGCGCCGGCTCGACCTCGGGTCTTCACTTTTTCCTTGCGTGCTTGCGGCTGCTCTTGGCCGTAGTCAAGATCGAGCTCCAGGTTTTCATCATCAACTCGAAGTGAGGCGGGCTCCCCTTCTCGGAGCAGTGCCGCCACGTCTGCCTGGAGCTTTTCCGAGTCCGGCCCGAGGAGACAACCACTTTTGTCATTCTCCAACACCGCGAGAAGGGCTTTCGGGTCGTCCAGTCCTATCAACGCCGCTTGTGCTATCTGCTCGGCTGACAAGTCACTACAATTTGTCCCATCCTGCGTGTCGGACCAAAATTCCTCTACCAAATATCGGTCAATTGCATCCTCAGGCGCCGCTGGAGCAAAGGGCACGCGTCCAGTTATGCACCTGCGACCCTTTTCTGAGACACCAAGGAGGTCGTTCTCGGACAGGTACGAGTCGATGGCATCGATGATTTGCTGATCGTGCGGCGTGAAGTCGCCCAAGGCCATCCAAGTATCCGGCGCAGCGGCATGCGCAGCTGTATTTTCATCATAAGACGATGAATCGGAGCCCGAAAAAACAGCGCCAAAGAGTGCGCGCTTCTTCCGCCGCCCAAGTTGCTCTAACCAGTGCATGCGTCGCAAGTTCCACCTTCGGTGGATATCGCTTGGAAACGTGCTTGGAGGCTTTCCCACCAGCAATCCCGTGGTATGGCGCATGCCGAAAAACTCGATCTCCGCCGCGGAGTTGGGTCGATCCAAAAAATGTCCGCGCAACCCGTCACCCCGCAGGTTTCCGACGAGGGCAATCCCGACTTCCCTCGCGGCATCCTCATAGCTCATTTGAGGCAAATTCTCCGCGGCACGATATGTGTTCCATTCCTCCATACTACGTGATCGCTCCACGTGAACTCGGCCTTCATCCACGTATTTTGCGAAGTCGACAATCTCGAGGGCAATAAAGGGACGCGTGTCGATCTGCGCGAGAGATGGAGTGTGCAGTTTCTGACTCACCCAAAATCCCCGCACGACTTTTGTGGCATCATCATCCGTGGCTGGCGCAGCTGTGTAGCGAGGCTGAAAACAACTTCCATCAGGATTCGTTATTGCCATTTCCATCTTCTTTCCTGGCCACGTAAGAGCGCTCGAGTTCATTCCTTCTGCTGGGTTGAGTACGTTCAGACGTGGCACAGCGGCGTCGGTGAACAAAAAGCTATTGCAGTGACTCGAACCTCCAGCACAAGAAAATGCGGGGTACAGCAATATGGTGACGACAGGCAAGCCGTCGTCCCAAAATAGGTACAACCAGCTGTCCAGCTCGTAGGTGTTGGAGCCGCGAGTGGGACTCAAATACGGCCGAAGCGACGAACAGCGCCACGGGAGACACAGTGTCTCCTGTCTGCACATGATAGCTGGCGCTGCCTGCGCAAAGAAGGACACCGCGAGGGATTGCAGGGCAGCCCAATTCCAATCATCAACAACGTTGAAGATCCATCCTACGTGAAACAGTTGACGGCGGGTTTCTTCGGACTCCCGTAGCCAATCCTCACACTTTGCGCCCGCAAGATGCACACGTTGAAACGGAACAACGCGACGCTCGAAAATCGCCTGCAGGGAAGTGTCGATACTGGGCCGCCTGGTTAGCTCCCCGAACTGGCTGTGGACCAGTGGGTTCGCCGGGTCTTGATCGCCGGAATTCACCTTGAAAAACTTGTCCTTGTCTAGAAAATTGGCGAGCTCAGCATTTCTGTCCTGGGTGTAGCATGCCACACACGCTTGACCATCTTGCTTGAATGGGATTCCCGGAATTGCACCCGAGCCTTCTTTTGCCACCGGCGCGAGTGCAACGCGTGAATCCGACGCGGTCAGCGGCCTGTGAAACGGCCCAGGCTTCGTCATGACGCTCGACTGCGCGCTGTTTGCCGATTGCTTTTCTCCCCCTTGGAGCTGCGTCAGCTTTTCACAGCCTGCAGAAGTATGAATCCGAATCGTAGTTAGAAACAAGTTCCGTCCGTCTCTCTGTTTCTCATCTATTTTCATCAGTATCTATTTGAACGAGTCATTGAATAAACACCCAACAGTCAAGAAGAATTATACTCATCGGGTCAGAAGTGCGAGCCACATCCTCAAACGCAGGCACAGCCGCAATGAGCTCCATGCGCCCCCGCTCCGGCTGGGGGTGGGGCTCGCCTCTCTGCTCCACAGTAGGATCGACTTGAGCAGTCCCGCTCTTCAGAACGTCACCAAGTTGTAAGCAGAGCAGTCTTAGGTTTTTCGGCAAGATGCCCACCCGCTTGTCGTTCAACTGGGGAATGCGAATGGTTACCTTCTCTGCATTGTCTGGAAATGTCAGAGCGTCGACAAATGCTCCGCGTCCATTCAACTCTTCTGCCTTTCCAAGCGAGTGAATTTCGACAAAATCATTTTTGTGAAGTCGTTCCTCCTTGCCATTTGCGGCAAGCGAGGACTTAACCAAAACTTCCGGCATGGGCTCGTCAGACGACCTTGCAGCCACGACTTCTTCGAACACATCGTTTTTCCTCTCCGCACGCGGGAAGGCCTGGCCTTCGCCCAGAAGTGGGATGTGAAGCATCTCAAGGGAACCTAAAATTTTTAAGGGTAGGGTAAGGCTTGATGAAGCTGCAAACCCAAACCGACCCCAATGAAAAGATTTCATGGGCATGCACCGTCCAACAACATATGGATGATTTCACACCAATGTCACATTGTGCATGTACTTACACAGGAAAAGTTATATCCAACTCGGGAGACGGGAGTATGTCGTTTCAAAAAGTTCATACTGTTGCCGAGCAGCCTGATATCCCTGACCAGCATATGCTTGGTTCGACAAAATCCCAGCTCTGCGAATGTGACAGTGTCATCTTGGCTCTCGACGGTTATACGCGGACGTGGCGAAACGGGTGCGTCGAGATTCGGAAACGTTTCCAAATACGGCTCGTTGATATTCACAATCTCGAACACCACAACAACCCGCGGCTCGACAAAATTCGACATCTTTGTTTTTTCGATGTTGATTATTCCATCCATCATCCCGTTTCTTCTGAACCAGGAATCAAGCTTTTTCGCCGTGAGCGATTTCAGATCATCCGGAACGCCGGCCAGTGGAGCTTTGTGGTCTGCGAGACGGCGAGCAGTGCGACCTGTAGCAACTAGACACCGCATGTGACCATCATAGATTATCATCGATTCCTCACTTGCCGTGCTCTTCAGCAGGGAGGCGCGCTTTGCCGGATCTGACAGCTCGTCGCTGAGCCACAAATGCCGGATCAGGCACTTGTCATTGAAAGCCAACAATTTTTTCCCGTCGTCGTCGTCCTTCACCGTTTCTCTAAACTCAGCGGCGTACTTTTTCTTCAATGCGGCCTTAACCCGTTCGGGACTAGCCAGGTAGTCCTTCCATCTGCGCTCGATCGAAAGCACTACCATTTTGGTCTTCTTAATGGCTTCACTTTCAGTATTGATGTGCATGTATGAAAATGAAGCAAATGCAATCACTTTACTACAGTGTACCGCGTGCCCGCATTCAACATCAATTTTAGGGAAAAAAATTTCGATTGTAAGTGGATAAGGAAAAAAACTGTGTGCATTTCAGTCACCGATTTTGCTTATGTGTGCAGACCTGAAAACGTCAGAAGCGGTTCTGCGCTACTTCAGAACGAGGACTGTCCTTGCAAGAAAATTCTACCGTTGTCAAAAACGCTGAAGAGGAAAAGTTAAAACTTGAAGCAAAGAGCACTCACGTGCTTTGGAGAAAATACTCTAGCCAACAACTTCCACGTGCTAGAGTGCGAAGACCATTCAAGATACGACCTGAAAGTCACAGCATCATGATAGTCCGGTAATAGGCGACTTGCTTGCAGAAATGATCTCCCAGATTACCGGCATAGACATAGAAAGTTGTTTTCTAATCTCTTCATCCGGTGGAAAAGATCTATCCAAAAATGTCAAAAGAGACAACACAGTAAGAACCGTGAGGTTGGAACATTCATAGATACATTATGCGCACCGGCTTGCCGTCATTAGAACCAACATGATGCTGATGGTTGGCTCTTCAGTTCTACATTTGTAAATACTCTCCTGACGGGGCGGTGGTTTTGTAGTTGGCAGGGCAAAAAAGTCTATTGACCTTTGACTTCGTTTGTGCACAACTACAAGGCACGTCTCGCCTTCAGAGGGAAGCCGTACCCCGAGTTCTCTCGCTGACTTCCACCACTCTCTCCATCGTCTGCACAAACTGCTTCCCCGTCAGCGGTGCCGTCCCCCGGTGGTCGCGCACCATGGTCGCGGATCCCCCCGGCCCGTGCAAAACCTGGTGCGATCCCCGCGTGTTCAGGCGCAGCTTTTTCACCCCGGTTTCCGGATCCGCGTCAATCCCAACAAGACCCGCCTTGCACAACAGGTTCAGTCCGCGCTTCGTCTGCCGCCACCGCATCCGCTTCTGCGCCAGTACGCCGACGACCGCACGAGCACGCTGCAGGCGGTGTTCGGTCATGGCAGTAAAGGAACTCCTATCAATGTCATCTACGTCATCATCGTCCAGACAGCTCGCGGTTGTCTCTTTACTGGCAACCGATTTCGTCTCCTCCAACCGGAAGCCGCCCTTCCGGGCGGACCGCTCGATCGCCTCGTCCGCCGTCGTTTCGTTCTCGGCTTCCCACGCTTCGCGGAACTGCCGGGCCCGGTCACGCGCGGACTGCAGATTGAATTTCCCGGCTTCTCCGCGAGTCTTCTCCTTCTTCTTCGGCATTAACCAGGAGGTCAAACCGGAGTACGAAGCGGCCGCTTCTTGACTTTCTGCTGGTGTCGTTGCTCCTTGTTGGTGCAGAAGAGTTGCAACTTCGGCTTGTGCCGCTTCCATGCCCGGACCGAAAGCGCACCCCTGCGTCTTGTCCGCGAAAACCTCCTGGAGCGCCTCGGGGTCATCGCATCCAACCAGAGCGGCCTCGAGCAGCTCCTCCGCGGTCAGATCGTCGCCCGACGTCGGAGTCGGGCTGGTGGGGGCTCCGTCGCTGTCATCTCGATGTTCCTGCCAGAATTTGTCCTCCAGGTACTTGTCCATAGCGTCCTCTGGTTGGGGCAGAGCAAACGGAATCTGTCCCGCGATGCAGCGCCGGTTTTTTGCACACACTCCGACGAGGCCATTCTCAAAGAGATACGCTTCAATAGCGTCGATCACCTGTTGGTCGTAGGGAGAAGAATCGCCCCGCGTAATCCAGTGTGACCCGGAGGACGCGTGTGCCGGCCCACGGAAAACGGCATTGGCGGCTGCGCCGTGAAACACGGCGCCAAAACACGCGCGCTTTTTTTGCTCGCCCAGACGTGTCAGCCAGTGCATGCGCTTCAGGTTCCAGCAGTTCTTCTTGTCATCAGCAACGAGGTCGCCTTTCTTATCGCGCGCGCCGTAGAGTTCTCGCTCTTCCGCTGTGTCCGGGCGGTCCAAAAACTGCTTTCGCAGTCCCGTCCGCAGCTGCTGCCCCCCAAAAAGCGATTGCGCAATTGACCTTTCTGCGCCGTCCTCTCCAAAGCACGCTGCCATGGGGCCCAGCTGCTCTGCCATCTGTTGAACTTTCTCGGCTCCGTCCGCAAGGTAGTGCTGGAAGTCAATGATTTCGACAGCAAGGAACGAAGTGGTTTCGACTTGGACCAGATTCGGCGCGCAATGCTGCCGGGAAATCCAGAAGCCGCGCGGAATGGTGGCTCTAGGATCGTCTTGTGCAGCCGACGTGCTAGGTTGATTCTTATTTGCCGGTTTGCTTTTATTTCCCTTCTTGTTTCTCGTTGCCGGCGAAACCGGGTGCGGCTGTGCTTTCGGCAAGGCCTGGTCTCGCACGTCATAACTGGGCACCACTGTGGAATGCAACCAATTTGATGCTAGGTTGCGACAGTCGATAAGATTGGGTCTAATGAACGGTATCACAACAGGGCGGCCGTCGTCCCAGAAAAAGTACAACCACTCGTCGTGGATTGTGCTCCGATTCGCATGAATGGCCCACGGCAAGCACAGGGCCTCGCGGGCGGCGACCACTTCCGGGGCAGCCTGCGCGAAGAATGACACAGCGAGTTTCTGCAGGAGCGGCTCCACGCATTGTTCAGCCGCAGAGGTGTCGCCGCGGAGATGTTGCATCAGATATCCCACGTGAAATAGGGCGCGCCGGGTGCTCTCTCGTTCTATCAGCCAGTGGTCGCAGTTGACGCCCGGGCGGTGGACATGCAGAAACGGCTTGATCCTGCGGTTCACGATTGAGACAAGCGTTGCGTTTACACTAGTTCGCCTTGTCAAAGAACCGACGTGCTGTGTGTACAAACTATCATTCGGGTCGGCGCCAAAACTCGCATTGTAATGCTTTGCGCGCTTCTTTGTCTTCGTGTGAAGAACATCCATCAGTTTGGCATGGTGTTTTGCATCAAAACATTCCATGAATTCCACTACCAAATTGCGGTCGTACGAACTCGAGTCCTTGCCCTCGAAACCGGTCGGCTGCTTTTCGTCCACCGCTTCGGCCTCTGCTGCGATGCCGCTTTTCTTCAACTCGTCAAGCGTCTGCTTTGCTTGTTTGAGAACGTTTGTGAGCTGCTTCCTGGCTTTGCCTTGCACAGCGTTGTCGGAAGAGGTGGAAACTCCTTCAGCGGATTGCGCGACCTGACTCGGCGGAGCAAAAATGATCTTCTTCTCGAGCAGCGCTTCCGCAACAGCGATTTCCTTTCCGAGCGATTTTGCGTCGCCGGATTCACGACCGGCCCGCAGCGCGATCACCAGTTCCCCTGCTAATTCTGCATAATCCGTATCGTCAACAACATGATCGTTTTGTGCGCCAGATGCAGCTGAAGCGGTCGCTCCACTCCCAGCACCACTGTTGGGAGAAAATTCATCCATGATGATCTCTTCCCGTACTAGCTTGAGGTTTTCAGGCAAAATGCCCAATTTTGCATTTCGCAGTGTCGGCACCCGAATCGTGAGCTTCCCAGGCTGTTCCGGATGTTTCACACTCTCGACAAAAGCTAGCTTCCCGTTGAACTTCGCCATGTGCTTGTTGGTTTCCGCGCAGAACGAGTGAATCTCCACGAGGTCGCCTTTGCCCAGCGGTCCGAAGTCGCGGCAGGCTTCGATCTCTTCAGTACGTTCGAAATCTGGCAAGGCAAGTTGCGCAAGCGACGGCGTCAGCGCAACTAATCTGTTCCGTTCCTCTTCCTCGTCGGAACTGTCTGGCTCCATCCGGACGTTTTCGGTTTGTTTGACGACAATCATGTGCTTCGTACGACAGAACCCCAGCGAAGCGAACGTAGTTGTCGCGTCTTTTCTTTCCAGGGTGATGCGTGGTCGTGGCGCGGTGGGCGCGTCGTGGGTTGGCAATATGTCCACGTACGGCTCATCCAGGCTGGCGATCTCGTAGGCTACCGGTTTCAAATCTACGTGGCGTGTGGCCTCAAATCCGCGCGCCATGGAAAACGGGTCTCCAAAACGCATGAACCTCATCGAGTGCCGGTACCAGCGGTCCAACTGTTTCGCGGTCAGCACTTCCAAGTCGAACTTGCCGCTTATTGTATCAAGAGCAAGTTCTCGGGCGCCGGGCAGAAAAATATTGATGCTGAAGTAGCACCCTGTTTCGAGCAGGAAGCGCTGGTTATCGGCAAAGAGAATAATGGTGTTTTTCGCTGCAGTTTTCTTCAACAACGGAAGGACATTCGCTGGGTCCTTCAGCTGTTCGCAGCAAGCTTTCACCTCGAACTCCCTCTTCATCGCTTTCAGCTCTTCCGGTTCTTCCGGAAGGTTCTCTTCGTCCATGCTGGTATCCTGCAGCATCGTCATATCGTCCAGCTTTCCCATGACCAAGCGCGGAGGGCCGTCCGGGAACCTGAGCCCCTGCTTTTTCAAGAACGCGGTCATCTCCTTCTGCCTGCTTGAAGCCATCTTCGTGTCCGGCGGTGTGTATTGTGTGCAAGGACAACGGGCGCTGAAAATTCTGTAAGAAAAAAAAAAAGTAAGAGGACTACGTAAAAAAAAACTTCTCGTAAAAACGCCTTATTTGAACTTGGAATAGGATAAATGCAACAATTTTCTCTCAACGAGATAAGCCACTTTGGGTTAGAAATGTAGGCCATCGACGGGAGTCCGCCCGTGAACAAGAAGAGAAAAGTCGGTTTCCGGGCCTGCAGGAGACAGATAGAAAATGTGATAGGGGGCACATTTTTGCACTAGCATGATGGATACACTACAAAACCAAATGACATATAGAGACGAAAAAGGTGATCTTCAGCAGTGTTCTTATCCCTAAAGGAATTCGCAGCATACCGTCGGGATTTGCCCTGTTTTTTGCGCCAACGCAGGCGCTGCAGCTTTTATGGTCGCGCCTGCGTAGGAGTGCTGTTGCCTTCCCTGGTGGGTTTTTTCACGCGGCCCAGGCGTCTTTCTAGAGGAACCAACAGGCACGCTAGCACCCCGGCGAGCCTAGACATAGACTAAAGAGGCCCCCCCACTGCGCAGATCGACGCGCCCCGCGGGCACTAGCAACACACCCACCCGGCGCAGGCGGGCATCTTTTCCGCGGCCCCGAGCCCGACGTACTCGCGACCCAAAAAAGGCCGCAAGCCGGCTCGTGCAGACTTGGCGCGCAGGCCCCTCGAGACCTCTTGGAACTCTTCAAGCGCGCCCCCATCTCTCACCCGCCGCCCCAATCACTCACCGTTGGCACCGGACCGCTTTCGCGGCCGTGGTGGACGCACTTGCAGAAGACCCGAAAAGCTTCCCGCCTGGTGTTCGTTTAAACGCTCAAAAAAGATAGATAAGAACGCCTACTGCAACGACCTGTGATTGATGTTTTGGCACGAAACAGAGTTGGAGCTTCTGCGCCGAATGTTCCCGCTCTCGAAGACTGCTGCTCTTATCCTCCACGCCATGCATAGATAAGAACACGTTTGTAACGACCAGAAATTGGTGGCTGGCACGAAGCAGAATGACATCTTCTGCGCCAGATGTTCCCGTTCTCGCAAAAGTGCTGTTCTTATCCTCCAAATGGTGCATAGATAAGAACACGTTTGTAACGACCTAAAAGTGGTGTTCTTATCTATGCACGAACAGGAGGGATAAGAACAGCACTTTTGAGAGAACGGGAACATCTGGAGGAGCAGCTTCAATTCTGATCCAATTACCCTACTGCAGGTTGGAAGCTGGAGAGCGACATTCCGACACTGCTGCCCAGTCGTGGTGGTCCTCGCGGGGAGGGGAAGCATTACGCGAAGTTGACGGCTATCCGAAGGCAGCTGGCTTTTTCGAAGTTGGTGAGGGGGGGCCTGCCGTTGCCAGCATTTTACGACGTTCGCCCCCACTGGTCTGCGCGGCTGGCTTATCCGGGTGTTCTCTTCCGCGATAAGCCAGCGCCCCATCGGTCCTAATTTAGGACCGATGGCACGGCGCAGGCAACAAAGACAACACCGCAGGGGCTAGCATCTGCTATCTGACACAAAGAGAGACGAATGGGCCCGCACACTGCCGCGGCCCGGTGCGACCGCCGGCGTAGCCCCGGCTTGGGGGGGATCTTTGGGGAAAAAAAGAGCCCCTCCAAGCTGGGGCATCAGCTCGCGCCCAGGCGCGCGAACTTGGACGCAGTGGCTGGCGGTTATTCTGTCAGCGCGCAGCGCGTTCCCTGGCGCATGCGCTGGGGCTGCGCTAAGCACGAAAGCGCGACCCTCTGGAGGATGCGCGGCGAAGGCTTTGGATAGCCCTGGGCGGTCTCGCTTTTGTTGGCCTCAGACACGCCAGGCCTCGCCTAGAATGAAAAAAACTCACGAATCGCGACGGTATGGCGCGATTTCTCTTAGGGATAAGAACACGCGGGAAGATCACCTTTTTCATCTCTATATGACAACCCTAAAAGTTTCAATACATGCTGTCAGACAGACTTACAACACGAATAAAGTCAGTGTATGTGCATGTACAAATACAATTGCAATCACAAAATTGTAGATCTTCACCTTGAAGATGACCTTTTTCAATCTTTTCCCTCTACGAGGAGCTACCAAAGATAGGATTAGAAACTCCACCTCGCTGCTTTCAATTTCATCTGAACGAAGAAGCAAACAAATCGAAATCATGCGATGGATTGTGCTCATACTTGAAAGCCCTTCTACAAATCAGCGTTGTTTTTGTCGCTCAACATACCCTTCTGACGAAGTCAATGACTACATAGCTCCGCCCAATCGAATCCGAGCATCACGACTGCTACACTGATCTTGACGAGACGATTGTGATTGTGCCGGACCTTGTTACGCAGACGTAACGAGAGCCATCGCAAGAATGCGCAGTCCAGTACCAATCATTTTTCGTGGCCTTGCGTCACGGACCACAACATCTTTCGCCACTGCTCGAACAGATGAATTATGCTATTGCGAGTGGAGGTGTTGGTTCAATTTCAAGAATGGGGGCACACAGCAAACAAATCGATTCATTAGTTGTAGGTTCTTCAACTACCGCCGATTTTTGACTGATCTGAATCTACACCAATTTCAGCGACTTTTTTCATACTCTCCACGAACTGTCTCCCCGTAAGCGGTGCGCTTCCTTTGTGATCCCTCACCAAAGTTGCGGCGCCTCCAGGTCCATGGAGAATCTGATGCGACCCGCGGGTGTTCAGACGCAACTGCTTGACACCGGACTCGGGATCGGTATCAATCCCAATCACTCCCACCCTTCGCAAAAGATGCAGCCCACGCTTCGTCTGCCGCCACTTCATTCGCTTCTGCGCAAGCACGTTGAGTACCGCCCGAACGCGTTCCAGGCGATCATCTTCAATGTAGTTACTGCTGCCAGCCCCATCCGCGGAGCCAAGACCACTCGGAGCCGTGTCTACAACTTTACTCGCTCCTGCAGATGAATTCGCATCCACCCAACGCAGACCGCATTTGCGCACAGACCGCCCCGTTGCTTCATCAGCGTCTTCTCCGTTATTCTCTTCCCAGGCTTCCCGAAATTTCCGTGCGCGATCGCGAGCGGTGTGAAGGTTGAATTTTCCGGCTTCACCACGAGTTTTAATCTTTGCTTTTGGCACCAAATGCTCCGCCGCCTGCACGTGAAGGTCCCGCAGCTTGTCATCGAGCCCTTGCTTGATCAGTGCAGCCGCCTCGGTCTGCAAACAGTCCAGCTCCGGGCCGAAGAGGCTCTGACTGCAGTCACCTAGCACTTGTTCCAGGGCCTCCGGATCGTCCCAGCCTATCAGGGCGGCCTGCACGAGCTCGGCGGCATTCAGATCCTCTGCGCCGACCGTCCTTGATGCGGGTGCGCCATCGTCATCGATGTCGCTCCAAAAAAGGTTCTCCAAGTATTTGTCCATCGGGTCTTCTGGGACTGGCAGGGCAAACGGAATGTGGCCAGTGATGCAGCGTCGATTTTGGTCCACGAAACCGAGAAGAGAATTCTGAACCAGGTACTCCTCGAGCGCCGTAATAATTTGTTGGTCCAGCGGTGTGGAGTCCCCGAGCACAATCCATTGCGGTGACGCCGACGCATGGGGATGAAACGCGTGAGAGAAGCCCGGGGCAGAAGAACAAGGACCGCAACTACCGGCACCGTGGAACAAAGCACCGAAGCACGCGCGCTGCCGACGCTCGCCCATAGCCGTAAGCCAATGCATCCGCTTCAAATTCCATCCAACATCGTAGTCGGTTTTGTCCAGAAGCGCGCCGTTTTCGTCGCGTTTACCGAAGAAAGCGATCTCCTCTGCCGTGTTAGTGCGGGAAAGGAATTGCTTCCGCATGCCGGAGACTTCGTTGCGGTTTCCAAAAAGGATGTGCGCCTGCGCGAAATGGTACTGATGGTTTGATAGGTCGGCAATAATCTCGGCATGTAGCTGTTCCTTCTCTGTTTCGGACAGCGGGCCTTCTCTCTCCTCCAGCCGCTTGGCCGCGGTCCCGAGGACAGACAACATTTTACAATTTCTCTTGCCAGCCGTAATAAACTCCTGAAAGTCCACGACTTCAACGGCTAGAAAGGAACCGGTCTCAATCTCGACAAAACTTTGCTGGAAAGGTTTGATTGACGCCAGGAATCCACAGAGAACTGTATCATCGCACAGAGGATCATCGTCGTGTTTCTGGTGCTTTTTCTTCTTCTTCTTTCCGACACCCGCATCGACGGTCATGCTCCTATTTCCAACATCATACAAGGGGACGCGGTCCGTGTGGAGAAACTTGTGCATGTCCTGTCGAGCACTGCTCCAGCATTGCGTATCCTTATCGGAGGACGAGGGCGTAGGCAATTGCATGAACGTTACAATTGGGCCGGACGACGGATGCCAGAACAGATAAAGCCAGCTTTCATCTGTTCCTTCTCGCGAGGAGTACACTGAACACGGAACACACCACTGCAGACGGTCCGCGATGACGTCCGGCACCGCTTGAGCGAAAAAAGATACGGCAAGCGCGCGGAGGAGGAACAAACGGCGGCCCGCTTTGTCGTGTTTCGGTTCTCGCCCCAAAAACTCAAAGAGCCAACCAATCTGAAATAGGATGCGCCTCGTCTCTTCGTTCTCGAGCAGAAAGTCATCGCAAGTCGACCCAGGAACGTGAATATGCTTGAAACGGCGCACGCATCGCAGCAGCACCGTCGATAACGAGTGCGCAAGACTTTTTTGCGTTGTCATCTTTCCGAGACTGCCCGGAACCAACGACGATATCCGAGAACTTTTCGTGTCGGGGAGCTTGCACTGTCTTCGGAGTCTGCGACATTCATCCTCATCCTTTTCTCTTCGATCGCGTACATCCGCGATGAACTGAAGTAACTGGTCATGCCGCTCTTCTGTGTAGCAGTTTTTGTAAGTCGACAGTCGGGCTACTCGACTGTCACGACCTGAAACAGCTTCGTCTTGTTTATTTTCGCACTCGCTTGGCTTCTCGGACGCCAAAACAATCCGGTGTTCAGCAAAATGGACTGCCTTCTTTAACTGGTTCCGCACTTTTCCCCGCAGGAAATAGTTCGTCTCGTTTTCTGTTGTAGAGCTAGCTGCCGTGACCCCCGGATCGCTGGGATCTTTCGCCCCAACGCAACGCCGGTTTAGCAGCTCTTTTGCCCGAGTTACTGCGCTTCGCAACTTGTTGCGCGCGTCGGAAGCGGCGGTGCCGTTGTCGTGCGCGGCCCTCAGTTTATCAAGTAACTCGGAGGCTGCTGCCCGGGCGTCCTCTGCGCCACCGGCGTCGGCGCCGGTCTCTACCGCCAGTGCTGCCAGAAGCTCGTCATCGTGCTCAAAGAACGGGCAGTCGTCCAGCCGCCGCACGTCATGCACGGAGAATGTCCGCCGAAGGTTGTTGAGTAGCGGAATTTTTACATCAACGAAGGACTCGCCGTCCGAAGAGATCTGCACATCCTCAACGATGGCACGTTTCCCATTGAACTTGATCGCGTCCTCTTGGTCTGCACCATCGTTGCAAATGCGAATCTCCACGACATCAAGCCGCATGATCAATGGCTGGAAATTCGACGCAAGAGAGACAGCTGAACTTCGCGGTGAAGATGCGGGAGTGTCGTGCACCATCAATTTGTCAATTTCCGCTACACGTGAAGATATGTACTTCTGCTTTTCGTGGCTATGGACCCGTTGGTTGACGATTATCATATGCTGCGTTCGGCAGAAGCCCAAGGACGTGAAAGTTGATTTCGTATCGCTCGCTAAGAGGGTCCTACGCGGCCGCGGCGGACATGGGGCGTCTCCAAAAGGAAAAATGTCGACATAGGGCTCGTCAAGGTTCGCTATTTCGTACTCGCCCGTGGACACGAGTTCTTCTTCAGGTCCCTCCACGCCAGCAACCGACCACCCACTGGCCAATTCCTCGAATGTATTTTTCACCCACTTGTCCAAAGTGTGAGCAGTTAAACAATGAGCTTCATCCTGCGAAGAAAAAATGTGCCGAGATTCGTGCTCCGGCTGTCCTCCTGCTTCTTCTTCTCGAGGTGGGTTTCGAGATGGTATGAAGTGCTCACCAGTGGGAATCAGGAAGCGCTGATTGTAAGCGAAAATCACAATTGTGTGCTTCTCCTTTGTCTTTTCCAAAAGAGAAATCATTTTCCTTTTCGCCGAGACTTTCAACTCTTCACAAAAGCATTGCTTTTCTAGCTCCTTTTGTGCGAGTTTCTTCGCTTGCTTTTCTAGTTCCTCCTGTGCGAATTTCTCCGCCAATGCCGGCGTGTTGAGCACAATCGTCGCCACTTGTTGGGCTAACAAGTCCTGACTCGGTGTCTGTGATGCCATTCTGACTGCTGTCAAACCATCTGCTTCATCTTCAATACTAGACATTATGCATCTAAACCCGAACCCATCTCAAGTACCTAATTACCGACCGAGCCACGTCCTTCGATGTAAGGATGGCGACCAAGGAGACCAACGAAGAGGGAAATCAAAGACCATGAACCGTTTCAAATTCCTGCAACACACACTCTCAATCAGTCGCACGCTGCGAGGACTGAAAAGCAGAACAAAAGAGAAAAATAGTGATAAAGCAAAGGCAAACGAGTACGAGAACAGAATTATTATGGATTCACACAGAATGAGACACAGACAATCTGTTTCGCTATAAAATAATGATGATCATATCTTTTTCCTGCTCCATTCTGAAAGAATACAACAAAGAAAATGTTAACCCCAAAGATTTGATTACATCTAGTGAGGAAATACTTAAATTGTGGACAAAAACATGACCATCACAAACACAATATTCGAGATCTTCAACTTTTGAGAACGAAAAAAAACTGCATGTAAAAGTAAGTGCAAATCATAATCAAAATCAAGCGCGCTATTCTACAAACCGTGTACATACAAGCCTTACGTTGGTCACTCATGCCTCTGAGAATGAGTTTGATGCCTAGCCCTAGTACGTAGTACGCCTAGGTACCTCAACCACCGGAATAGAAAAAACAACCTGAACCTGATCAAACAAATTTGTAAAAATTGAATCCTGAATAAAAACACTAGATAGAAGAAATTCGAATCCACATCTCATCAACTTCCATTTTGAATTTTCAACACTACATCACATCTTGTTAATCGTACTTCTCCTCGGCGCTGGTGCGGACATGGCAAGTAAATTGTCCCCGTCCAGCAAGCCGTTGTCCGTTCGCGAAAACAATCGCTGCAACCGATGGGACGTTCGCGCGGCTTTGAAAACTCGATCCCCGTCTCCTTTCACTACGTCTTCCTCTCCATCCGCCTGTGTCTCCTCATCTCCATTTACCGGAAGAGATGTTGTCAACGTGTTCGAAGTTGTAGCATCTCCGTTCGTGTAGTTCCCACCATACGGCCCGCCCCCGACCAGATGCGCGAAGATGTTCGGCACTTCTTGTTCCTCGGTTTCATCTGCAAAATCCACGCTTTTTTTCGACATCAACGACGCCCCACTCGTTTTGTTCGGCACCGGCGCGGGTGGCCCCGCTCGGGGCGTCACGCTGCTGACATCCGTCGGGGAACTCACCGCGGCGAGCTGCTGCTCTTGTTCCGACCCAGTGGCGCTGGAGTTGTCGACAACCCGAGCGGTGGATCTTTTCCTGTTTTCCTGCGGGTCCACCATGGAACTAACGCCGCTTTTCAGCGCATTCTTTCCCGTGTTCGTAGAACGCGAAAAGCGGTTTCCTGTGACCCCTTTCACCATCTTCTGCAGCAACATCTGACTCTGCCGCTTCTTACTAACCGGGACTGTTGACCCACTGATGGCAGAAGCGGCGCCAGCGGTCGAGGCTTTGGAATTGCTGTTCAGGTTTTGCGCTCCTGGTTGTGTTCCATTTACAGCTCCACCCGTAGTTCCAGGATAGTCTGTATTGTCGTTAACACGCGAATTCGGATTGTAGTACCCGCCATTGTTGTAATTCGATTCGCTCAAGGCCGTGTCCTTACTGGCCCGCTTGCTCTGTAACACTTTCACCTGCATGATCCGGTCGAATTCCTTCTGTTCCTCTGGCTGCATGAAATGGTACAATGCGTGTAATGATTCCATGTGGTGGTGTTTGTGTTCCGTCTGCATGGACTTGCGAAGATGGTGGTGACTGTGGTGCTGTTTCCCGAAGCGTTTCGCGACCGCGCCCTGGACCTCCGGGTGCTGCGGGTGCTTCTTGTCACTGTCTAAATAGCTGCTGGTGTTATCAATACTAGAGCTCGAAGAGGACTCGGAGCCAGATTGCTGGGACGAGGATTCTCCGGACAGAGGGGACGAATCCGGCTTATTGTAGTTCCGACTGCTCGCGTTTCTGGAGGATGACGACCCTCCGGTGTTGTTTCTTTCGTCCCGGGAGGAGTTTCTATCCTGCTGTTGAACCCTCGGACTACTCTTCGACGAGCTGCTGCGGGGCGACTTGATGTTCGCACTAGCCCTAGAAGTCTCTTTTTTCGACTTCCTCCCCTCAGCCTTCCCTTTCGAAGCGGTCGCTGCACTATCCGTCTGCAAATCGATGCCAAGTTCGAAAAAGGTGGAGAATCTCTGCCCCATACCTTCCTCCGGCACAGAAATGTTGTCGTTATTCTCCGTGGTCTTGCTCGATCGTTCGCTCGCGGCCAATAACTGTTGTCTGGAGGAGCGGGCGGCGGCAGCGGACAGAGTGGTCTGAAGCTGTTTCTTCGGAGGAGCGACGGCACTGGTATCGGCCTTTCCAGCGCCTGATTGCGCAGTTGTACTACCACCTTGTGGCAACTTCAACGCGGTCGCGGGCATTCCGCCCGTGATCTGCGTGAACAGTTCTCCCGGCGTCACATCCGGATCGTATTGTCCCAAAACATCCCGCAACTGCGTCTTTCCAACGCCCTGGCTGAACCCCCCGACGAGCTGCGACACGCCGAGGAAGTCCCCGAGTGAAGGACTCACGATCGGGACCTTTTTCGCCGGAGAGACACTACCACTGCTCACAGGTAAAGAAATCTGGGCCAGCGGCTGCCCGTTGCTCTTCGCCATCTTCGGCGGTGTGGAGCCCGCGCGCTTCAACACTTTCCGGCTTTGCGAAAACTGCTTGTCGGCCAGATTCTTGGGGATCTGCGCACCCGCGAGAACATTTGTCGACGGCGCCCGCGGCGTCCTCGGAGTAATGACCTGGAACGGCACCACGCTCTTGGCTTCGCGCTTCTTGCGCTCCTCCTCCTGCAACTCGCGGAATTCCTGCTGCAATTCGTCCAAACCTCGCAAAGGCCCGACTTGCAGCGGGTCCCCCGGCCGACTCGTCGTGCGGATCTCCTGCGCTGCGGCTGCAGAAGACACACCGCCGCCTGATTTCCCAAACGGTTTCTTCGCCTTCCTCCCCGCATCTACGCCGGACGCCGACAGGCGCGGCGACACCACGTTCATTTTCTGCCACGCGCCCGACTGCCGAGCAGAGGGAGATGATCCAACGCTGAGGAACGGAACGGCAGCCGCCCGCATAGGGCTGCTGGTTGTACCAACACTTGGAGACCGCGACCTCGTCTCCGGTGCGACCGTGCCAACTGTCGCAACCCTGTACTCCAGTTCCTTCAACAACTTCGCGATTTCCTCCTTCTTCACTTTCTCCTCCGCCGTCGGAATCGCTTTTCCCGCAGCGGACAAATCATCCAAAGCCGCTTTCACCGACTTCACCAGCTGCATGGCCCCCGCAGCCTGCCGGCCCCCGACGAACGCCGGAGGGGGAGTCGAAATCCCGCGCGGCGTTGGCAAATCGGAAATCCGCAGAAAGTCCAGCCCATCACCGAGGTTCAAGGCCGCCTCCTGCGTCCCCGGCGGGCAAAACGCCTCGACCGCGACAGACAGACCGATTCTCGGGCCGGTTTTCCGGTGTCCGTTCTTCAAACCGTGGTAGAAGGCCGTCGCGGGGTCGAACAAACCCGTCTCCACCTGCGCGGCGGGGACCAAAGAAAGCCACAACGGTGCAGAGTCCTTCCCCGCCTTCGTCGTTCGTGCGGAATGCTTTAAGGAGATGATCGCAACGTACTCCATTTCATCGCCGTCCTGCGATTGTGTTTGATCCAATTCGAATTGTTCCTTCTCTGATTCCCCGTAGAATTTGAACTTGATATCGTCCTCTGTGATCGGCTTTCTCCGCAGCCGGAGCTTCACGAACTCATCCCGGGTAGCGAAACGGAGGGAGGAAGTAGAACCCGTTTGAGCAGCGGTAGACCCCCCGAACTTTTGCTCTCTGTACTCTTCCGTTTTATTCAAATCGCGGCCGGCTTGGTCGACGATGTGCGGGTGGTAGCCGATCAGCGTCTCGTACTTGTTGTTCTCCTGCAGGCCCTCCAAACCAGATAGTTTCAAATCCACCACGTACATCGGATCCGACCTTTTCTGCCCGGGGGGCACGACCTTCTGCCCCGCTTTCGCCTTCGGCGAGGCCACCGCCGCGACGACCGGCTGGATCTGCATGGTTTGCAGCTGTTTGGACCGCTTCACCTCCGGGCCCTGGAGCTGCACGGGTTCGATCCCCACTTCGACGTTGCCGACACCTGCGGAGAATTTGAACTTCTTCCCGTCGGTGGAGTTGGTTTTCTCCACAACCGTCGGCTGCGTCAACCCCACCATGTCCGCCACCTCGTGCATCGATCTCTTCCGCGGGTCCAGGTTGCTCGGAACGGCTGCAGCCTGCCGCCGCTCCTTCCGCTTCGGCGACCCGCTGCAGTCCCGCACGAAGCGCTGGACGATTGACATCGTTTCCGGCGACTGCAGGCGGGCTTTCTCTCCCGCGTTCCAGGGCGGCTTCGGGGAGGCGCCCAGATGCGCACCGGTCATGACGTCTCTCCGCTTCGAAAAGAGACCGGAGTAGTTCTGCAATAATTGGGTCGCAGATAACTTTTTCGCAGCTGCCATCACGGGGAAGACTTCGTTTTCCGTGCGCAAAACGTCCGCCGGGTCGACGATCGCATGCGCGGAATTCCGGGGCCGGGGCTTGAAGAGTTCGGAACCCGGGCGGGAGCGGTCGGTTACTTTCTTGTGGTCCAGCTTCAGCAGCGGCTCCTGCAAGCCGCTGGACGGAGATTCCTGCTTCGCGCCCAGCCTCGTCCCGGCGATTTTTGAGGTGGTTTTCAAAATGCTCTCCTTCGAGGTGGGAGACGATTTCGTCAGCGCGGCGCGGAAATCACCGACTCCAACCTCGTAAGTCGTCCCCAGAACCGGATGCGGAGGTCCGGTCGTGAAAGGACCGGCCGAAGTAGAGCCAAGAGCAGCTCCACTGGTCCCTGTTGGCGTGCTCGGCGTCAGTCCACTTGGTGTTGTACTAGTTCCGCCCATCACCAGGAGATTGTGCTGTCCCCGCACCGGGCCTCGACGCGTCCGTGGCGGGAGCATGGGCGAGCGCTTCTCCTGCAGGCCGTGCTCCTGCAACCACTTCTCGGCAAAAATGTTCGTCGGCTCGCCGGATTCGCGCGCCGCGCGGATCTTTTCCAGCATCAATTCGTCCAACACCGGCGTTTTCGAAGCGGATTTATTCGCCTTGGACTGCCGGCGGATAGCGGGGGAGGTGGACGACGTCGGGCTGACGCTGCCGTCTGCGCCGGCTACCCCGGGGACCCTGTAGGGGTTCTTCGGGATCTTCAGACCCGCTTGGGGAACCAAGGGACTGACGGTCGACCCGAGATTCAGGTACTCGTTGTCGGCACTAGCGCGCTTCTTTTCCGCCTCCGCCCAGGCGGAAAATGCACCGGACGGCGTCAACTCGCCGTGTTCGTCGACTTCGGGAGATGCATTACTTTGCTCGCCCAGCATGGCCATCCGCGCGTCCCTCTGCGCCTGCAGTTCCTTCTCGTTCAAGGCCCGCGCCTGCTGCGCCAAATGTTCCGTCAGCGATCGCAGTTGCGGGTGCGTTTCCGCGGCTAGCACCGTCAGTTCCTGCACTTTGTTCAGCAGTCGCCGGAACTCCGTGCTGGCAGCGGACGGGTCGCCGACGCGGGTGGGAAGTTTCCCCGCGTCCACCAACCAGGGGATTGTTAAAGCCTCCGCCTCGAACTGCGGCGCCGGCATCTTTTCCGCGAAGGGGTCCGTAGTTGGGGAGGATGCAGTTGCCGGGGCCTGCGACCACAACTTCTTCTCCACCGCTTGCTTGGCCTGCTTCTTGATCAACGACGCGGCTTTCAGCGCCGCGCTGTTGCTATCCACGATGGTGCCGAACCGGGTGGGCCGGTTCGCTGGATCCTCACCAACGTCAACGGTTGCAACCACAGGCCCAGAACTCTCATCCCGTGCTGTGTCTCCATTCGCAGCTGTGTCGTTAGCACCGCTAGCTGGAAAGATGTTCGACCAGAAGTCCGACGCGCCCTTCGCTTCTCCCTCAGGCAGCGGTTGCTTTCCGCCTTCCAGATCCGTGATCACGGCCCCGAGGTTCTCCTGCATCTCGCGCATCTTGTCCGGTACGTGCGGTTGGTCCAGCCGGGAGAGCGGCGGCACCGGAGCGATCTCCACACCCTCGAGAACACCGCTGGTCCGCAGATCCTTCGGGGAGACAGACGGACTGGACTGTTGCGCGCCAGTTGTAGTTTTCACAGGCCCTTCCGCTTGCTCCTGTTCCTTCATCTGAGCTTGCATGTCCGGAATGTCGTCCTTGCTTTTCCCTGCGCGGCCTGCAGCTTCTTTCCAACTCACGCGGATTTTAGGCTTGATGTCATTCGCCGTTCTGGAAGTCAACTCCGCGGTCTTCCGGCTCACATCCGACTGCATCTCGACCGCTTTCTGATACTGGTGCGGGTCGTACGCCGGCACTTTAGGCACCGGAGACAACTTTCGCCCACTCGGCACGGGGGAAAGAGTTGCGCTGCCCTGCCAACCCGGCGCGTCGAAAGACAGCGGTGAGGCGGTAAACATTCTTCCGCGGTACTGCGCAGCGGTGACAGCGGGCGTCGGAATCACGGTCGGGCCGCCCTTCATTTTCCCCTTCCCTCTCGCGTTGGCGTCGGATTTCGGACCGGGGGCTGTGGTGGCGTCACCTCCCCCAGCTTGTTCTTTTTCCTTGTCACTGCCAGAAAGAACTGCACCTCCCGCCGGATCATTTACGGCCACGTCCGTCACCGTCCGGAAGGTCTGATGGTAGTGCTCTTGTTGGACCATCTGTTTGAACTGGGAGAAGTCGGTCACGCCCGGACTCACCACCATCAACTTTGGCGTTTGCAACTTCACGTTCCTCGGACTGGACGTCAGTTTTGTCGGCGTCAAAGCCTTGGAAAAAATAGCGTTCCCCACGGCGTTCAACGAGTTCGCAGCGACCTGCTCCAGCTGCTCCTCCTGCTTCGTTTTCATGTGCAGCATCGCATTCGCGTCATACTTCATCGGCTTTCGGATGCGCAAGAGGCCTTGTTGTTGCCCCATCATGTTGCTCGTCCCGCTCACAGAAATTGTAGACGGAGAGCCAGTCATCAAATTGCTCTGCTCCCCAAGAAGGTTCGCCCGCGCACCAGGACTCAGCGGCGAACCCGTTGGACTGGTACTATCTTCTTGCGCTGGTGGCCGGGAAGTAGAGGGTAGTTGGTACCCCTGCGCCTTGTAGTTGTCCATTCTTTGCTGCACCCCGCTCCGCAAATTTTGCAAACCGGGAATGGATGAAGCTCTGTTCGGCTGCTGTGCGACGCGAGAGGACACCTGCGACAACAGCTGCTGTTCGTCCTGCTCGTTGAAGCCAGTAGCTCCACCGACAAGCCTCACCGGGACTGCGACCGGTGGGGAACGCGGCTCAGTTCTGTCCTCGGTGGGAAAACGGGAATCCATCATGTGTTCTCCTTCAAAGAAAAGCTGTTCTTCGTCTTGTTGCGAAAACAAAGTTGCGAGTTCGTTCACTTCGAAAGCCATAGCTGCGGACGCTTCGGTGTCGGGGTCCAGCTCGTCGGTGGGGGTTCTATTTGCAAAACATGCTTCAGAATCCATCGTCGCATGTTCCCCTTCTGTTTCAGGAACAATGTCAGCAGCAGCTACTTCCGCCGCCTCTCCCTCAGCTTTTTCCACACCTACACGACCTTGGTCCGAGACCTGCAGTCCGCCCGCCTCCACCGCTGGTGTGGCAAATGCGTGTTCCATGTCGTGTTCGTCAAACACCGAACCGCCTGCGGATTCGACCCCCGCGGCCGCTTGCGACTTCAGCTGCTCAACCAGTTGCGACGCGCGGTTTTGCACTACTGCAGACGTTCCGCGTCCGGGATGCGACATCCGCGTGGACGGCATCTTCACGGGAGGGGCATCATTGTCCCTCCGCATTCTGATCATATCCCCGTGATCCCCAATAGACTCAATCGGTTGCAGCATGTCCACGGAAATCTGCTTTCGCGTCTCCGCATCCTCCGCGCTAGCAGCACCCGGGGCGGCGTGCACGTCGTTCCATTCTGACTGGGACGCCATGGGGATGGATCTGGTTGGTCTTCCACCCGTCTCCTCGGTGGTGCCGCCACCCTGATAAAAGTTTTTCAAGACAAGTACTAATTCACAGGAGTCAGAGTTGCAAGACATCAGCATCATTCCAGGCTGCACTGTGGTCTCACCAACAGAATACGTTCAAGAGGCTAACCTGAAGCTACTACTTACATGGAGATGGAAATCGAACATGCGAATCAGCGACCCTATTCCACCTGTACCTGCGTCGCCACATCTACGTCTCGTTTCTCCCCCACCGGGCTTTTCGTGACCCCCGAGACGTACTGGTCATGCACGACGTCGAACGACTGCACCCCCGCCACGGAGTTCGACAAACTCTGCAGTTGACTCGGTCGCTGGCGCAGCAGCCCGGTCCGCATCACTTCGGCGTTCAGCTCCAACGCAAGCAGGTCCTCGTTCGCCCGGACCAAGGATTCGAATTCATCGACCGCCGAAATGGTCTCCCGCAGCTCCGTCATGCACTTCAGTAGCTCCTGCTCCGGCTCATCATTCCCTTGGATTTGGTCGTTCATGTGCTGCTCTAAATGGTCGTGGATATCAGTGATGTCCTCCTCGTCCGGCTTTCTCGATCCGGCCGTTTTTTTCGAAGGAGATGCCCCGGTTTTCACTTGCGTCAACCACGGCCCCATGGCCTTTATCAGCGCCTGCATCTTCTTCTCCATGTCTGTGACGCCGGCTAAGCTGGTTTTCTTGATCTCTGTGTTCAGATGCACCGCGGCGAAAGCAAGTTCTCGGGCGGAAATTTTATTTTCACTTCCATCGTCATCGTCTTTCGTGTGATCCAAAGCGGACAAAATTTCGTTCACTGACGCCAAGGCTGGGAAAGTACTAGAGCTTTCTCCGCCCGCGTCGATGATTCGGGCCTGGGTGAGGTAGTATTTCGTGAACTCCATCACGTTTAAGTGTAGGACTTTTTTGTTCTGGATCTCCTCGACCTTCTTGCACTCCTCCTCCAGCAAGGTGTGGATATCAGCTGAAACGCTTTTCACCACCTCCGCCGCGTGTCGGAGCAGCGGCTGGACGATTTGAATCAAAATTTTCGCCCGGTTCTTGTCCTCCTGCTTACTTCTGTCCCCCGTGCGGAAGAACTGCTCCCACTTGTTCAAAGTAGTCCGCAACGAAGTTTCCTCGACGAAAAGCTTTTTCAAAAAGAACAGCACGTGCTTGCAGTGCGATTGCTCGAGAAGGGAATCCTTTGTCAGTGGGTCCTTCCGCAGCTGTTGACTCTGTCCGGCGGCAGGGTTGAAAACCAGCAGCTCGGTTTTGCGGACGGAAGGGAACCCCAGCCCGTCAATTTCCAGTTGGAGCTGCTGCGCCTCTGGGTCCTCTTCCGTGTTGGAAAGGGAATCTGGAGTGTTTGTTTTCCCAATGGTGACACAGAGGAATGTGGATGTGGTGTGTACTACGTGCAATGAAAGACTTGGTAGAAGAACTAGAATCATACTTCGTATCTTCAAATCTTCGTCATCGATATACGACGTCAGCAAAAAACATTATCATACCCTGTGCCACCCCGACTCCTCCAGCTACGCCGGGAAACAGTTCCACTCTCGGCGGCCACACCGGTTGCTGCTTGGTCAAAGCCGCCCGCGCTGCTTCCCTTTCAGCTTTTGCTTGTGAAACGAGGGACTTTGCCTTGTGCGTCGCACGGTACAAAGCGTTGATGGTGCATTTTACCTTGTTCGTGTCTTGCAAAAACTTCTCGAAATCCAGCGCCCGATCCAACTCCTGCTGCTTCGCCTGCGTTTTCTTCTTTTCTTCGTTCACAACTTGATCTTTTTGCTGCAATTGCTGGTTCAGCTGCGAAATCTGGCCTTGCAGTTCCTCGATTGTGGTCTCTAATTCGATCTGCTTTGCGCTTTTCCCAAACATTTTTTTGTTTTTCTTTTCTTGTAGTACATGAGCGCCCGAAAAAAAAAACGAACTGGTAGAGCTTGAAATTGTAAGAACCACAAAAGACATTCAAAAGACGACCTCTTCATCGTGACCAAGATCCCTGCATTTGCAGCTACCGATAATTCCAACGAAGTGTACAACGAGGAGCAATCTGATGACTGACGACCACGATTTCCACGATTGCAGCGGCGCGTGCTTCACGTATTCGTGGCACCTATCAAAATCGGGACCAAGATGACGACGAAAATCAATAAAAATTCCTTGCGCGTGCCGGCCTTCTTATTTTCGACGAATTATGACATTGACGAAAAACGACGGTGATCATCTTCACGAATGAGTAAGTCTAAAACTGAGCGCAGGTGCCTGCTACCAGATACAACGACAGAGGGTTCAAATTGAAACTGAGAAGCGAGGCGACCGATTATATCTTCACGATAGAGGACAACTACTAAACACCAGTTTATCATCTTTATAGGATGCTACGATTCGTAAATGTAGTTCCGCGTCTGCGCATTCGCATTGACTCAGCATAATTATTTAAAGTAGGTGCATGTCAGAGAGTTTCATTTGAAATTTCTTTGAAAAAAGAACGCAATGGCAGCGTTCCCTATGAAGGCTTCTTTGTAAACTACATCAGCGTTTGAAAGTTTAGGAAGTCGATTGCTCGTGCATCCAAAAAAAGGGCTCTTTTTTGCTGACAATCGATCCCCTTCTTGTACACGCAAAACAGGCTCTGCCATCTCGCAGGACGGACTGCGTGCAGCCCTTCTTGCGGACAAAAAGCGTCATTATCATCTCTAAAACTACATAGGGCGGGTGTAATTGTTCTACACTCATGTCGACATGAAGGTACGGAGGCCGAAGCACTTGCCTAGGGCTTGCCTACGTCAAAAAAAGAAAAACCACTCTGCACAGCGGGATTACGTTAAAAGTACAGGGTCACGGTCAGGAAACAAGAACGTACACAATACGCATACCTCAAGACCTGACTGCTACCACATTATTGTTGAAACACATCATGACAATTATTCAGCGCGCAGTCGCACAAGTCTTCCTCTCACGGATCAAGACGTTAGAGCATGCGAGCGACTGTAGCAACTGATCCTGAAACTGATGCGGGTACTAAGCTTAGGGTTAGGGTAAAAATCGTAATCAAACCTTAGAAAATGATGCAGTGATTTGGGCTGGGAGCTTCGCGATCATCAACAGTGCGTATATTTTCACGATGAAGTGAAAATTTGCGAGTTGTTGCAGAGAATCTTTTTTCAGTGCCGATCCCTTGGTGCCTCTTGCGACACGGCTCTGCTCAGCGCGGACGGCGACATGCTGATGCGGTACGATTGTCGGTTGGAAAAGTCAGTACTCGCTTCCACTAGCATGTTCGCGGATAGTCCCTTCGGCAGGGCCGACGCGGCGACGCCCTCGCTCGTTCGAATGTCGCGCTGCAACGCCTCCACTTCCGACGCATACTGCTGCATCTTTTCTCTTTTCTTTCTTAAAGCGTGACGCAACGCGTGGTCTCTTCGGATTTTCGCCCGTTGCAGGTACCCCTCGAGCATGTCCCGTTTCCGCGCTTCGACAAAGTTGGTAGTACTGCACGGTTCGTTGCAAGAGGGTTTTGGGAGAGTTGCTGGAGAGGCAAATGTAATGCTCGTATCAACAGTTCTGCCCGATGGAGCGAAGTTGTCCGGAGCAGCAGGAGCACCAGGTCCTCCGGGACTCAATCTCCGCGTGCCGGTGGGACCACCTGAAGTAGAAGTAGAGAGGTTTGATGTTGTAACGGAGCTCGCCGGTCCGATTGTCGGCGACATGGGACCGCCGGGGCTGGCGCGCCGCAAGTCGTTTCTTAATTCCTCCACCTCCGTTTCCATCGTGATCTCCACGACTTCGTGGTCCCGCGGTTCTGCTGCAGCTGCTGCAGTTCCATCTCCCACGTTCGTACTCCGCTGCTGCGGCCCGGGGCTGGTGGCGAAAAACTTGTCGAGCATGCTACTCGTGACCGACCGCTTCGAGATCGGGTCCGCGGCCTGGTCGAAAACAAACGGGTTGCTCGCGGGGTAGCACCGGTCGACGAAGAAGTCCCCCAACAGTTCCTTACACTGCTCTTCCCCCTCGCCGATCCGTTTCGCCTTCATGAGCAGATCGTACGCGGTGTCCGGGGGCACGCGCGAGTCCTGCTTGTAGGATTTGTGGTTTCGGATGAACTCGCGGATCCACTGCGCGTTTGTCGGCAGGTCCCCTTTCGCTCTTGCGACGATGAAATCCAGGTACTTGTTGATTTTCTGCGCCGTGACCGAATCCACGCCGATGAAGTCCAGATAGATCCGGCACAGGGGGATCAACCCCGGGAAGTGGCAACCGGAACTCGAAGTGCTTGTCCCGGGTAGACCCTGGCCACCACAGAGATTGGGGGAGGAGCTGGACGATTTCACACCAGACTCCTTGCTTGCCGCACAGTCCTTGCCGAGGAGTATTTCCCGTATTGTCATCTTCTCGTACAGTTCCGCGTCAGGAATGTCGATGTTTTCCCGGAACATTTGGTCCACTCCTTCTTCGTCGTCCTCCGAAATGGGGTTAAAGCTCGTGTTCATGTCCGTGGCCGCGCGGGTGCTTGCCGCATTGTCGTTTTTCGCCGTGTTGCTCGCCGCTCCGATCTCCGACGAGAGACTGCTCGAGCTGCCGGTGCCGTGGGAGGTGGACCGGGTTTGCCCCACTTCGTTGTTGCAAGAGCTTTTAATGTTGTTTGCCCTTTTGTTCACCTTCGCGTCGATCTGTCGGACCAGGCTGTTGGGAAGCAAATTCTTCCGGAACCAGAACTCCGCCTCGGTGACCGCGTTCATCTTGTGGGCGGTCCGCATGTTCTCCTCCAACTTACTGATCGGCACGTAGAGGTTCAATTCCAGCGTGAGCAACACTCGGGAGATTAACACGACAAACACGGTGAAGGCCGCGTTTTCGAAATCCGTCATCTGCAGCTCCATCGAGCGAAATTCCACCCGCCAGCCGATGTGCCGCTCACTGGAAACGTCGAGCTTGCCGCGTTCCGGGTGCGGAGGCTTCCAGCGGACCTGTAGATAGTATTGAGAGTAAGTTTATCGGGATGATCACGACGTCGCACAAAAGCTACAAATCTTCACACTCACAGGGACAGGGTTATTTGCTACTAAAATCAATGCAAAGTGACGATGCGGCTTTGCGCAAGAATCACGACCAAAAAAAAATCGGAGGCGGAGCTACTTTTTCCTATACCGACTGCCAGTTTGTGCTCTGGATGTTTTCCCAGTGGTCCACGTCCGCGCGGTCGTTTAACTGGATTCGGTCCTCGAAAATCACCAGCGGATCGCGGCAAAACAAATGGGCCACGTGTCTCGCCAACACCGTGTCTATTCCCGCCAACGCCAGCCGGTCGAAGTGGTGCTGTTCGAACTGCATGGGAAAATCATTGTGCGCTTCCGCCATTTCCGTCGCTGCTTGTTCATATGTGCCGGTGTAGGGCGAAATGTAGCAGTCGATGCCCCCGTACCGCGCTTTCCGCAGCCTTTTCACGCCGTTCCCCGCGAGTCGCGGGTCGCCGATGGAATTCTGCTCCACTCCGCGCTCCGCCGCCGTCCGGTCGTCGACCGATTCCGCAACGATGCTCCACCGGACATCCTCGGCCTGCAGCCACCCGCGGAGGTACGGGGTTGCGGCGGTCAACGCCATCATGATCGGGGTTAAGACCGCCAAGTGGTCGTACAGATGTCTACTCTCGCCCAAATTCGCGGCTTGAAAGGTCACCTGCAGCGCGGAGCAGCCCATGCCGAAGCACATGGCGTCCGCGTCGATCTTCGGCCGGCTCAGGTCGGTCTTCTCGTCCACAAACTTCGGACGTTCGATCCGCACACGTTCCCCCCGTCGCTCCCGGATGTTTTGCGTGAGGGTCTTGAACCTCTGATGCGGAAACGTCACCTCGTCGGGGACGTACTTCGACCTCGCGACCGGTCCGCCGGTGGTCAAAACCTCCACTGGGTCGGGGCAGTGCCAAAACTCGCCGACCCCGAGGAGGGGAAAGCAGGCGAGTGTGGGGGAGATTTCGTCCGGCAGGAGGTGCGCCAGCAGGCGGCTGCGACGGAGACGCATGTTGTCTTCGACCTGGTGTAGAATTTCATTTACGCAACTACTGAGATTTGTTTGTATATGCGATTTTGGAAACAAACTTTAAGAAGCATGGTGCTAGGTTTTTTTATCATGTGAAAGTGAATCCCGTCAATAAAATTCGTTTTGAAGCAGTATACCTTCGTCAGCGCAGTGATGCCTTCGAACGGCTTTCCGGGGGTGCCTTCGAGCATCCATCTGCCATATTCCGGCATCCACGCGCACATGTCCGCTTCCGAAAGGCCGTGGCTTCGCCCATGCGCCTCGATGAGATGGAGGCATTGGACCTGACAAAAATTTGTTGAAACGAGATATTGTCGATTTGCCCAGCGGAGTGAAGTAGAACAAGACTCGTATCAATCTGTATATGCAAAAATGTTGGGCCACTCAGCCCCCAGTTGTCCACCTATTCTCGCACTTTATCGGTATCAAATCTCTCTTACCACTTCCGGCGACCGCAGTGAGATCTTCGGTCTTCTCTTCGGATCGCTCTCGTGCCCATCCAACTTGACCAGCTGGTACTCCACCTCGTCGCCGTACTTGAGCAGATCCCCCTTGATGCCCTTCGCTTCGAAAAACACGTTGATAAACTGCTCGATCCCGTGGTCCCGAACGTACTTGAGCTTCGGGAGCGCCTGCTCCCAACTCAAATATTACGAGGAAAAATCCCCCCTCCCCATATCGAAAAGGTATGCTTCCGGAAATTTGCGCTGCTGATTTGCGACCTCAAATCACGTCTGTCTTGCAAGAAGGCAACTCGACAAGCTACGCAGCATTGTGCAGGCGGTTTGTCATGCTGTTGAGCCAACATCACGGACGCTTTTCATGCTAAGCGCCTAAGTCAAAGCCTCTCTACTCAGGCTTGATATGGGTCTGCAGTCCTCTCCAGCAAGACAGACGCGATTTGTGTACTCAAATACAGCAACACAAATCTCGCTTTCGATATGGGGAGGGGGGATTTTTCCTCACAATATCAAAGGGGTCGACTCGACCAAGAACCCCATGGTGGGACGAGGGTGCTAATTATGGCTTCCACCGATTATTTTCATCCGTATGTTAGTTGAAAAAAGACTTGTAGCTTACGTCGGAATAACGACTGGCGGGAGTGCGAGTGGGATGAAATTTTATGAAGCTGGACGAATTGCGTCCAGCCAAAACGAAGATTAGGCTCTGCTGTATGTTGTTCTGTTGAATGCGATATTTTTATCGCATGATGGACAGAAAATACCGTCGCATCTAAATACCAACATTGCTCTCGTGAAGGTGATCGTCCTGTGTATTTGTTTGATAACTCCTTTGCTTTGCACGTTTGCAACAAACGCTCGTTTTTCCAGTCTCGATGTTCGTATCTATCCCTCAAGAATCGTCCCCAAGAAAATATCAACCGACAAAAAACTCACAGCAGCTGAGATAGTGATAGTGCTACAACCTAGGGCCTGCAGGAAAAGAACATGTTGCGTGGTACGCTTGAATCATTGGAGTTTGCTCCGTCTGGAATGGGAATGCGTTTTTGTCGTCTAGTGATAGTGTTGAGTTTATTTCGCACTCACCAGTTGTAACGCGGCGGTGGACAGCGATATCTTCCGAAAGGCATCGTGCATTCGAGCTGCAATCTTGTGACTGCAATTTTCATTGGCTCGGTAGGGAGGAAAACTGTGTTCCCAAAGGCGGTTCGCTGTGCTTTTGGTTTTCGCAGTAAAAAAGAACTGAAGTACCTTTTTGGCACTGAAACGCAGTCAATCTTAGAACTACTAGAGCTGTGTTCTCATTAAATTCGAAACTAGCAAAATCATAGCGACTTTCAACCCCACCCGCCAAGGGCCGCAATTGCTACCTCTTCCGCAATGTGTCGGGCGGGCTGTTGACGTCGTGGCTTTACTCTACCCAAGGTGCTACCTTTGCCAACTGATTGCTCCCGCAAATGATCAACATAGCCGTAGGGAAGTTCGTGCTCGGATGCCGAAGTCTTCACAGCCGTAAGCAATGGATTCGTTTGCGCGCCGGCCCACCACGAGCTAGTATCGGATCTCCCGAACCTGGCCGGAGTCCTCATTTGCTTCACCTCCTCCCGTCTTGGATCCAGATCCTCAATATCGAGCGAAAACTTGTTCCCCGTAGCTTCCTCCCCTGGTGTCGGGCTACTGCTGGTCTCGAAATGCACATACAGGCCACGGTCCAAAGTAGGCTGTAGGTCGTGTGCAAAGAGACTGCTGCTCGACGAGGACGTGGGTTCTTGTTGAGCTGCTGCCATTTCTATCAGCGACCCCGAGCTGAGACTGTTCACGCCGGAAGGTGCGGCTGTTGACGAACAAAGCGTGTCGCTGCTGAAGCTCCGCTGCCTAATTTCTTCCTTTAGCCGGTGCAGTTCTTATGCAATTCAAATTTCCTGTACATGTACAAAATGCATCACGAATTTCACCAACTTGGAGCATGCCACTTGTCATGCTATATCGAATTAAAAGGAAGCTTTGTCATGCAGAAACCGCATTTGTACATCATGTACAGGAAATGTACTGTGGATAGTTCTCCCACCGATACAACTTCGGCAGTGCTTTCCGACGCTTTTTTTAGAGGAGCTCCTTCGCCTACTGCTTTAGCTCGAGATGCCAGCAGAGAACCCGGAGAGGCGGCCGAGGTGAATAGTCGAAAGAGTTTGTTGACCTGCACTGGCTTCTTATAGTTGTTCCCTATCTGCAGCTTGTTCATCGAGACACGCGCCACAAGCGGCTCCTCGAGGTTCAGCGAATCGAACGTGGAAGCACCGGGCGGCCGCTCCTGTCGCTGCTCTGCGAGAAGCGCTCGCTCCCGGGGTCGAATGTCAAGGCGCCGTCCGAATGGGAGCAGTGAGGCTCCTGTTGTAAAAGCGGAGAGGTAGTTGGTTAGTTCTACTCACAGGCTCAGATTTTTCGCGACCTGATAACATACGTTCCAATGGTCTCGAACGTACTTGAGCTTCGGGAGCGCCTGCTCCCAACTCAAAGGGGTCGACTCGACCAAGAACCCCATGGGGCGAAACTCTTATGTATGATCGTTTGCACCAGACTTTTTCAGTCAGAAACGAAAACTTCAGAAAAATACGAATGTATTCAGGAAGCTGCACGACGTTATAGGTGAATCATCAGAAAAACCAAATTGCGAGCAGGAGACCCTGGAGATAAAATGCGAGTATCGCGCAGGATACAGCCAGATTACAACGCAGACACCTACTGCTTTTACTTTCGGTTTTGAAACATAATTTTGCAAAGAACTCTCGTTTGATCAGTTTCAACATCATCATCCTGATGATGGAATGGAAACAAACTCTCATCGCTCTTCGTCTTCTCCTCTTTTTGAATGAAATCGCGGGAATTACAAAAAGTAGACCGATATTCTTGAAGTATATCCATTTTGTACAAAACACGACCGCGGCACCTAGTAACGTGCCAGAAAATGTGAAACACTAAGTCCGAGACGCATCTCACTGCCTCAGCTGAATTTTTGGATTTGGGCAGTCGTACGGAGCAGGGTTGTGATTAGCCATGCAGCAATAGACTCAGTCATGGTTATGTCGCAGACAAGCACTCGTGAAGTGGTCGGTTCTTTACTCACTGCAAAGCTACATTTTCACTTCTTTCGACTTGCACAGCTGCTCGGAAGGGTCCGACGACGGAAGGAGATTCACGGCTAGTAGAAACGGGGACCTCTATTTGATTCAAGGCCGCGACTTCGCGGCGGCAGCTGGTTGCAGACCGTAGTATAAACCCGAGAAATCCCAGTCGGTTGGCGACTTTATTCCGTCGTAATAAAACCCATCAACAGGAAGGAGCGAATTTCCCGGCCCGACTTCCTCCTTCGCTGCACGTTTCGCGGCCTGTGATCGCTTCCGTGGCTGCTTGACCAGAGAAAGAGATGCAGGTCGGTGAGTGGTACTGGTAGGATCTTGGGTTGTCGAGTGAGTAGAGGCTGGAGCCTTCACTTGGAGAGGCGCTCGGAAGGTCGAAGCGGGTGTCCCTTGTCCTTCAGCGGTCTTCTTCTCGAAGACTGTGCGTCCCACCCAGCGGTCACGCCCAGAGAGAAGATTTCGTCGCGGGTCTCCCTTGCCTCCGCGCCACTGGTCACGCAGTTCGAACAGCGCAGGCTCTCCGGCTGTCGGAGATTTATTTAAAAACCGATAGTACGTGACACGTCTGCCGCTGAGTTTCGAGGCATCAACTGCATCGCCGCCGCATACCTCTTCCGGCACAAATAGGCATGCCCTTCCCACCGTGTGCCAGCGAATAAACGAAGTCGGTGTCTCCGTCCACCGGTCGACATCGCTCAGCTCGGGTTGTCCACCAGCTGTTGGCACTTTTTGTTTTTCCCCGCCTTCCTTCGAACAAGAGTATGCAGAGTCGGCGCCGCTTTTGTGTTGCATCTCCTTCTCCAACCCTGGCCGCTGCTCTCGTGGCGAATCCGTTACGACAGCCTTGAAATTCCCATGCTCCCCTGCGGCCTGATGTGTCAACCGTGCCCCCGAAGCAGAGGTGCCCGCATTGCTTCCAAGGCCCGAGTGAACGCCTGTGCTCGTCGTGCCGATCGTCAATTGAGCACTTGCTGCGCTTCTTCCTCCTCGTGCTGCCAGCAGCGGATCTGCATCTGATGTTGGTTTTTCAAACGGGTCCAACCGGGGAAGCACGCCGCCAACCTGTGCGGACGTCGCATGATCTTTGGTGGAGGTACTGCTTTGCCTAGACACGAGTGAAGCTTTGCATTTTTTCCCCGCGGTGGTATTGTCCTCGACGTTTCCGGCGGGAACGGCATTCGGGTTCTGCGTGCTGGAGCTTGGATCCTCTCGGCGGGCTCTCCTTGCAGCTGGAGAAGCTGCTCGCTCAGCAACTGCGACACTGTGCTCGTGTCCGTCTCCTCTCGCGTTCTCACCGTCGTTCTCGAACTCCGGCATGCAGTTCCTCAGCTCTTCTTCCCCAACAAGATGATCAAGATTTTTCTTTTTCAGGAGATCAAGGAGGTTTTCCATCATCTTTTCTTTATCGCGCTTTCTCCGCTTCTTTTCTGAACTTTCTACTGCGTTATTCCTTCGCTTGTCCGTTTCCTTGTTTTTGCTCACCTCGGGCGAGTCCGGTAATAATTTTTCGGCTGTTGTGTCTTTCTTCGCGCTGCTTGGCTCGATAGCAAGTGCAGGCTGGTTATTCGTTTCACCAACGTCAGGCTTCATCTCGTCCGCGAGTTCGTCCTCGAAGCACATTTTTCCACACACGACATCACCGTCCCCCGCGAGCTTCTCATCTGCAACCTCAAGCCTGGGAACTTCCTGCTCCACGGGATGCTCCGCACCGCCGGTGTTGCCGTTGATGCCCTCTAGCAGATTGTTGCTAGTACCCAACTCATTCTGATCCCGCACTGGCAAGGACCCCGCCCACAGCTCCTTGTTTGCTTCATCCGGGTCAAAAAACGAAGGCAACAACGCCTGTCCGTTCTGATTCTCGTCCTTGCCGCTCTCTCGAGGGGAGACGAGATCGAGATCGTGGGCCACGTCAGCAAAACCGTCTTCTTCCTCCATTTCGTCGTCCAGTTCGTCGTCAAGTGTGGCAAAAGATAGTTGGACCCCCTTCGCTTTTCCGTCGGCCTTTTGTGGCAGCGCTGTCCACGACCAGCCTGGAAGCGCCTCGAGCTTGTCAACGTCTTCCTTTTCCATCCGGTCCAGTTCGTGGTCCGTCATCTGTAGTATTTCCCATTGAAGCAAACGGCTTGGCAAGCTCTTCCGGATCTTGACTTTCTCCTCTTCCGTGAAGCTGCTGCTGTCAAAGGCATTGACTTGTGGTTTGCTGAGAACGAGTTCACAATACTGTTTCCGAAACTTTTCGCATTCTTCGTGCCGCAACTTCCATGACTCAGACTCGTCTGCGAAAGTATGCTTGAGGTAAGAGAAGTCGCTCTGCTGCTGGTCCGGGAAGTATGCCTTGAAGGTCTCGTTGCGATTCAGATCACAACGAACCGCCTCCAGAAAGATCTCGATCGTCGGATCAGCAAACGATGTATGAGCTCGCGTCGTAGCCTTCTTGGCACTCTTTCTCTTACTTTTCTTGTTCTGTCTGAGACTACTTTGTTCGTCAAACAGATCCCCCTGTTGCTGCTGATCGTCGTCGTCATCTTCCTCTATCATGTTATTCAAGTTGTTGGTCTTACTTGCCGCATCGCCTTTTGAATCTCTGCCGGCGCCTCGTGGTCTATTGCTTGGCTTACAGAGGATGCCCTTAGAACCGTCCGAACGCTTCACCATGAAGATTTTGTCTATCACTTCGTATTCTCCACACTCATCTGAACTTCCGCCCCTTCCGTCTGCAAAAGAAAGAACTGCAGAATCTTTATTCGGGTGTGGCGCAGAACCTGAAAGAACGGGAATCGCACCAGAGGGACCGACCGGAGGACACTGCCCTTCGCGAGAGCTAGCTGCTCCGACATCACTTGAGCTTGCTACAATTGTGTTTCCAGCCTTGGGAAGTAGAAACGAGTTCTTTATTTCTCCTCCAGAGGCTGCCGAAATTTTCGTCACTCCGTCTGGAGGACCTGGGCGGCGGCGCGACGACCACGATGAATCGAACACATTCGAGCTCTTCTTTCCTTCCGAACGCGATCGCGGGGAAACCGGAGACTCCGTCGAGGAATCGAGGGGGGGACTATGATCCTCCTGCGCTTTCTGTTGTCCTTCAAAGACCTGCAGAAGATCGGCCGCAGGAGGTGACGCCGGCAATAGTTGTTTCTCGTCCGTTTCAAACAGTTGCAGGCCCAGGCTCACGCGCGAGCATGCGGACTTGGACAATTTCCGGGTCTCGCAGTTCTCGCCTTCGGATGCAAGCTCTTTGTTCTTAGCGGGGAGTAGCAAGAACCCCTTGGCCTTGCTCTTGCTCGCGGCCTTCGAACTTCTCTCGCTGGCCGCCGACCCCATTGCTTTTGCTTCTGCGAGTGGTCTGGGCTTCTCCAGCTCCGCCGTCCCTTTTTCGATGTCGAACGTCTCGATTGCTATGCCCCTTGCAAGTATCGCTTCGGCCGCTCTTCTCTCATGGTGTGGTGTCCCGCACGATTGCTGCAGTTCCTTGTCGAAATCCTCGGCGGCGACAAGAGTAGCAGCTTTACTTCCTGGGCCCTTCAGTCTTGGCGATCCGAGCATTTCATTGGCGTTCGAGAAGCTCAGCGCGTCCATAATGTCTGCACCTCCTACCTTCTCGACTATCCCGAGAAAAAAACTGTCTCTTTGCAGCGTTTACACTACAAGTTTGTTACAAACGGCAAAGAAAACTTGTTTTACGCGTGCTTCCCAAGCGAAAATATGTCACTTAAGACCCAAAAAAAGTCTTGCATGTGGTCTAGCAGGACGTATGCGTCAGTGTCTGTGCTGCATCCTATGCATCGCAAGTTTACAGTGATGAAACAGTTTTTTCGTCCGATATCAACCGGGACCACTGCGTACCGATTCTTCTTGTTCCCCAAACCAATGAGCACGTTTTTCCACTTCGTCAGGCGGTCTTGCGCTGTTACGCCCAGGAAGCGTCTCTGCTGCGCGGGCGTCTTTGCTGAGATGCAGGCAAGACAGTGCGTGACGAGATGTAGCATGTTGATCTGCGACGGGTTTTCATCGTTGGAGCGAAAGACGTCGGCGGTGCGCACCGCATCGGATAATGCTGGCACATTGCTGCCACCAGGCGGCGGCCTGTACAAGATGTTGCTAAAAAGCAGCAGCGCTTCGGGGTGCTTGCCTCCTTCTGGTGCCAGGATCGGCGCTTTCGGGTCGGCTCTCATCACACGCGCGAACCGTTGCAGGTATTTCCCAATCTGATGTCGTGTTTGCAAGTTTAGTAGTGAATCCGTGATGTTGAAATAGATAATGATGCAAAATGAAAAAAACCTATTGGCTGCGGATCAGTTAGGCGCACTCATGCATGCGGACACCTACAAGAGAATCGGAAGAACAAGCACAAACAATCACTGCAAGTGAGATGACTAGATCTAGACCCACTACGGTGGCATTTAGATTTAGAAAACAAGTACACACTAACGTTAGTGCGCACCAGCGGCAAAATAAATTAATACCAAATTGATAAGTACCTGCTTTCCAGAGTGGGGGCTGGCACACTCCATGTCGCAGAAGAAAGCCATGTTGGCGTGAAACGTATCCACACCAAGCTTCAACATGTCGCAAGTGCAGAGGGCGTAAATGCCCTGCCCTTCGAGGGGACGGCGCTCGAACCGTGCGATCTTCTCCCCTCGTTCGGTAGTGCTGCAATCGTCGCGCGAATGCATCTTGTCCAGTTGAAGGGCCTCGCTCTTACCGAAGTCGTACTCCTTTCGTACCTTCTCGTACGCTTTCTCCTTGATTACTTTGCGGAACACCTGCCCGAAAATTTCTTGTGCCTCCGGCCCGGTCATGTCGTCAACGCTGATACTCTCCGACTCGTCCTCTGAGCTGCTCGTAGCGCTTTTACAAAATATGATGATGTTCCAGCATCCTTTGTACAGAGGGGTATTATCGAAGCACGCACGCGCCATCTTGGTAAAGTGCTGTCTTATCCGATCGAGCTTCGCTGCTCTTTTTATTTCCGCGTCCTTTCCCTTTGCCTTTGGATGCGCCTTTTTGCAAAAGGCTCGGTAATCTTTCAGTGCCTCGTCTTGACGGCTTGCCGCGCTGCCGGACAACATATCACGAAGCACTTTCTCCATGGCCGGCCCGCTTTTGTTATCGTTTTCCGCAACGACTAGAGCAGTCTTAAGCTGGGCTCGCAGTTTCTTCACCGCGTGCCACCCGAGCAATGACTCGCCAAAAAGGTTTGCCGCCTGCTGATAACAAGTTTCTTCTGCCGCGTTCATTTCCAAAGCGAGCTCGCCGACGCCGGCGGACGGCTCAAAACGCACCAGCGGATGGACATTACGCAGGCATTGCCACTCGATGCCATCACTCGCGGTGATTTCGTAGGCCAACGGGCCGAAGTGGGGACTTGCTTCGCCCACACCGTCGGCAAGAACCATTGGGATTTCTCCCTCGTTGTGAATCGTTCCGGTGTAAAACTCCCACAAGGTGCTGGCGTTGATTGGGTCGCTTGGGTTTTGGTTGTTGTCGGCGAAGATAGTTCGCGCGCGCTGGTCTGTGGTGAGATGCGCCTCGTCGAACACAACTCTAGCCCACTTATCGCCGACATCGGCCGCAATCTTACGCAGTTCGCCGAACGAGTCTAGTGTCGTCACGATGAGCTTTCTTCTTGTAACGCCGGTTACCCCCTGCTCTTTCCGCCAGTTGCTATACTCTTTCTTCTGATCCTTACCATTCAAATGGGTGACTCGGCTGGCTGTCGCCCGTGCTTTGGCATCTGTGCCATTCATGCCCAAGGAGCAAAAAACGAAAGCGTCGTACTTTTCCGCAAGTTTTCCACTTCCTGTTCCTCCCCCAGCAGTACCAAAAGCAATCTTCTTGCACACGTAATTCGTCACAAAGCTATCCACGAGTCTCAAGGTCGGCAGCACGACGACGCTCGCTTTGTCGTTAAATGGAGGGGGTCGAGAAGCGGAGGAAGAAGAAGGCGGGGGACAGAGTAAGGTAGTGAGTCCGAATTTTTCAATTGTTTGCTGATCGATGTCTGTATCAGTGTACGCGTCCAGCAAAATGCGCGCACTAAATATCGAGGTCTTACCCAGACCGCAAAAAATATTCAGCAGCGCTCTACCGCCTTGTGAGAGGCACGCCCCGCTCGCAGCGAGTGCACATCCCTGATATTCTCGTAGTCGTATGCCCGCCGCCTGAAATACTGGGTGCGGCGGCACCCAATCCCGGGCCATTTGATGGCGGGGCAGGTCGTGGTGCAGAATCTCTTCACCCATCATGGGTGAAGATGTTCCAAATTCAGGCTGGTCATCTCTCCAGATGTCCATCGAGTCAGAGAAGGGATTTCCTTCCGGCTGTGGTGGACATGGCTCGACGCTGCCTTGTGCGCTCCCCTCCTCGACCTGTGGCCCGAAAGACGAACGACCTGCGCCTCGGTCTTTACCTCGGTCGTTCTCGCTGCTGGCACCTTTTAGTAATTCAACGCTGTCCGCCACTGGTCCGCCACTGTCGTCCATCAGATTATTTTTGTTGAAGGATTATCAACTGCAGAAAGTGTGTGGGTTTGGACGAATGCCAGGTTTCTCATGCATGTTTTGCATAACCCATGATGCCTGTAATGCATGATGTTCCAAGAGCCTTGTGATGCATATGCCGCATGGGAAGCTCCCACACCGCGTCGCACCAACTGAACCCGTTTTGCTGGTCATGCAATACATTTCCTTTTTTTTTTTTAAATCCGAATTCAGCATGTCAAAATCCAACTTTCGAGAGGACACATTTTTGCAGTTGATACGGAGGAGCTTCGCGGCATCGCAGGCTTCATGTCCACCAGAAACAGGTTTGCCCCCCCGTCGTCTTTGTAATCGGACAGACCCAGACTTCCCTTGTTGTTCTGGTCGAGAAACACGCGCTCCCTTTTCGCTGCGCCAGATGTGGCTCCGATGTCACACGGGGGCGCTACTCGCGCTAGTCGTGGGGACTGCAGGCGCGAAGTGATCTTCGGCGATTCATGTGCCGCGTCCTTGGTCGTCAAGCTGTAGGGCGCAGGCAGGTTGAGCGTCGAAGCAGGTGTCGCGGCATCATCTTCTCCTACTGTCCCCTTTACACCTTTCGCCACTTGCTCCTCGATCGCACCGGGGGACTCCGTCTTGGAAATTGATTTACTCGAGTTAGAGGACGCGCCGTTCCTCTGTTGTAATTCCGCAACGTGGTCCGTGGACTCCTGCGGCCTTCCCTTCATCACGGCCAACGAGGAGGCTCCAGCTGCAGCGGCAGGAGTTCTCGCCACGGGGGCCCTCAGCTCTCCTCGTACTTCCCCAACGGTCCACCCATTCCTCCTGCGCACTTCGCCGCGCACTTCGCCCACGGTCCAGAGATCCGCTGGCTGTGGCCGCACGAACCGCCCGAAATTCATTACTTTTGTCAGCAAGTTCAGCGTGAGTCTTTCTAGGTCTTTCTAGTTTTCAGAAGAGGTAGTTATTGAAGTCCTTACTTGTCTTTTTCCACCAGGGGTTTTTCTTGAAGAGGGGTTTTTCTTGCAGTAGCGCTAGGGAAAAAAGGCGTGCTTTGACGAGAACGGAACAAATTTCCTGCAGCGCCGAGAACGTAAGGGATCCTGCAGCTCGTACGGTCTTTCTTTTTCCCGAAGACCAAGAATAACACAATCACGAAATGCAAACATAGCCACGGTAAAACGCCAACACTCAATCAAATACCAGAAGATCATCACATCTCCGAAACAAACTAGCCGTAGCAACGAATACAAGGAGTCGAAGAACGAAGCTACCTTCAATTCCGTCACACGTCAGGAGAAACAAGGAAAAACAAGACAGGATCGATGATATGATCGCACAAAAGAGATCGCGGTCGCCACCTGACGGGAAAAAAATAGGACAAACGCACGACAATATCGCGACCAGTTCGTCTTTGACTTTTGTGAACTGCACTGCGAGACGCCAGGTCATACTTTGCCTGAGTCTTCAACTTCGTGGCTGACATCCGAATCTCTACTCTTGGAAATGAAGCACATCCAAAAGATTTACCTATTTGCTCTTGCGATCTTCATCATCGCGACATTCGTAAGTGTAAGTGTATCTACCATGATCTGTCGCCCACTCCTGCGTGTAGCGAATACGCGATATTTTGTCTCGATGGCTTTCCCCAGTCACCACAATGCTCCTCCCAGAGTCCTTCGTTGAAAAGCGCCCGCGGAAATCTTTCAACGTGTCTGCGGAGAACGTGCGGAGCTTCTCTTCGCCGAGCACGATTATTGGAGCGCGAAGTGTTCGGTCGTGGTTGCAGGTTACTTCCGCAAAAATCTGACTCTGCGCACACTTCATTGCATGGAGGCGACGGTTATCCAACGAGAACAACTGCAAGCCCACCTGCTGCGATCTTAAAACCTCAGGTTGCAGCCACGGCTCCGGATTGCCCGCACCAATCGAGACCCATCCGTGATCCACCTCGAGCACCCTTACCGCCGGAATTTCAAACACCGAAATGCGGCCCGCACAAATTTCAACGGCTAGGTTTGCCGGGGCTCCTTGATTGACATCACTAAACGTAGGCGAGATCGTCTTCTGCGAGAACCAGAGCTGCGACACTCGTCGTGTTGTGTATTGCAGCATGTTTTCCGGCTCGGGCGCTTCGCCTCCTTGCCCTCGCGAAAGAGCGTAGCCGTCTTCCTCGTCCGTCTCGTGCCGCGATCGGGCTCGCACGAGGGATGCGAGGCGACACAAGTTCCCAAATGCCAGCTCAAACGGGGCACGCCGGAGCTTGCGTGCTTTTAGAGTATTTTGGTTTCGTGTCGCCTGCTCGCTAGCTTCGTCCTCAAACTTTTTCTCGATGTCAAAAGATTCATCAGCCTCTATATCATCACCCAGGCTCTGACTTAATTGCTCCAACTGCAGCTCGCCAAATGTCCTTTCTGCATTTTTCGACTTCGGCTTTCCTTTCGCGCTTGCTTTTCTGTTGTGTGTTGCTGTCAATTTCTTCAGCAGTGCTTCTTCCTCGAAGTCAAGCTTTCCGAGAAATTTCGACCACGAAAAAAAGGATGGCTTCTTTTTCACTTGCCCCTTCTCGTTTTTCTTGACTTCTCCAGCGTTTCTTTTTCCCGCTTTCTTGTTTTTTGGCTTCTTCTTGATGTTGTTCATCGGTGGATTATCGTCCGCGAGAAGGTCGTCTTCTTCATCGATGATTTCTGAATCCGACGAGACGGCCTGCGCTTCTTGCACACCTCCGTCTTGATCACTCTTTTCAGTCTCTGCTTCCGCCTCTATTTTCTCGGCCTCGGAGTAGGTGTGCTCCATCAAAATGGAGGACGCGTACAGCAGCAGGGCAGTCCGCAGCTTGTTATCGAACGAATGAACTCCATCTGCGGCCTTGTTGACGTTCCCGAGAAACGCCTGTCGAAGCTCCGGGAGAGTTTGTCCGTTCCACTTTGTCCACTGTGCTGCATCCTCCGACGGCAAACACTTCGGCCTCAGCTTCAAATACTCGCTTACCGTATCCTTTGCAATTTCTGGAAGTTTCTTCGCTGCTGCCTCAAGGTGCTTCTTGGCACAGCGCGTAAGCTCTTCATGGTCCGGAGGTAATTCCTCACTATCCTCGCCTTCGATGTCCCTCTCCGGGCCGTGCTGCGCAAAGCTGAACGCTGAGGCCAAGGCCTTCAAACTCATGCTCCGGCTCACCAACGGAGGAACAGCAATGCTCGCCCGGCTGTCTTCTTTATGCCGCTCCTTTTGGTCCGTCAGTGCCTTCAGCTGGTCGCGCGGCAGTCCACAGAAGTCCTCAAGGTCTTTTGCCTGCGCGGAAGAAAATACATCGAGAAATTTGAACTCCTTCGCGCGCTTCAAACGTTTCCGGAGTTCCGCCTGCACATCGCGTCCAGCACGCAGTTTATTTGGAGACAGGTCCTTGCCGCCATTGTTCTTACCACCGCCGCCCTCGGCGTTGTCTTCTGTGTACTTCGGCAGCAGATTGAGAATGTCGACCCCGTCCTTCTCAGCGTTCGCCAGTTTGTGCCCCAGCTCTGCGAGCTCCGCCGTTTTGGGGTGGTTCAGGCCTAGTTCTCTCGCAGCTGTCTTGTGCACTGCAAACATGTAAGAGTCTGGCTGGTTGCAAATTGTCATGCAGCTATGTCTGGATGGTGCAAAAATCTGTGATGTTGCGTGATTGCCAAATAAAAGTAGTCGGCCAAGGCTCGAGGCAGTTTTTCATGCGGCAGAGGGATGACAGAGATCTCAAAGAATCTCTCAACATGCCAGGCCTTTTATGCGAGACCTCATAGATCATGGAAAACGAAAAGCCACAACATGACACGCGTTGCATCATTCCAGACCCGGACATCTCTTCACTTGATATGTCTGGTACTTCAACGTAATCGCGCTCACGCCGTACTTTCCCGGAAACAGTTTTTGCCGGAGAAAAGGCCGCGAGAACAGGTCGAGGCACCGTCTCCAAGCTCGCATCTCGTCGCCTGAGTACTCGGCAGGGGTAGTCGTGGTGAATACATCCGATATCAGGACTTCGCTCCCAGCGAAGCTCTCAAATTTAGTTTCCTGAGCAGGTCCACCTCCCGCGGGTAGTTGTAGAGCAGCTTCGTCACAAACTACGACGTCCGCTTCTTCCTGTTCTACCACGTCACGCATCTCGATATCGGTTTGCTCAAAGTCCACTTTGCGAAGACCAGGCTCATGCGCATTTTCATCGGCTTCGAATAAGTTTTGTTCTTGATCGGACGCCGCGCCCCCTAGGTCAGCATCTTGCTGCGCCTCTCCTTCAAACACGTCTTCGGGCTCCGGCTCCTCTGCTTCGTCATCGGATGCGTGCTCGGAGAGGCACTCCGCGGCAGCCACGTCCGCGTCCTCCACGAAAATTCCGGAACCGGACGCCTCGGGAAACTTGCTGTCTGGCATGGCGCTGGTCACCAAGGAGTTCCAACACACCCAAAACTTGTCCCCGTCAAAGTCTCCGTGGCTGCCCTCGATGCTCCCGCACACCAAGACGTTCTCGCACGCCATGGCGGCCCGGACCGTTTCCGCACGCTCGGCGATGGCGTGTCGCCCGAACAGCATGTTGCAAGCCTCGTAGCAGGGCATCTTCATCGCCAGGAGCTTCTGCCCCGGTCGCAGAAACTTTCCCCCAAAGGACAGAACGAACTCGCCGGGCTTCAGGGTTTGCGTCAGATCCGGCTGGACCACGAAGTACGCCGACTCAGCGCAGGCGAAGTGCTGCTTCTTTACAATCGTGCGCAGCTCGGCCGCTAGGGTTTTGTGGAAAAGCTCGGCAACATACGGCGTGTCCAGCTGCAAGCCGCTGGCGAGCATATACTGCATCTTTGCCATCGGCGCGCCCGTCCCTAAGAGTTCCGCAGCCCCAGTGTCAGTGAAGACAAAGCTAGTCTTCTGCCGCCCAAAATCGTCGAGCTCGCAGTCTTTGAAGATCCTCTGAATGATGTTCCGGACCGTTGCGTGGGCCAGCTTTTGAAAGAGCCGCTTTGCTCTCCTCGCCCCCCCGATGTGGTGTTCGAGGATCAATATGCTCTCGCTGTTCAGGCTTGCTGGCCGTGGGGCGCGTTCGTCGGTACGGCCGTCGACGGTGACTTCCAGGTCGATCTTGTCCCCCTCCTTGCGGCCATACATCTCCGGCCACTTATTTGTTGACTTCGACATCCATTTCACCATGGATTTGCGGAGGACAATGCGCCGACCAGTGAGGTTGTGGCTGACCACGAGAATCCCGCGGGCCGGCCCGATGCGAACCTGTATCAAATGTAAAAATGTCTGGGTCTGGAAGGTTGCAACTTGTGATGCTGTCTTTGGAAGGTAAAAAAAATCTGTATTGCATGACCAGCAAGAGGAGTTCAATTTGTGCTACGCGGGGTGGGCGTTTCTCATGCGGAATACGCCTCAGAAGGCTCTTTAAAAATCTGTGATGCTAGGTCATGCATTACAGGCATCACGGGTCATGCAAAATATGGATGACAAACCTGGCAATCTTCCAGACCCAGACATTTTTACACTTGATAACCTGGACGCACTGCAGATTCCCTTCTATCTTCGCAGTGTTGACATCGGCATTTTTAGCTTCACCAGAGCCGCTCGAAGGAACTAGAGACGTGTCGTCAGCCGCATCCAGCGCGTTGTCCTGCACTGCGTCCGCATCACGACTCGAAGGAGCAAGAAGATATTCTCTCGGCTCGGCCAACCCGACGCCATTCCCCGTTGAAAATGTATCCCCTTCGCTTTCGAGCAACTTCTCGTCATTGTCGTGTAGTGTCATCTGTGCCGGAAGCTCCTTGCCGCTCCGATTTCTCCAATCGCTTGCACTTTCAGTTTTCCGCTTCTTCAAGGCACTGCCGCCGTCACCACAGGACTCTGCTTCTTGCTGCTGCGCCGCTTCCGCATCGCCCTGAAGCGTTTCGCGTTCGTCCTGATTGGGAGCCATAAGGCGTTCCTGCACCTCCCACATCAACTCGGGAGAAATTTCCCCGTTGCCGTCGGTTGCACAAGGTCCCTCGACGTCTTCCCTGATGTCGATTTCACTCGAGTCGAGCTGTGCTACCTTGGTCGTAGGGGAAAAGAGCAGCTGGAACCGCGACGCCCACTTTCCCAGGTGCATCGCTTGAACTTCGTGGTCTGACAAGGGCAGGTGCCTCCGCAGGACCTCTTCGACCGAGATGCCGTCGGCGCGGATATAGTGGAATAAAAAGTTGCCGCCAACTTTGTGGTGAGAAACCAGTTTGTTGTAAAAACGGCCCTGGCGGTCCTGTACCACAGCTGGCGGTGGAACACCGTCTTCCACAAAGACCTCGATGTGGGTTGGTCCGGACAAAATCCGCCGCGCTGCCATCCGGCGAAATCGGCAATCACCTCCGATATACAAGAAAAAACGGTGTGAGTGTGAGTCTGGGATGCAGAAAATGCAAAATACCAGATACGCTTGTCATGCCAGACAACCACGAGAACCTCTTGTCATCATATGTGTTCTCACGTCTTTCTACGGGTTGTGGTTTTCTCTGTCATGCAGAACGAATTTGTCATGCTGTCAACCCAAGAAAGTTGCCCTCACCTACGTTTTTTCCTGGATATCCAAGGTCGAAGTAATACTCTTTGCGGGGGCGCCGATCAAGGACGTTAATGGTTCCTTCTCCCCGGTCATCAAGCACTTCGGTGACCATGGTGTCTTCGAGCACCTTCTTCATGGCAGCGCGGTTTCCGATGATTTGCTTGTTAAACCGCACCACCCGTTGTAAGTCACTGAACCACGTGCGCTCCCAGTTTCCCTTCGTGGGCATTCGGCCTATCAGACGGCAATAATCGGCAGAAGTCCCTTTCTTTGCCTTTTTCACTAGCTCCCCGTTCTGCAGCTGCTGCTGCTTTTCTATCCACTTGGGGCATAGCTCTGCGTCGCCTGTGAGAATGTCTTTTACGGCACATTTGTTGTACCTGCCGTCCTTGAGGTTCTTCAAAAGATCCAATATGTTGGATCTGACTTTCAACTCCTGGAGCTCCATTTCGGATACCTCCATCTTCGCTCTCGGCAACGACATGTTAGTGCTGCATCGAACAAATAGAATCTTTCATCAAAATCTAGTGACAGTACAAACAATCAGCAAGTGCTGACAATTGTGAATAGACAATCTATCAAAACGACGATTCCGACCACAGGAAAACAGTGACAGACTAATATGCGACAGGGAGCCGCCGCCCGGGTGAGAGAAAGATGAAAGAGCGCCAAGCCAACAGTGAGAAAAGAGAAGAGATCATCCACTTAGATCCAGTTTCACACAAACTCTGTTGTAGATCGGGAAACAAGATCTTCAACTAGATCTAGTAGACTGGTGGTCCTTGTCATCCCTGTGCTGATTCAAACCCGAGGATCGTCCGGAATGTAAGTATCAAAACTCGTTAATGAGAGGCCACGTTCGAACGACGGATCCAACGACCTAGAACAACACGGAACGCACGCAAGAACATACAAACATAAAACCGTCTCCGTCAGCCCGTATGAGTACGCTTTCAGATGATCGACAGCACTCTGCTGTGAGACGCCAAAGTAAGTGAATCTTTGTTCTCTGAAGGAGACAACCCTTTGTTTTCATATTGAATTTTGTCAGTCTTCCTGCTCGGTTCCGCGGCACTCTAGCAGAGGCAATATCTGGCTTTTGCCAAAAGTGCAGTCGAGCTGCAATCTTGTGATTGCAATATTCATTGGCTCGTCTTCGCACCACAAACAACATAGAGAAACGAGTTTGGTCAACCATAATCCATACATCTGGTTTTTCTTTTTCGCAGTGAAGACGAACTTACTTGTTGGAGTATTGAAACTTGATGCGCCCACAAATACCGCTTTGAAGTCTTTAGCGCCATTCGCTTTATGCGCCATCTTTGTACCTCTCAGTAGAGCGAAACTCAATGGGCTTTCCCTTCTTCATCCCCACCCGCCAAGGGCCGCAATTGCCACCTCTTCCGCAATGTGGCGGGCGGGCTGTTGACGTCGTGGCTTTACTCTACCCAAGGTGCTACTTCTGCCAACTGATTGTTCCCGCAAATGCTCAACATAGCCGTAGGGAAGTTCGTGCTCGGATGCCGAAGTCTCCTCCACAGCCGTAAGCAGTGAATTCGTTTGCGCGCCGGCCCACCACGAGCTAGTATCGGATCTACCGAATAGCTCGGATCTCCCGAACCTGGCCGGGGTTCTCATTTGCTTCACCTCCTCCCGTCCTGGATCCAGACCCTCGTCAATATCGAATGAAAACTTGTTCCCCGTTCTTTCCTCGCCTGGTGTCGGGCTGCTGCTGGTCTCGAAATGCACATACAGGCCACGGTCCAAAGTAGGCTGCAGGTCGTGTGCAAAGAGGCTGCTGCTCAACGGCAACATCGGAGGTCGTACTGCTGCCATTTTTATCAGCGACCCCGAGCTGAGACTGCTCGTGCCGGACAAAGCGGCGGTTGACGAACAAAGCGTGTCATTGTCGAAACCCCGCTGCCTGATCTCTTCCTTCAGCTGATGTAATTCTCGCACCGACACGACTTCGCCGCTACTTTCGTCCGAAGCTTTTTTTAGAGCTCCTTCGTCTACTGCTTTAGCTCGAGATACTCGCAAAGAACCCGCAGAGGCCGAGGACAATCGTCGACAAAGTTTGTTAACCTGCCCTGGCTTCTTGGCGTTTCCTATCTGCATGTTCGACAGACGCGCCACAAGCGGCTCCTCGAGGTTCAGCGAGTCGAACGTGGGAGCACCGGGCGGCCGCTCCTGTCGCTGCTCTGCGAGAAGCGCTCGCTCCCGGGGTCGAATGTCCAGGCGGCGTCCGAATGGAAGCAGTGAGGCTCCTGTTGTAAAAGCGAGAGGTAGTGGATTACTAGTTCCTTGTACTCAAAAGCTCAGATTCGCTGACAAATTTCAAATTCTGAGATACAACCGCACAAATAAACACGTTTGTCACAAACACTCTGCGTAGCAAGATCTACTTTGTACCATGGTCGTGCAGCAGCTCCTCCCTGCTCGTAGCGTCGACGCTCATCTGGAGACGCAACGACAAGGCAGTTCCGTAGGGCACTAGCGGAGTAAGGCCAAGGGCAATCACGACGATTTTCGTTGCGATAACCCACAGAGGTGGTGCGCGTGCGCCGCGGTGCATATTTTCGTGAAAATGCGGTGGGGACCGCAGCTAGGAGCAACTCTGGCGTAGGAAGCACGTACCCAGCAGTGGGTAACTACTATTTTCAAGGCACGGCGGACGCGGAGTTATCCCCTACTACCTGTTACAAAAAGGAGTCTTCTAGCATTGCATCGGACACCAGCACAGAAACCTACAACGTTTGAAAAACATTGCAATAACAGCGAAGCCGTGACGATAGGTGAACAGCGACAGGCTACTTCTTGGTAGACATCGACGCCAGAACTGGACGGACAAGGAAGTTCACGCGGGTGATGATAAAAAAAAATCATTCCTTTCTTGAGTCAATACTGTGGCAGATCTAGATGGTTTCTTGCAAGGCAAAATTGTACGGGTGTAAACAGATACAGGGACAGATACATCAGGCCCAAGCAGACTACAAAAGTACGTATTAATCGAGAAGACTTTTCGTCCAACATGATCATTTTGTGTAAATGTTCGCATGATACCGAACTTGAGACTGTCATCTTTATGTTCTTCAAATAAATGTGTTCTTCTAAAAACCGTGTAGTTTTTTCCGTACGACTCCTTTCTACAGTACCTTTGTGTATAGGAAAGTTGACACGAAGTACCGCAGGCAAAACGCTAACAGACTGAACATCGCCTGCGCTATTAGCAAGACGATTACCAGAGTCTCTTCGTTCATGGGCCCGAAAACATACAAAACAAAATTAATTAGAGTCAGATTACTAATCCTGTATTCCTTCTTTTGTTCCGAGGCAACTAGTGCCTGTGATGTACTTGTCCTCCCCATAGCAGCCCCTTCCGCTTCTGAAAGAGACGACCTTGTCGTTGGCCTCTGCTTCAGACTCGTGGTTGAATAGTTCGACGCTCGACTGATCCTCGCTGCGCTGTCCTTGCTCGCCTGCTGCACAAAATGAATGTCCTCGTCGTCGTTGTCGTTCGCGTTGAAATCATCTTCTTGCTGCGACGACGAAGCAGCAGCGTCGTAGCTGTTACCGTTATCAGAAGCTGCGCTACCTTCTAGTGCAACCGTTATTTCCTCAATCTTGCAGAGCCGGAAGGTTTTGTAGACGGAAAACACTAGTCGCCCGGCGACGGAAAGCTCTTCTACCCGCACGGTGGCGAAACTATTCACGCTCACGTTCTTCTCCGGGTCAAAACCGGGCAGGCGGTGCCGCGGGCACTCGACGAGCCGGAAGAGTTGGGGGAGGCCGTAGACGAAATTCAATATTTGTGGGAGCAGGAACAGCAGCAGAGTTTTGCTGTAGTGCCCAAAAATCCCAGCGACTGCAAGGGTCATGCCCGCGAAGTAGCAGAAGGTATCGCCGACAAAGACGCGGCTTGGATACCTGGTTATAAAAAAATATTTTTGGGGTTTACAAAAACTTTTTTGAAATCAATGACTTTCCGCTGCTGCGTGCACGTTCATGTTCATCATCATCAATTACGATGAAGCTATAATCGCGCCCAGACGAAGAAGTCAACAAGAACAACAATCCGTTCCGCATGACTATAAATACCAGTTGAATTTCAGCAAACCGAGCGTGACCGCGACGAAGGGTAAGAGGATGTACAGGCTGAACAGATGTCGCTCCCGGCCCAACGCAAATTCCTCAGGTAGCCTCGCGAGTTGGATCAGATTGTTCAAGATTAGGGAAATCGCGATGATCAGGCTCTGTCCCGCCTCCAACCCGTTGACCCCCGCGTAGATGTTGATGGCATTCACACTGAAAATCGTGATCATGCACAGAAACAGGTAAAAAAACGGCCCCAGGTCAATGATGTCGAAGGAGAAGATCCACCGCAGCGGCAACGGGAGGAGGACCGATGTTGTGCCCAGCGTCGCGAAGTAGACCTTTTTAGAATGTAGTTCTGAATGCAGTCAACATACTAGAGCGTTGGTTCTCTAGCACTCCGAAATCCACAGGACCACAGGGATGAGAACAGATGCCACGGTATTAGGAGACACGTCGTGGATAACAGTGTAGCAAGAACAGCGCATCACTACGTTAACTCATACCAGCAACAGTGGCAAACTGGCTAGAGTTATCAAATGTAAAAATGTCTGGGTCTGGAAGAATGCATGTTTGTCATGCTTTTCTGGCATGACTCTTAAATCTGTCACGCACGTTACCCAAGAGCTCAATTTTTCTGTGATGCAGGAACGCAGTTTGTCATGCAGCATAGGCAACACCTAGAAGCTCAGAAACTTGTCATGCTGAGCCAGCATTTGTGGCCTCATCATGAGACGCCACCCAACATCACAAGTTTCCAGACCCAGACACTTTTACATTTGATAAGAGTTGGTAAAAGCAGCTTGTCTCGCCACCTCAAATTCAGCACGTTGTCTACGAACCCGAAGAATATCAAATGTAAAAATGTCTGGGTCTGGAAGATTGCCAGGTTTGTCATGCACATTTTGCATGACTCCTGATGTCTGTGATGCATGCCCTAGCATCACAGATTTTGTGAGGGCTTCCTCATGCCTATACCGCATGACAAATGCTCTTTCCGTGTAGCAAAACTTGGACTTTCTTTGCTGCTCATGCAATACAGATTTTTTTAGAATCCAAAATCAGCATGACAAGTTGGATTCTTCCAGACCCAGACATTTTTACAGTTGATAAAGAAGCTCATACTGCAAATCGACAATATTGCGGCCAAGAATTGCACCATGCGCGAGAAGGAGTCGACATCTTGCTGCAGTTTCTGCGCAATGATCTGCGCTGAGCCAATGGACGACGCTGTAGTTCCCGGGATGAAACTACTGCCACTGAAGAGGTCTGCGCCAACATTATTTCCCTGGTCTCCTCCCGCTGCGATCAAGTTGTTTGGCGATGCTTTTTCTAATTCTTGCTCAATTAACCCCTCCTGGCCGACTTGGAAGAAGGAGAAAAGCCAGCGTGTGAGGGAGTTTGTGTAGTAGTCACCCGCACTTATTGCGTAGTTGCTCGTCCCGGCCGCCCCGTTAGTGAAACCATTCGTGGTCCCACTCGTCGGGTTCGAAGATGAAAATGCGGATAAAAACGCGAAGGGGAGAAAAAAGGTCACGCAGAAGCAGTACACCACTCCTGGGATCACCCCCACCGCTTCGGGCACTTTGATCCCCTGCACCGGTCGGATCAATGACCCGTCCGCATTCCTCGCTGTCGTCCTCTTTGACAAATCGATCCCGAACAGGCCGGCGTCGACGAATTTGGGCGCAAAGGCCGGTATGATTCGGACGACGAGGGAGTAGCCGAGCAGGGAGAGGAGAATGCAGGCGAAAAACGGGAGATTCAGCACCGTATTACAATGAAAAATGCCCCCACCCCCGAACTTGGGAGAATTTGTATTGCAAACCTTTCCAAATGAAACACTCACCCTCTTGCATCTATCAGCATCAGAGGTTTCCAATCGTGAACAGCAAGAATGTAGTGTATTGCAAAAGACCCCAGCAAGAGCGGCGCTTGTCATGCAAGCGATGCGATACACGCCTAGACCCTGCATCAGAAAGATTCATACTCCTTTCATGCATGACAAAAAGTCTTCATTTGGACACTTCGCATCACAAATTTTTACAATTTAAGGGGTGGGGGGCATTTTTCACTGTAATACACCGTTTTCAATAACCTCTGTTTGCTCTCCGTGTCAGCTAAGACGAGTGGCACTACACCTGCGACTGCGGTCAGTGCGGCAGTGGTCACGCCCAGCATTTTTGCAAATGCTGACGAAAAATAGGCAGGGCTGGGAAAAAAGGTCGATGTCGCTCTTTCTCGTGCTGCCACGAGTGAAGCGTTCCTTCTTCAATCCGACTTTTTCTTTTGTTTTGGATCTTCCAGGCAGAAGCACGTCTTGTTGTCCTCTGTTGGAAACTGAATCACCGTCTCTACCGAGGCGATGATGTGGGAACTTGAAAACAACTGGTCTGTCTGCAGTAGTAAGTACTCCTCGCACTTTCTCTTCCGTCGTTTCTCTCCCTGGTGGAAAAGGGCTGCAAATCTTCTTCCTTCACTTCACTTCGGCCGACAGATGCTTTTCCTGGAGATAAAGGTACAGATTCTGGTTCGTTGGTAGCACCACGATAAACGTTGTCCTACTTCTTTGTCTTCGTTCCGCTCTGCTACGCACCGACCGGCTTGGTTTTCTGCATTCTACCAGAACCGGAAAGGGCAAGTCAAACCCGCAAAGGCGATCCCGGCCCGACTGGCAAAGATGGTGACAACGAGGCTAGCAATGGATTGAGAATCGAAATATTTTCCTTTCGTAGTTTAATTTTTGAGTTTTTTTTTCTTTTTTGTCAGGAACGGGAAAATAAATTTGCGCAGGATACTATCATCGTCATTCTCTTGTCGGAGTTGAGGAAGTACTTAAGTAGCTGAGACTGAAATGCAGCTTTCTTGCACGACGTACTCGCAAACAGGGTCACACCTTATACATAGACACATCAGAGTGAAGACCAAAACCAGTTGTAGTAATGTCGTCCCCTAGAGTTATTTGATAAATGTATGAAGGTCATCGAAAAACAAAAATCACGACGAAAAATGGCAAGCCAAACAACAAAAAACAATACAACGTCAACGTCGCAACAAAAATGCATAACATCAATCCATTTCTGGAAAACCCACAACAGATTTTGCCTTCCTAATCCGTTGCAACAAGGACCTCAGAGGATAGCCACAGCCAACTAAGCCACAGGACCCATTAAAACCTAGAGCGGAACCGTCAGAACAAGATCTTTATCTGCGGCGGAACCGAGTACGACATATGCACAACATCTATACAGATACAGGACGTCGAAGCTTAGAAGTAGACCAAGACTGTCTCAATTCATCAAACGCAGTTCCTTTAGTAATTACACAGAATGTCGCTCGTGCTTCGCATGCTAGCTTTTCGAACAGGATGTTTGCGGCGCTGCATTTTCTTTCTTCGCACAAATCAGCCGTACTAAGGCCAAAACAAGGCTTCATTTTCACACCAGTATGCAAATATTGTGCGCGCAAGCATTGAACGATGAAAACCCCTGTTTATAGTAAGTATCGACTAAAAAAACGCAAGCAGTTGGTTGGCAAACAGACTTTCCATCCGTTTGAACAAGAGAAGTCAATTTTTCGTCGTGCGTTTCAGAAAGGAGAAGCAAAACCTTGATCCAGCAGAAATTCAAATTGCACTCTTTCGAATCCTTCAATAAAAACTGCACCTTGTGATGATGTTGTTGAAATGCCTTCAGATTCAGATTTGTTTCGAAATATGCACAACGGCGCCAAAATAAAATCCTCGCAGCTAAGAGGTGCCACTCCCCGTCGCTGCTTTCTCCGCCTCTAGTCGCGCTACCGCTGCCTCTATGCAAGAAAAAAACTGTGTAAGTGTAAATTTGTGTTGCAGAACATGCAAAAGAGTTGCGCCTGTCATGCCAGCCAGCCATGAAGTCCTCTTTTCATGTGTGTTTTCCCTTACAAGCCACGCATGACAGATTTTCTCTGTCATGTAGAGCAAATTTGTGATGCTGTTTCTCAAAGAAAGTTACACTTACACACTTTTTTTCCTGGATAGCCTCCGTGATTTGCATTCTTTGGTCCATCGTTTTCACCGTTTGCACCAGCATCTCCATTTGCGTAGTCATCTGTTGGATGCTGTCCATGAGCTTTTTCTCCCGCTCCGTTTGTGCGACGTCAGAAGCTGCGACGATGGGCGTCGCTGCGGCGCGTTGGGCTGCAGAATTTTTGGTAAGAATGCAGTTAACTTCTGTCAGTATCTATGTATCACATCGACCAAACAAGCAATGAATATGTAGTGAATCATGTCCATCTATCATGAGCCCTTTACTTACTGCAAAAAAAACACAACTGCATCCAGAAACCACAAATTACCAGCCGACGAAGGGACGATTGGTGTGGTCGCAGTCGTTGGCGTTTCGCCTTTCCTGCTACTTCCAGATCCGGAACTCTGTGCCGCCGCGCCAGTTTCCACCCCTGATTTTCTCTTCTCCCTCATCTTCTTTGTGGGGGAAACACTGTGCGTTATCTCACTGTTAACTTCGTTCGCAAACTGAGTCACCACTTTTTTTCCTCCCGTGCCTGTGACATTGGGCGTTGATGACCTGCCCGGACCGCCTTGCTGCGTCGAGGAGCTAGTTCTTGAGGGGACCTTGGTGAAGTTGTGCTGCGGTTGCGAGGGTGTGGTTGTGCCCGCCGATCTCGGAGCATTGTAGAGATAGGTCCTTGCCGCACCGACCCGACTGCCCGCCGCTCCGTCGCCCGCTTGGGGCGGCTGGTCGTAGAGCTGTTCGTCCGGCCCGGCCTTCCAGACAAAAACTTTTTGGTCTGCAGAACCGGAGACGAGGTGCTGCCCTTGCGGAGAGAACTTCACACTGTGCACCGCGTCCTCGTGACCGGCGAGCGTGTACAGGAGCCGACCTTGCATGTAAAAGTAGTTGGGTCAAGTATGATTTTCGCTTACGTTAAGAAATTCCCAAAGCCAAAACGTAGTTTACTCACCCACTTCTAAATATGTGAATTCATGCATGAGACTGAGCGACCGTTTCCGGTCCTCGCGAACTAGATCTAGAAACAACAGAGCTCCATTTTAAAAACACCTTCCTGCAAGTCCCAGAGCTTCACGGTCCTGTCGGTGGAACTGGAAGCGAGGAAGTTTTGACTGCTATTGAAATCCAGATCGAGCACGGGGCCGGCGTGCGCTATCCCAGAGAAAAGAGCAGGCAGGGCAGCTTTGTAATGCAAAAATGACTTAACAGAAAAATCTGTCATGGGCGACCCCATATCATGGCGTTTAGGACATGCAATGCAGATTTTTCTGTCTATTTATCTTTGCATTACAAAACTGCCCTGCCTGTTTCTTTCTGAGGGATATGCGCGTCGTAGTGCTGAATGAGCCGCTTTCTCCTCAGATCCCAGATTTTAATGGTGCGGTCATCACTGCCGCTCGCGATGCAGGTCCCGTCCGGGTGGAAAAGTGACCGGTTTACGCGCTCCACATGTTCCTGCATCTTCATTACGCAGCCGCGATCTGACAGTGGGAGTGATAGGTCGTGTGATGATGAAGTAGTACTAGCTACATACGGAAAAGCTGCATCGCCGTTCCCAACTGCGGCGCCATCACTTTTAAACAATAGGCTGATCAATAAACTCCTGCTACAATACCCGAAGACGCGGTGCAACATCAAAAGGGAAAACGCAACTACCCTTCCCTCCCCCCGCACTGTGCGCTCCGGCGCCGGCTACTCGCAAGTCCCAAATCCGCACGGTCTTGTCGTCGCCGCACGTTGTGACGAGATTGGCATCCTCCAAAGAGAATCTTACACTCCTCACCCAGTGAGTGTGCCCCTCTAACGACATCAGGAATTTGGAACTCGTCGGGGTGACTTGCCAAATTTTCACGATTTTGTCGTCCGACGCCGTGGCGAGAAGCGAGTTGTCTGGAGACATATCCTGAGGAAAAACGTACCCACACCAGAGTCAGGATGAGGATTTTGCAACACAAACCTAGGAGTTTTGTGAGTCACGCATGACAAGTTGCACTATGCAGTTTAGTGCAGGTTAGCAAGTGCAGCCGCATCACAGATTCATCTGCTCATCCACCTGTTCACAGCATCACAAATTCCAAAACACGACTGGAAATGGCTCTCATGGGGACGCGCATTACAAGTCTTCCTGTCTTTGCAAATCTGCATTACAACTCTGGTGTGGGTACGTTTTTACTCAGGATAAGACAGGTGGCAACTTCTCACAACTCCGGTGTGGGCCTTGATCACGTGGGACGGTGTGCCTGTTGTTTGGTTTTCAAAACTTCTATTTTTGCAGAAAGGAAAATATTACAGCAGAGTGAGAAAGACGCAGTCTGCCATACGTGTTTGCAGCGCTGAGGGAAAGCTGCATGTTGTTCAAGTCATACTCTCGAGTACCTTTTGCGTTGTTCAACCACAATGCCACGGTTTTGTCGGAACTCGCCGACGCGAAGAAGCTCCCGTCCTTCGCCACGGACACATCGTTCACATCCGCCTTGTGCCCCTCAAACTTGAACGGCCTCAGCTGCTGTTTGAAGTGCCAGACGTACAGCCTTCCGTCGTGCGAGCCGGAGACCAGTTGGTGCATGCAGGGGTGGAAGAACGCCGCGCTTACCGGGGCGGTGTGGCCCTTGAACACGCGAACCAACTCCGGGGGCTTCATGCCCGCTTTCGTACTGTTGACCGTCCCGGGAGCCGCCGCCACCGACGGCGCGCGACTGCTCGCGTCCAGGGTTACACTTGCCGCCATTCTTGTGCAAAATAAACTCGTAAAAACCGAAGAACTTCGAAGTACTTAATCACAGCGATTTCGACTGAAGAACCTAGGAAGACACGAAACAGAAGTACGCAGAAATATGGCACTTTGCTGAATATCGCTCGCAGTTTCATTTGAACGCGACGTTTTGCTTCGTTCTCTGTGTGGAGCACTTTTATTTCAACACTTTGCTGCGAACGCAGGACTGCCACGCAGAAGTAGTTCAAGCAATGTTGCAGCCGGTCTCTCTGAAAATACTACAAAAACGAACAGAGCAAGGACGGCAGCGGCGGGCTTACCGCGAACAAGAAGTAACCAAGCAACTTCATGTGCTTGCAAATGTTTTTGGGTTCTGCGAAACAGTTCCTGGAAGAAATGATGAGTGTTTGTGTTTGTTTGGTTTTGTCTATGCAGTGAAACTGTGTGCGCGCCGGTAGAAACAGATTGATATCTTGAGAACCACATCAGGCACGAATCATCCGAAAGAAACTACATCACTCCGAATATCCACCGTGGTGGAGTCGGTCCGAGCGACGTCCTTTTTTGATGCTGGAGGCGCAGACCTATTCTCGGGCTCTTGTGTTTTTTCCCCACCCACCTTCGACGCTTGCTGACCTTCCGCGCCGTGCGAAGACGCACCGGCGGCAGCTTGCATTCCTTGCCCTTGGCTTTCCCCCGCAGCGGATTCCGGGTGGGGGTCGACCGTTTTCCGCCCTTCACTTTCGAGACTTTTCGAGTTTTTGACTATTCGTCTTTCTACTTCCGGTTTCGCTTTCTGGTCCGTCGCGTCGTTCTTCGAGGACTGCCCTGCTGAATCAGCTTGCACTTCGGCGGAATGGTCAAGTGGCCCTTTATGATCTACTTTGTCTTGTTTGTTCTTGGATGGCTCGCGTCGATGAACAATAGCCGCCTGCGCTTCCGTTGGAAGCGGGCCCGCCTTTTCTTCTTTATCTTTTGCTTTCTTTTCCCTTTTGTCTCGTTTTGATGGTTCACGTGCGCCGGATTCCGTGGTCTCTGGGTGAGTCGTTGATTTCTTCTCCTTTTTTTCCTTTTTCTCTTTCTTCTCCGTCGGTTCTTGCTTCGACAGCTGCGGTGGCTGAGAAATTACTAGACTCTGCGCTTTTTCTACTTGTGCAACAGCGGGCACCGGAGCTTGCTCATCTGCAGGCTCAGCTACTTGCCCTGGCGCTGCTGCACCAGCGACTTCTAAACCTTCGTTCTTACTCGTCCGCCTCCGCTTCTTCAGTGGTTTGTTTACAGTCGCCTCCTCGGCGTTGCGATTTTTGGGCTGACTTGTGCTGGTCCACCCGGTGAACGCGTTTTTTAGTCCCTGCGACGCGGCCTGGTGACGCCGAAACGCCTCCTGAATCCTCGCCGCAGCGGAATCTAGTTTCTCCCGCCGGCGCTTTGCGTCTTCCAGCTTCTCTCTACTGCCCTGCGACTTCTTCATCTTCCAGGACGAAAGCTCAAGCGGGTGCTCGACATTGATTTCAGCAGAAGCACTAGCCGCGTTCGCCTTATTGGCCTTTTTTTCTTGCGTGGCCACATACCGCTGCAAGAATGGATTGTTTTTATTTCCCTTTCGCTTCCCCGGAAACAGGTCTACATGCTCGCTCGTGATTTTATGCTGCGTCTCCTTATACTTTGTTCCCACGGCTTTCAGACTCACCTCCTCCGATGAGGTGCCGAAGTCGCTGGTGCCAGGCTGTTTAAACTTATTTCCCTCGTCGGACGTCACACCCCCGGAATTGTACGATAATTCGCTAGTATCGGGGGATGATTTCAACAAGACGCCTTGTCCTCCTTTCGTGGTACCTTGAGCTGCCAATAAAGTACTAGACTTCTTTTTCTTCTTTGACACTTTCCTCACTACCCCAAACCCCTGCAGCACGCCGGCCTTCTCGACGCTCGTAGTACCAGTCTGCGCATCATGACTCGAATCACCAAAACTGACACCAGGAACCGTCGTGAAATGATAACTTTCCAAGGACAAAACCGCTTTGTGCCCGTTTCTAGAAGAAGTGACCGTTTTGCTGCAGCTGCCCGGGCTTTTTACATTCCCGTTGGAATCAAAGATGGAGTAGGTACTGTTCAATTTGTCGTCCTCGCTTTGCTCATTCCCGTTGTTCCTGCTTCCTAGCAGATACGACAGTAAAATCACCATGCTTGCGACCAGCGAGACGAAGCACAGGGATAAAAGCCAGAACAGTGGGTTGTAAACGAGGTTCTGGCATGATCCTCCACCGCAGGAGAGCGAATCGGATTTAATATCTTCGTCGGCGGCCGTGGAGCCAGTATGAAGCGCTTTTTCGTGGTCGTACAACTGAGCGCGCAACACTTTTCTTGCTTCCCTGCGTTCCCGGCGAGTCGGGTATGATATTTTATTTTCCGTCGTGTGCTGACGATCGTCCAGCCGATGCTTGTTGCCGGCTTCGAGGTAGGATGATGAGGACGCCGAGAAATGTTGACGTTGACCACTACGAGGCTCAACATCATAATTTTCGTCGCCTGTAGTCTTTCCGTCGTTATCACCAGCTACTTCTGAATCTGACGGGGATTTTTGTGTAAGATCGTGCGCAAAATGATTTTTTCCACCGCGGTTAGCTCTACTCACCGCTCCTTGCAACTGTCCGAAAAGAACTTCTTTTGGTGCGTCAGTCTTGTCAAAAAGTGGGATGTGTCGTACGCCGACAACACGCCATTGTTTACCTTCATTCGTAACGCTGCTCGGGGCGGCGGCCGCAGAAACTGATGGCGCTTTGCCTCCTTTTGATGAGATCGTTTGATACTGGTACGTGTACGAGTAGACAGTCTGTATTGAGATAGTACCCAACCAAAAGTTTACCTTTAAGAAGAGATGAAAAACATGGTAAAAGTGATTGCCCCGGGCACACGCGGACACCCACCGAGGCCAACCACGGTCTGCGAGCGAGTACTTATGCGGTGGAGTTAGCATTTTTATAGTCGATAGAGTAGGATTACGTTTGATTTTATTGAAGTGGCTACTACTTTCTTTATCAATTGACACAGGAGGGGGTAACGCATCGTTATAAGCATCTGAAGCAAAGAGAAGGGCAGGGTTGTGTGAGGTAAAGATCTTCGTCTTGACTTAGACTAGTGTCTTTGAACGATGTTAACGAGACAGAATTGCACGAGTAACACGCAAACACCAGAACGACATGCGCAGCACGAGAGATGTAAGTGCGTATGCGAACGAATGACGAACTCATGGTATGGCGACTTTTCATTCACCGATCAGGCGATAGATGAAACTGGTACTGAAACTTTTCTAAAAAGTTTTTCTGTCAACAAACTTAAAGCCAAACGCATGACCAACTCTGCAGAAAGCAACAGTCAGAGGTTGAAGAACCGATAGCAATGGAGGCACCAAGTTTCTTCGGAACACATTTCATTACCCGGCATACCGCGCCTGCGGTTTTCATCATAATTTCCATTTGTGCTTTTATTTTTGTGCGTCGCTCAAAATCTTCGCTCTATGCTTTATATGTCGTCGTGTGGTCGCGTTTACAACTATTTTGAACATTACGTCGTATGTATCATGTTCTTTCCGAAACCCTTCCAGTGTCCGCTCGTTCCTGTGCGTAGCCGATCAATCTTTTAAACGAGTGGATGTATTTTCTGGTGGCTTCATCGGACAAAACGTGCGCAATTTTGTCCTCCCCGATCGCGCTCCGGTTTGCGCGCTCGTGGATCCCGACGGAGGTCACTCCCAGCGGCCACGCCGCGTTACCGATCGCGAGCTTCATGTACTCGGAGTTTGCGGAAGTGTAATCGTTCACGTTGCAGTACTGGACCATAATCGCCAGTTTGTCCAGAATCGCGGACTCCAGCTGCTTCTCCTTCAGCTTTTTCCGTAACGGCTTCAGACACAACTTCGCCTCCCGGTACTGCTGCTTCGTGAACTTCTTCGCGCGTTTGATACTGTCCGCAATGGCTCGCGTCTGCCGCTCTTCCCTCGCCTGGCGTTCTGGACTCTCCGCCCCGCTATTGGTATTTGCGGCTGTTGTGGTGCCCTCCGAAGTTATTTCACCTCTTCTATTTTCGCCTTGCTGGTTAGCAGTGCCATTACTTCCGCCGATGACCATGGAGGACAAGTCTTCCACATTGACCGCGGTGTGCGTCGCCCCCAGATCGGTTTCCCAGTTCTTCAACGTCGCGCGAAGCCACTCCGCAACCGCGCTGCAGCGCTCGCTCTCGGTGCGGCGTTTCTTCTCCGCCGGGTCTTCCTCTTCCTCGTCACTGTCGAAAACTGATTCGTCGCTATCCCTGCTGCCTGGAGGAAGTAGAACGTCGGCAGTTCTTTTTCCCGCTGTGTCAACATCCTTTGACTGATGCGCATCTATTTCATCTCCTCCCGCTGATGCTTCTGTTCTACTATCGCCAATTACACCAGCGAATGCGTTTTGCAATCTGTTCGCAGAAGCTGCACCAGGGCTTACTCCGGTCGGCGTTTCTTCGTCTTCTTCCCCGAGCACGACCATATCGTGCAGCTTCTCCTTCTTCAGCGCCGCGGCAACGGTGAGACCCCCGGTTAACGAATCTGTCATCGTCTTCGACAAATCCTTGTGTGCTAACTCCACCTCCTTATACCGCAAATACCGGTCCCACGTGGACTCGCCGAACAGCGTCACCGGCTCGGAAACTTGCCGCAGGTAGTCTTTCACTTCGTCGATGCATTCCTCGGCGTATTGCTTTTCCTCCTCTTCTGTTTCAAACACCCTGCTTTTGGTCACATCGGCTATACTGAGCTGCTTGTTTTGGTCGCTGTTGGTCAAAGATCTCGGTGCGTTCCAGTCCTTGCTGTTTGTGTTGATCGTGGTGGTCGTGCCGGATTCGAAGTATTTCTGCAGCGATTTCTGCTTCTGTTCTTCTTCAATTTTCTGCTGTTCCTCCTTTAACAACACTTTCTGCACCTCCTGCACCTGCTCTCGGAATGCTCTTTGCCCTTTCGACTCCCAGGTCGTAGTTTTGGGAGGAAGATCATCGGAATTTTTCTTGTCATCAGCCTTTGTGGTCGTTGTCCTTCTGTCGCCGAGCAGCCCGAGGTCTGCGGCCTGCTTCGTGAAATTCTTGTTCACGTGCTTCGGCACGATCCTTCTGGTGTTATTTTTCCCGATAGAACTTTTTTCTGCTGATTTTTCACTGTGAAAATTATTCTTGTCCTTTGGCCGGTGATGATCTGCATCGGCTGTGCTTTTTCCTTCCGAATTCGTAGCATTTCCTCCTTCCTCTGTCTTCTTCAAAACGACGAGTTGATTCTCCTCGCAGAGAGTTACCAACAGCTGAATCAAAATCTCGTCCTCCTCATCCTGTGCGACCTCGCCGAAATATCTTTTCTGGATCTCTTCCGCGCTGTCCAGCTCCTCCAGCTCGTCGGCGTTTTCGATCAAAATCGCGACAAAAAGATCCACCTTCTCCGCGTCGACCTCGTCGAAGTCCTTGCTCTCAGCCACCGCGCGGCGGATCCCCGTCTCGAAATCCTCGGCCGACTTGGCCGTCCGTAAGGCGGTGGAGCTGCTGTTCAAGAGGCTCATGTTTTTTGATGTGCGGTCATGGGAAAGTTAATGGCATGCATGCGAAATTCATTTTAAATATCGGCGGAAAAATTGTGAATTTGCATGCCGAGGAAAAGGAAAAGCTAACTTTCAAGTAGGTAAATAAAACGAGCTACAGGATCTATGCCTTTTTCTTTTTAACAGGGGCGTCTCCATCGAAAGGGGCAAGAGAGGACCAACGGGAGCGAACTCCATTACGGGGTTTTTAAAATGTCACTCGCGTAGCCCTGACTTCCGGTTGTGGTGAAAAAAAATTCCTTTTACCAAAAGCTGCACACTTGAACTATTTCTTTGAAACCCCTCACGACGATGTCGATTTTGCAATTTTATTGAACAGGTACTACTAGTCCTGTCAATCGATTTGTAGAAAGCGCCACGTCCTCGTGCTGATCTTGAGCGGAGGAGAAGATGGAATTTGACGTCAGAAGGGCGAAGTTTCTGATCCATTTGATCAATTGTTTGTCAGTTGCGAAGTTCATCTTTGATCCCGCTTCACTGCAGTGTAGTCTGGACCCAGAAGTGCCACTTGAAGCAAGTAGCACCCTGTTCCATACTTGGCTATTTATTTTCCTCCAAGAATTCTGTCGCGCGACCTACAGTTGCCTTTTCATCATGTTCTTGGCCTTTCGTACAGTTTGCCACTTCATGAAAAAGCCTCTTTCGCTTCCGGCGAGATTTTTCTTGTCGGACTTGTATCCGGCGTGTCCGGCCTTCCCGGTCCCTGCCCACCGCCGGGGGTGCTGGGTGTTCGGTTGTGGTACAGATCCGGCGTTCTCACATTATTGTTGCCTTTCGACGTCGTGCTACTTCCGTGTTGTACGGTTTGCGACCAGAAGCTGTCCGGGTCTTCCTCGGCGTTGTTCTCTAAATCCCAATCAACCACGTTTCCTATCGTCACCTCCGTTTGGTTTATCTGCTCGGAGTAGGCCATCTGGTGGGACCGGGACGACGGCGCCCAGAGATACATCATGGTGAGCAGCACCAGTAAGAATAAACAGTGCGGGATCATGTCCGTGAAAATCCTATGCAATGCAAAAATGTCTGGGTCTGGGAGATTCCGATATTTGTCATGTAGTTTTTTCAAGCTCCCCCACGTCTGGAATGCAGGGCCTAGCATCACAGGTTGTGCAGCTCCTTGGTGATGCGTATTCTGCATGAGAAATGCCCTCTCCAGCATGGCCAGAAGTGGGCACCTTTTGCACGTTCTGCATCACAGATCTTTGTAGGATCGGAAACACGCATCACAAGTTCGCATGCTTCCAGACCCAGACATATTTGCATTTGATAAATCCACAAAGACGCCCATTTCTGCCGGGACAACTGCTTCTCGATTGCGGTGGAGTAGCTGTACAGCTGGTAGAGAAACGAGATCCCGAGAATCACGACGGACAGGACCAAAACTTTCCAAAACTGCAGATACAGCTCCAATTTCGCGGACTGCTTGGTCTGCTCCAGATTGACCAGCAAGGAGGACAAAGACACAAAAATCCAGTACAGTATCCCGCCGTGCAAAAACGCGACCGGGATCAAGCAAAGCAGCACGAAGGAGAGCGGTAACACCATCGAGTGTCTAACCGACAAAACAACTTCCCTAACCCCGTCGAGCAACAGGTACAAAAACGTCAGCAGTTGTATTCGGAAGATGGTGTTCCTCGGCAGCGTTGGCTGCGTCACGCCCCAGCCCAGACTGGCGAGGAGCACGAGAACCTGGGAGAAGATGTTCTTTGCCACCGTCGCGAGGATGCAGGTGATGAAGAGCACGTAGGGGCGGATTCCCGACTCGTTCCATTCGCTGTAAAAGATGTACCACAGACTGCACTCCACCAACCCGGAGAGGATCACGCCGCCGATGCAATATGCATTCCAAAATGTCTGGGTCTGGAAGCTTTCCAGGTTTCTCATGCATATTTTGCATGACTCAGGATGTCTGTAAAAATGCATGATCTAGCATTACATATTTTTAGAGGCCTTCCTGATGCCTATCCCGCATGACAAATGCCCTCCGCGCGTAGCACAAACTGGGCTCCTCTTCTTGCTGGTCATGCAATACAGATTTTTTTAGCATCCAAAGTTAGCATGACAAGTTGCAACCTTCCAGATCTTCCAGACATTTTTGCAATCCATATGCAACCGTGGATGGCGAAAAGTTGCTTCCACCAGAAGAGGCAGCGGAACAACCAGTAGAGCACGAGATATTGAAGCGTCAGGATTGAAATCGACCAAGACAAAGTTGCAATAATTTATCATGCATAAATTGCAAGGCATGGAGTGCCTCTCTTGCAGGGATGTCAAGCGATGCCGACTGTCAGCCTGTTTGGGGTCTGCGATAGAGCTGCTAAAGTAGCATGACAAAAGACGCCTTCTGTCCCTGAACAGCATGACAAACTGGATGTAGACGGTGTCGAAATTTGTCATGCACTGCTTGGAAATTGGGCTTCCAGCTGGTATCGATTTTATGCATTACAAGTTGTTTTACCTTTGTCGATTTCAATCCTGACACTCCCATACAAGAACCACGTAGGTCAATGTCAGCCAACCGTACAGAGGCCACTTGTGGTAGCTGTGATTTTTATTTCATTGTGAACCATACATGGGTACAATTTTTGCATCGGCTGTACTGGTGGATCACCTCTTCACAGGCATCTAATACTAATCAACTTCAACGTCAGGATCAGGAGGAAAAATCGCAATAGCAGTACTCGACGCCCGGAAGGTATCCGAAGGGGTTGCGAACGACAATATTGCCCGAAATCTTGATCTTCTCTTCCTTCCCACAATTGCTGTAGATCAGCAGGTATACACCTGAGAATTTTTTATTCGATTCTGGTTCAGCGATGCAGCAGTTGTTCGAGATACTGTTCATCCTCAACCTCATGCTCATCGTGGAGGCCACTACAAAATAATTTTGTAGTGGCCTCAACTTTAAATTGAGAACCAAGTGGCTGATCAGAACGATGGCAACACTACATCATACCGCTCTGCGTCATGTTTCGTCTGATGTCCTGCGGAGGTTGCAACGTCGGGGAGACAACATCAATCGATAGCGCGGTTGGCGGCCTCGTTTTGCCCAGCGGCATGTATCCTGTGGAAAAACGTCCCCACCCCATAAGTAACCAAGATGGGAAATCTGCTACACAAATCCACAAGTTTTGGCTGTCGAGCATGACAAGATCTGGGACAAATTGACTACACTACTATCTTATCCATATCCTGATTCTAGCATGACAAAATCCGAGATAGCATCAGAACATGGCTCTCATGTTGGGGCTGCGCATGAGAGACATTTTAGGCTTGCGGATTTGCATGACAACTATGGGGCGGAGACGTTTTTACTCAGAATAGCAGGTTTTGGTATTTCAACTTATCCTCCTTGCAGTTCTCATCGTTGGGAAAGCAGCAAAAGTCGGTCTTGTTATCAAGTGCAAATATGTCGGGGTCTGGAAGATTGCTGAGGTTTGTGATGCTGTGTCTGCTTGACACAGAAGGTGTGCCATGCAAGGACTAGCATCACAGGTTTTGAGACGGTCTCCCAATGCCTAATTCGCATGACAAACGCCTTCTTTCGGCGACAGGAAAAGGAGCTGAGCTCCCTTTGCTGTCCAAGCATGACAGATTTTTGTGTGGTCTAAGTATGCATCACAAGTTCGCAGCCTTCCAGACCCAGACACTTTTGCATTCGATACTTGTCCACATGGTGCAAAAAGTCACGATACGTGATCAGCGTTAGCTGCACACCCTTGTAATGCTCCAATTCCTGATAGAGTGTAAGGTGATTTTTCAAGTAGATATTACATTGCTGCTAAGTAATAGCTAATAGCCAGTAGCAAGCTGGTACATCACCTGCCCGACCTTTCTGTATGTAGGAAACAAAAAAGCCGGATGTTGCGCATGCGGATAATGGTGCACAATCAGGAGGCTCAATACTGGTTTCGACTCCGTTCTTCTGAGCTCGTGAAAAATGACGAAGGCCTTCGACTGCGGACGTATTTTCGCAGGCGCGTCTTGCTCCGAAAAAACGTAAAACGCTTGCAGCACGTGGAGCGATCGCGCACTGGGTACGGCTGCATTCTCGAAGGGATAGATCTGCGCGTGGGTCAAGGGTAGAAGGCTGAGGAGCGACGTCAAAAGCGACGTCAAAGTGACCATCCTCAACACCGTCGCGAAACAAGCATTCGGTGACCTTCGTCGATCCGACAACATTAATGACCTGTTGCCAGCGGCTCCCGGCCGCGCTAGGAAGGGCATCAGGCCCTGCTTAGCTCGCGGAAGGAAGAACAACTCCTCGCTTTGCAATTGGAGGTACAACGAACTCGAGATCTACTTTATTCCCAGAGACGAGGAACTACCTTTTCTCGGCTTACACGGACGAGACCAGAAGAGGAACTGAATCCATAGTACAGAACGACGTCAGCAGGGATAAGATCACAACACCAACTTACCACCAAAATCCAAAAAAAGTTGCCAAGTGGTAGACCACAAATGGAGCGCCGGCGAAGGCGATTCGGCAAGGGATGATCGGTATTCGTGTGTTCATATAATCCACGACCTGGGAGGTGGGATCGCTTGTTCTTTTCCTATGATCTTCGCTTTCATGACCACAACAAAACCGAACAAGCATCTCGGATTGGTTCATCTCTGATGTTTGCACATCCACACCCCGGATGATGGCAGCAGAGGACCGTCAAATTATCGCTCTGCTTTTTACATCTTTTTTCCGCATAAATTTACATGTGAAAATGCAAATTTGACAAAATGAAGTTCGTCAAAAACACTGGGCCGTGCTTCTCATTTATATCGTTCGATGTTGCCGCTAACGCAGCTGATAAAATAAGTGTAAAAGTGTTCATTGAATGTGTCTCAAAAAAAACTTGAACTTCTCAAAGTTGTAAAAAGAAATCAATTTTGTTCATCCGAGCAGTTCTCTTTCTCTACTTAACTTGCAGTTCCCAAGTGGACAGCGTAATCAAAGTCAAAGCGTCAGTTCAGTTGTCAAGTGCTACGTAAAATTGTTGTACCCCATTTTTTTCCGGTCTTTAATCGACCAAAACATACACTAGATCTGCTATAGAATAGAAAAAAGAATGAGTTCGCGAATGATTGCGCAGGTGATGGCAGACCTACAACAAAATTTCAATTTTTTGGCTAGCTAGAGAATCGAGGTGGCTAGGAGTAAAGTCAAGTAACCTCTACTGTGCTGCACCTCCGCGAGGGCAGCGATCCTCGTAACTGAGCCCCAGGCGGTAAAAGTCAAAATGTGCCCCTCTCGGATAACTTTAACTACTTGGGCCTAAAAAATTCCGTTGATACGATGTCGCAACTGCCTAAATAAAGAAACTAATTGCGGGGTTCTTTTTTTGTCAAAACGTGCGGTAGCCGCTCCAATTGGCAAAAAACCTTGACCCCGTCAAGCGCAATATATAAAAAGCGAGTATGTCATACTATTTTGATTGCAGCAAAAAAAGTAGAAGAAAGCATGCTGATGCGACGTAGCAGGGAGTGTTGATTTGCCAACACCTAACCTACTTCCCGGTTTTTTCACTCCGTGACGGAAGTGTCTAGATGTCCTTTTTGGCAGGATATCGCAAACTTTTTATCGTCAACGCAGTCGCATCATATAATTTCTGGGCGCGGCTTTCATGTACAACACAAACATCTGCAACTTCAATTCTTCTTAACGACCTCCTTCTGCAATGGTAACAACGATATCGTTGCGGTCGTGCAGCCGAGTCTTCAATAGTTCGTTGTATATGGCAAAATCCACCAACGTCAAGAACTTTATGCGACCACAGTGAGGAGACGGAGTCAGAGATTCCTTAGCTCGGCACTGCGTCAAAAATGTAATAGCAAATCGGAGAAACTACTTGTAGGTATTCATAAATGCTATCGATAAAGACCAGCGTCTTGCGGCACCAATTCTAGTACAATACTCACGCTAGTATCATCCCCTTACGCAAGCTCACCCCCCGCTTGGTGCACTTCGGTCTGAATCGCCAGAAATCAAAATCGATTTCCTGTACCGGCACTAAAAAAACTCCTGTTGGGAAGATATTAATCGCTACACAATCAGGAAGCCTATCGCAGTCCTCACGGTGACATGCCAATGCCATCAACAGAAAACCTATAGAAGTACTTTGTAAAAAAACTTATTTCCTATGCATACTACTTACAAGACAGACTTTCGAATTTACCTGTATCTGCTGGGCGTCCAGGAGCACAAGCACAACGACAAGAATTGCAAGTCGTCGATTGATCACAGGTGTTAAAATACTGTAAGACCCTACGCATGCCCGATATAATCTGGTAATATCTGGGTCTTCTTCTGGATTTCTCTCCGCCGCACGGCGCAGACGTCGAAGAAGTAAGGACTTTAAATCATTAACAGTAAATCAGAGTTTGAAGCCATCATGAAAAAAAGTTATTTTATGCATGTCCAGAGCCTTGCGAAACGTGTTCTCCCGTCCGTAAAGAACATCCTTAGCTGTAGAGCGACCGCACATCAAGAAACCAAAAACAGCTCAAGAACATAAAATTCTAGTGATTTGGACGCTAGTACAACTACGCACTTTGCGTTCAATACCTGCGATCTGTACCAGCAGCAGGAGCAGCTATGGCTGACCGAAGACGAAAGGTATAGTACAATCGTTGACGCAATCGTGACAGAAGTGGCCTTGATTAGAGGCGAATAATTTAGAAATAGACACAATGTAGTCTTCATTGACGACGGGCAAGAACGTACAAAAATTTTCTCTACAACACAACCGAAGCGTGCGGTCCGGAATGTAGCAAAAACAAAGAACCGATAGTACTTTTACAACAAGAAGCGCGATTTCATGATATTTTTGACAGTAGCTTTTTGTGATTTTTATTTTTTTAACCTGATAATCAATGCAGCTGAATCCATTGAAATATTGACTTTGACTTGATACAAGATCTGCATAATATTGAAAGGACACATGACAGAGCAATTTTTGTTTTTCCCGACGCTGAGTCTAGAACGGAGAAGACGAAGACGACAACCACATTCCCAGCCCGTTTACACACGCACAACCGCAACTTCCTCCACCCGCTGGCTCCCACCTGATTTGTACGCGTGTTGCTTTTTGTATTCACAATACCACAGACGAGCGAATAGTGTCGTGCTTCTGCTACAACAAGGTCGCTACATGTACTAGTACGTACATCACATAGCAAGAACTAGGGCCTCTATACTAATCTTTTCGACAATTATGGGGAAGAGAGCCACACCGAATTTCTTTTTGGGTACTACAGCAGCACCGAGGTGGGAGGACGGACGACACACGATCGAGGGGCCGGCGGGGATGAGAATGATACTATGCTGGGGTACTAAAGATTTATTTCCTACAACTTCTCGCAAATAACACGACCTGATGAAGCTTCTCACAGACGTCCACACCAGCGACATTTTTATTGACTCGACGACACTCGAAGTCTCCAACTTCCGGCTCAAGGATTTAATCTCATCAACAGTTCATGTTCCCGTTCTCATCTTCTTCATCCGGTTTTGCTTTTCATAAAATTATTGTTCTCCTAGAAAATTGGGAGCACTTTAATCTTCGATAGATTCTCATGGAGGTCCTTGTATCGAAAACGAGCAAAGTTCTTTCTCTGTTACGCAAATTAATAACGTGTTGGAAAAAGCAAATAGTTGAAATTCGAATCTACGCTGTTCATACTCCGGTCGTCTCGTCTTGCTTGTATCTATTAGCTACTAAACAAAGTAACCGTGCGCCGTCTTGCCGACGGTGATAGTTCGTGATGCGTATGAAGATTTCCCTTTGGTGATGAAGTCTGTATTCCTGAAAAAACTGCTATCGCATTTTTCAAGTGTGCTGACAGACACATGCTGCCAGATTCTCAGGTGCGAGTGCGACCCGATCACGATCGCTATGTGGCATCTCAACAATCTTTCGTACACATATTGACCTTTCGATACTGTTGCATGATACGCCCTTGCTGGTACAGCGAAAAAATACAACTCAAAGAAAGCTCTGATGTCATGTATGAAAAGGAAAAACCCCCCCTCCCCATATCAAAAAGGAAATCTGTGATCCTGGATTTGCGTACACAGTTCAGATTTGTATTGCAGGAAGGTATTGCGGCCAGATCCCCAGGCTAGGTAGGGGCGTATGGGTCTAGTTGCTCAGCATTGCAAACGGCTGACCTTTAGGCCCAACAGCATGGCAAATCGCTTCCATAATGGGCCGGAAGCTTCTGCCCTTGTCTTCTTGCAAGAGAAATGTGATTTGTGACCTCAAATCAGCAAAACAAATTTTCGGAAAGATACCTTTTCGATATGGGGAGGGGGGATTTTTCCTCTCAATATCATGGTCGATTTGATTCCTACATCTCGGACAGTGAATCAAGAAAATACGTATCGCTATCGCTTTGTTTGCTCCTTTGGTGATCTGTCCGACGAAACAAAATACGGTCAGCGACCCTTTAATAAGGTCTTCCCTTATGTGAGATATCGCTTCTCCTACTCTAGACTTAGAGCACGAGTGGTAACATTCATCCAAGGGATTAAGTTCGTGGCCGCGAGGCCAGGGAGCAAGCCTAGTGAATCAAAATTTTGACGCACTTACTGCTGTTGCCGGCATTTCGTCCTCATATTGTTCTGGGGTGTACTTATCTATCTCTGTAATTATTTCGTACAAGGTAAATACTAGCCATACTTTTCTGCTTCGTGAAAAACTGATTCAGCGTTCTTTTTTCGAGACCAATAGAAACGTAGGTCTAGTCACGTTCTGACTTCAAGTTCAGATACCATTTTGTGCCGCAAAAGTCGAAACCTTTGCCACACGCAATCTTGTCGACCTCGGGGTCGGCCCTCCGAGGACAGGCCTCCGCAGAGAGTTTTCTCGTCGCAAAAGCGCGACTACACTGTAAGCATAAAAATAAACTGAAATCCATTCCTGAATACCTGCGTAGCTTTGTTTTGCTTTTCATTCTTGTGTTAGGAAAAATAAAAATTGAAGTTCGTTGTGGCTTCGAGAAGGAAAATAAAAGAGCTGCAACGTATATTTTATGATATGACCACGAAGTTGTTTTCAGGTGCGAATTTTTTATCCCTAGATTCAGCACCAAAATCTTTATCTTTTGTTTCCATAAAATCGACTTTTCTACAATTATATTTCCGCTGGTGTATTGAAACTGACCCCTTCGCTGCCACGAAAACAAATGTCCGAAAACAGCGGGAGATGCAACGTCAACTGATGTTGACAGTGGGGTAAAAATAAATATTAGGGCTAGGTATCGACTAAAGAGATTGGGACTTGGTGTGCTACCTCAAATGCACTTCCGAACCGGTGCCAGCGCTTCTAGATCTGGCGTCATACAACGAAACCATCCATAATACATCAAGCGGTGGATGGTGTTTGCAGAAGCTGCTCGCGCTCATGCGTCTAGCTTTTCAACGACTAGCAAAAAAAAGAACTGAAAAAATCACACTCCGACATCACAGAGGACGTCAGAAGTGAATCTTACTTTGAGGGTGTGCTGTCATTTGTATGTTCCTAAAAAAAAATGAAAATGCCGAGCCCGAGTCAGCGTAAAATCATTCGGGAAGATGAAGATGATGCATTTTTTCCAGAAATAGTGCCTATGTGCCGATGAAATCAGGATAGCATATCAACTCTTGTTACATGCCCACTAGCAGAAAAAGTCATGTCAATATTTATTTTAGCAGAAAAGGTTTCATTATCGTTGAAGCAGAATGTAGTAAGCAGAATTGAAAGACAAGAGAATAAAGCAGGAGTTGCAACGAAATATCAATTTAGGTCTTGTGAAAGCATAAATTTCTCGAACGCACGACCTGGTGCTAGATTGTGTACTCACTCTGGCCGGTGTACGTGTACGTACTTCTGGCAAATCGATATCAGCGGTCGCCTCAGCAATTGCACTTTTGCAAGAGCGATCCTGCGGCTGGTGTAAGTATGTCTGTAGTACAAAAAACCCAAGCAAAACTATCGAGAGATTATTTAATTTTTTTTCGTGAATCATCTTCAAAAAAGGTTGTAAAAATTTGAAAAAAAAAACAAACGAAACCCAAAAAGAAATCAAGTTTCTTAGTATGTTGGTTTTAGAAACTGCTCGATGGTCACTTTACTCGAAACTGGAAGTCAAGCCGGGAAGTACAGAGGGCAAGCTTCATTTCCGATGTATTTCTTACTGACGTATCATCATAGGATCCTGTTTGCTACTACAGTCGTCTCACTCCATCGCTGCACTTCCAGTATTTGACTCCGCATGATAGGCTCCTGCTCACGACAAGCTAAGTTACTAACTGTCATTTCATCTCGCAAGGTTTTTTTTTTGTGCCGGGGCCTCCTGATACTGTTTCTCATTATGACAGCTTCTGTGGAGCTTTTGTCCTCTATCACTTCTCGCGCTCCCCTCGTGCCGCAGCTACAAGTGTAGTCCTATCTTCCGGGGGTAGTAAGTACTCATGATCAGATCTCATCTATCATGCCCACGAGAGGAAGAAAAAAATCGAGGGGTCCTCTGCCTTGGCAACTATAGTACCATTTGCAATACCTGAAGGTGGGGAAAGAATCCTTATTTCGTGCTAGAGAAGTAGGTAACATGCAAGAAATCAGTGCTGGAAATGGAGGTTGTGTCTGTCTACTTGCAGCTCAGATCTAAAAATTCATCAGCAACATGGTACACAAAAATCACAAAATTCGTATATTACCTTCGGCTCTCTTCGCCTCTTCCAGTTTCTGTAATTCGCGAGCCACTTCCTTGGCTCGGGTGGTGATCTTTATCAGATTCTCCCGTGTCAAAGGATACGCTTGCTGTGAATGATTTTTCGATTTCAAATAATTTGTTTTTTTCCTCAATTGATCGCTTCTTCTATTATTTTCATGCATATGCATTCTGTAAGTATTCATCCAAAACCAGATCACTCACGAGCTTCGAAAATAAAGGGTGAGAATCCATGACAAGCAACCACTCGTCAAGAACATGGACCTCTGTATTGAAACAGTACCCATTCACTCTTGCTACTCCACCCGAATACGAGCGGCAGGAAGAAGGGATTTTGGATTCGGTTGGTATCCCTTCGCAGAAACCGTGCAACGTTCTCCTCAAGACCCTGCTTTCCGGCGGCGCAGATCTCCAAAATCTTCGAGGTTGCATACCTGAATGTAGGTGCGGGAAGAAGTGATCGGATTTAGCACCACTGGATAAAGTCCAAAAATACCATTTTGTGTCGACCGGCATTTTCTTCAGCCTCCGCCTGTCACAAGAACGATCACGTAGGTATCATAATGAACAAAGATAACAGTTTCAACACGAACACAAAAAAAAGTTCTAGTACTTGGGCAGTTTGGTGTCATGAAACTCCTTCGCGAACCGCTCCATGTGCTTGGGCGCCAGAAAATTGAGGAACGCGTAGCCCATGTTCACCTTGTTAGCGAAGTTATGAGAGTGCACAACTCCCCCTCGTTCTCATTTGTCATGCAAAATCCCAAATCCAGTCGCTGCCTTGTAGCATTATTGTGCATGACAGATTCCGGAAGCCCAAACAGTACTATAATACGTGCGTGAGTCTTGTCATGCACAGGCTCCACGCGTGCGGGTGCTTGTAATATTGTTGTTCATGCAATACAAATGAGGGGAAGTGGAAATTGTGCACTGTCATAGAAGTCGATCGGGAGGTAGAAGTAATTGTACGTCTTGTAGAACCCGCGGGAGTCGATTTCTTGCAACACGTCTTCGGTGGTGTAGCGGTTGGGGATGTTCCGGATCATCACCGTGGTCACCTTCGAGTCCTTCGCCCAGGCGGTGTCGCGATCAATGGTCGCCAGCCGCTGCGGGCAGTACCGCAGCGTGTCCTGCAACTCCCGGGCGGGGCACTTGTTCGCCGCGAGCGGGCCCTGGTCGTTCAGCACCGGGTCAAAGTCGTCACAGCCGCCCTGATGCGCCTCCGCAAGCTGCTGTTGCTGCAGCTCCATGCCCATCTGGCCAACGCGACCGACTAGATTGATGCCGCTATAGATTGCAAATATATCTGGGTCTGCGAGATTGCGAGACATGTCATGCTAGTCTGGCATAACTCTGGGATCTGTATTGCGTGGCAACCAAGAGCTCCTCTTGACTGTCATGCAAACACGCAGTTTCTCATGCGGAATACGCAACACAGAAGCATGACAAAACTTGTCATGCTTGACGGCGCATTACAGTGTGGTTATTATTCAGTGACCTGCATCACAACTTTCCAGCCCCAGACATATTCGCATTTAATAGCCGCAACCGGACCGCAATTCCGACACCGTGGTCACGATGCCACCTGAGAAGATCATAGTAAGACTGCGCTTGTACTAGTCTTTTTTTCGATGGAGAATGAATGAAAAACAAAATGAAACCTGCTTTATTGCATGATCACAAAATAAATAATTTCAACAAACACAACCCAAGAACCGCATCCTTACCTTTCGTCTCCCCCGGCGCCCGCTGTTCGCCACCGATGAGGCGAGTGTACCACCGCCCTGCGGCAGAGATCAAACCGCCCTTCATGAGGCTCGACCCGGCACCTTCTTCCCGGTAGTCAGGACTGTTCCCCGGAGACGGGATTGACGTCGCCACCGGACTGGTCAGGTCGCCTGGGGTACGCTTATCGTTCGTGTGAGCCTTGTTGTACAGGATGTGTGGCGGTGTGGACCTGGGAAGGTGGTTCAGAGCAGTTCTTTTCGTTATAATACTCCCTGTTCGTGCAGAGCGCATCTCCAAATAAACACGAAAACCAAATAAAGGGACAAAACATCAAGAAACAACTAACAACTCACAAAATGAAGCAACTTCGGGCAGACAAAAAAACGCGAGGCCAAGAAAGAACCAACTCTGGGGTCTTCTTCTCACATCGCCGTGCTCTTCGCTCACTCCTTCGCTTTATTGCTCAGAGTCTGCTCGGTCGTGTGGGCTACTTATATATATTTCCTTAGTTGTAAGTATGCGGGTACTTAAATTGAATTTTCAGATCTTCGCGTTATTCGCGTTGCGTCCTACTACAGTATGGTGGTTTTTATGACATTTGAAATTTTTGGGTCTTCGAGTTGGAAGTGAGGAAATAAAGATCTGCACGTTTACGAAACGTAGAATCCACCCCTCGCCAACGCAACAAATCACCACGAAGATTTTTCGTGAAACCACACAAGACGGACGCCGGCACAGCAGTAGAAACCGTCAGTGACGCACAGACAGAAGCGACGCAGAAGCCGAGGAAGCGGAAGTAGATGCGGTGTAGTTTATTGTCTTGCTCCTCGATACCGATAGGGCAGCATGTTGACCATATGCGAAAGACTCTGCTACCGCTTGTTGATCTTCTGCTTGAAGAGGTTGTACACGACGTGTTCATCATGAAAGAAGAAGAAGAAGAAGTACACTAGCAGCTGATGAACCTTTAAGTTTATTATCAATACTTCTTGTAGTTCCTTTTTTTCCGCGGTAGTATCACGCCGCACCAGCCCCGCCGCTTACTCGCTTTCTTCGCCAACGGCCGGGGTAGGATCTTAATCATCAGGTTGATGAAGCCCGGTTCCTCGCGCTTGCGGTTCGACACGATGATCGGCTCCGGCGTCATCCCGCGCAACACCAAGTCATCCTCTTTCGCGGGCTTGTACCACTGGAAATCGCCCACGTGCCCGTAGGGGTTGTGGGGCCCGTGCATTTCCTCCTTGGGGTTCACGCACCCGACGCAGGACAGAACGTGGTCTTCCAAGTGGAACATGGGGGGCACCTCGGTGCCCGGGGACCGGAGGGGCATCACCGCCGGTGAATCCTCCCCCTCGTCCCACTGCTCGTCCTCGATCCAGACGTAGCCCGACCGTTGCAGATCCAACTGCGCGTCCTTCAGCAGCGTTTTCTCATACATCAGCACCTGCATATCCAGCGCCTCGTGGTCGTTTTCATGCGGAACGATCTTTTGAATGTTCTTCAAAAAATCCCGATCCAACTTCCGGCGAAAGTACTCCTCGTTTCGCTCCACGTTCGGGTCCTCGTCATCCTCGCTGTCATTCTCGTCGTCTCCTACGTAGCTGTCGTCGTGCGCGCTAGCTTTCTCCCTTTTCCGTTTCTCGTAATTTGACTCGGTGTCGCTTTCGTTCTCCGTTTCATCTTCCTCTCCGGGGGGTGCATCGAAGTTGAGAAAATTTGACAGCTGCTTCTTTCGCCACTTGGCTTGATGTTCGGCGTGGTTCTGCGAGTAGGAGATCGACGCGCGGCCCGTGGCCCGGTGCATCGCATCCTCGAGGTTATTTGACTGGTGGAAAGAAGTTCGGGCTAGCTTGATCGAGTTCGTTTTCAGCTGCGCAACAAGCGGATTCGACGCGACGCTCGTCCGCGAGTTGTAGTTGGCCTCCTGCTCGGAACGCTTCCGGCTGCCTGGCTGCTGGTGAGCAGGACTCTGCAGCGACAAAACCAGCGAGTCGTCGTTTTTAACTACATTTTCTGACTCGATATCAATTTCCTCTAGCTTGTCGTCTTGTTCCACCCGGCCGTGTTCGTTAGATGTAGAGGACGCTGCCGCCAAGCGCTGTAAGAGAAGGCCTTTCTGCTCCATCCCCGGTGCCTCGTTGTCGTTAGATTTATTTGTTGTGATATTTTTACCTGCATTTCGTTCTTTCCCTTCTGCTTCTTGTTCTTCACACACTGCTATTGAATTCTTCGTCGCTAATTGTAATTCTGCTGCATCTCCGAGATGATTCCCGTCCTGCTTGCCTTTTTCTTCTGCTTTTTTTCCTACTCCTGCTTCAACGATAATGTCTGCTTTATTTCCTTCTGCTTCCGTACTACTGCTAGTGAGTGTCTTTTGCAACTTTGTGCTAATATTGTCCTGATTTTCGTTTTCCTCGGCCACATTTCGATTTTCTTCACACGTGGTTGTGGTAGTACTATCATTGGTCTTTTCGAGAACCAACACATCTTCATTCGTTAGGTGTAGTCGATCTTTACTACTCTGGAAGTTCTTCTTTTCAGCATCCTCCACCTCGATTATTGTGAGGAAAAGTCCCCCCCTCCCCATATCAAAACGAAAATTTGTGATGCGGGTTTTGTGTACACAAATCCAATATGTCTTGCAGCAGAGGACTGCAGGCAGACGCAGTGCCTGAGTAGGGCCGCTGTTCTGTAGGCGCCTAGCAAGGCAGGCATGTCCTCTGTAGGCGGTACAGCATTACAAAGTGCCTGCGAAACGCGGCTGATTTCCTGCCTTTGCCCTCTTGCAACACACGGACGATTTGTGGTCACAAATCAGCATCACAAATTTTCAGTAGTGCCCCTGTTTGGCATGGGGAGAGGGAATTTTTCCTCACAATATCGATCTTATTTCCGTCACTGTCTTTCTCCGCGGTCTTCATCTTCATCAGTTTCGACGCGACCAATATGCATTGCAAATATGTGCGGGTGACTGTACCTTGGATGAGTGCAGATGTCTGTAAGCTCTAATGCAGTTTTTGCATGACACAGAGTGTCTGGCATGCAGAGACCAGCGTCACAGGTTCTTCGAGAGCTCCATGTTGATGCCTCCTCTGCATGAGAAATCCGCTCTCACCATGACCACAAATAAACATCTTTTGCTGTTTTTGCAAAACAAATTTTTCTGTGATCTGAAATGCGCATCACAAGTTGCAACCCTTCAGACCCAGACATATTTGCACTTGATAACCAACTTCGCCGCCGCTGCCGCAGAGGACGACAAAGTAGCCGAAGATGACGACGCACCCGCGGCGCTGCCCGCCATTTTGCTTTCCAGCTCCTCGCGCATCTTCAAGCACAGCCGCTCGGACTCGCTCGTTCGCCCGGGGGGAAGGCTGTCGACCAGCTTTTTCTGCCTTTCCTATGAACTGCAAAAGTATCGCACTCGTATAAATGCATTACAAATTTTCTCAGCATGAGAAATAAAATTTGTGATGCTGATTTGCCTTGACAAAGAAATTTGTAATGAAAGACCTGCATTTATACGAGTACGATACTTTTGCACAGCATATTTCCTTTTCCAAAGCAATTTCGTACCCCTTCATCATGTATCAAATGCAAATATGTGTGGGTCTGGAAAGGTTGAATCTGTGCTGCGTGTTTCGCACTGCTAAAAAATTTGTATTGCATACGCAACAAACAAAGCACCACACTTTCGTCATGCAAAAACGCAGTTTGTAATGCGTCCTGCGCATGACAGGGCATGCTTTGTCATTTGTCATGCTGCACTGCAGTTAAAGGCACGCTCAATCATGGCCGTTCAGCATTACAAGTTTCCAGACCCAACCATGTTTGCATTTGATATCATGCGCCGCGCGATGGTGTAAGCCGCTTCCAGCGTCCGCTTCTGGCGGTAGTCGAGGTTCGTGTATTACAATGAAAAATGCCCCCACCCTCATACTTGGGAGCATTTGTGTTGCCAACCTTTCCAAATGAAACACTCGCCCTCCTGCATCTATCAGCATCACAGGTTTCCAATCGTGAATAGCAAAAATTTGCATTGCAAAAGACCCCAGCAAGAGCGGCGCTTGTCATGCAAGCGATGCAATACACGCCTTGACTCTGCATCAGAAAGATTCATACTCCTTTCATGCAAAGTTTTCATTTGGAAACTTCGCATCACAAATTCTTGTAACTTTGGGGGTGGGGGCGTTTTTCACTGTAATATCGTGTGGTCCGGCTTTTCCTTCAAAATCTCCCGGATCCTTCGCATGTGCCGCCCCTTCTTCAGCGATGAACAATCGGCGTCTTGTGAGCCAGAAGCTTTCGCGCCGGCTTTCCGCTCCGCTGCAGCTGTTGTGGTTCCACTAGTGATGTTGGTACCATCGTTGGCTCCTTCCTCGTCTTTATTCAAGGCTGCATTTGTTTCATCTTCGTCCTCGTCATCGTCCAGGTTAAGCACGGCCGCCGCGCCATGAAGATTCTCCGCATCTTCCTCCTCCAACGCCAGCGTGTCCGCGCGGTTCCGTATTGTGAAGAAAAATCCCCCCTCCCCATATCGAACAAGAAATTTGTGATGCTGACCTGTGATCACAAATCAGATTTATCTTGCGTACATGGCAAACAGACCCACGTGGCGCCTTGTGCAGCCAGTCTGTCATGCGTTTTCGCCTATGTCAGGCTTGTTTCTCATGCTCAGCTGCGAGCCGGATGCATAGTACCCAAATGGGCTTAGAATATGCCGACAAGCACAAGCTCTTCCTGCAATACAAAGTTCATGTGTGTACACAAATCCAGCAACACAAATTGTCTTTTGAGTATGGGATGGGGGCTTTTTTCACTTTGATATTCCGCCGGGCGTCGTAGGCCCGCACCATCTCCTGCCGCTCCTCCGCCTCGCGCTCCTTCCGTTTCTCCCGCTTCTTGGCCCGTTTCGCGGCACGCTTACTGACCGGCTTGTCGCCCTCCTTCACCTCGTCGTCGGAGTTGATATCACTGTCCTCGTCGTCGTCCTTCTTCCGCTCGTCGGTGCAATTCAGCGTCTCGATGTCCCACAGCGCGTTCAACTCCGTGGCCTGGTTGAAGATCGGCCCTTTACTGTTCGAGCCGAAGGCGGAGAACAACCCGCCCGGCCCGGCGAACGCCGACCGGTCGCCGAAACACAGAATTTTGCCGCCCTTGCTGTTCTTCATGGCCTGGCCCCAGGAGGCCGCCCAGGGCATATCCAGACACCCGCGGTCGTGCCGCGCAAACCCGTGTTTCCCCCCGGTGGAAGTTGTTGTATTATTTGTAAAAACGTCCCCACCCCAGAGTCAAGATGGGGATTTTGCAACACAAACCTGAAAGTTTTCGTTTTGGGAGCCACGCATGACAAGTTGCACGCTGTAGTGTAATGCCGTTTCGCAAGGGAAGCCGCATAACAAATCCATCTCCTTATCCTGTTGACAGCATTACAACTTCCAAAACACGATGGGACATGCCTCTCATGGGGATGCGCATTACAAATGCTCTTGTGCTTGCAGAACTGCATGACAACTCTGGGGTGGGGATGTTTTTGCACAGGATATGTTGCGCCCGCATCCTCGTAAAACGTCTGCGGCGCGTCGCCCTCCTCATTCACCGTCGGGAGCTCGGAAGAAGTACTTGCGCCCGTAGTACCTACCGCTGCAGCAGATGAAGCGCCACTGCTCAAACCGGCACCTGCACGCGGATTACTATTTTCAACACCTCCGCCAACTACACGAGCCGCAGCTGCAGCCGCGCCATCGTGGCCGAACTGATGTTGTTGTGCACCAAAACCTCCGCCTGAATCGTTGTTCAGTCGATCTACTAAGGAATGTTGCTGATGACCCGCAGGAGCTGTGGATGAGTTAGTGGTCATCGTTCCACCACACATCAGGAGTTGGTTGTTTTTCCCCGCGGGGGCTGCATCCGGACCACCACCAGCAAGGTACGAACTAGCGGTGGAACCCCCTGCTCCCGGAAGATGTTGAAGGTGCTGACCGTACTGGCTGGACGCTCCTGGAATAGCACCTCCACCCCCACCGAAACCTCCTTTCGACCCGTTGCTGGCGTACTCAGGCACGTCCGGGAGGTGAAACCGATTGGCGCTGGGTGTCCCGTTTTTGTTCTTGTCGCCCCCGCGCGGGGTGCAATAGAACATGGAAAAGTAACTGCTCGTGGCGTCACTGTTGTAGCAGTTGGACAAACCGTGGCCAGTATAAACTGCAAGAAATATGTCTGGGTCTAGAAGATTCTGAGACCTGTCATGCACGTTTTGCCGCGTAAGCCATGACGTCAGTGATGCATGCGCTAGCATCACAGATTTTTTGAGGGCTTCTTAATGCCTATTCTGCATGACAAATGCCCTCCCCACGCAGCAAAAATTGGAATTGCACTCCCTTGCTTCTCGTGCACTACAGATTTTCTTGGAATCCAAATGCAGCATCACAAGTTACATCCTTCCATACCCAGACATTTTTACACTTGATAGCCAGTGGATCCATTTTCGTTCGCACCGGGGAAGTGCGGGGCGAAGGGGTCCATGCTGGCGTGGGTGTGCGCGAAGGGGAAGTTGTTGCGCTGCAACCACACGGGCTCGTGCGAGTTTGGGTTGGTCCCCCCGTTTATCAAATGCAAAAATGTCTGGGTCTGGAAGAATGCGCGACTTGTCATGCAGCTTTTCCATGACCCGTGAGGTCTGGAATGCAGGACCTAGCATGACAGATTCTGCGCGATCTCTCTCATGCCTGTCCGGCATGAGAAACTCCCTCCCGACTTGGTCAAAACTGAACGACTTTTGGTAGTCATGCAACGCAGATTTTTGCATGCTTCAGATTTAGCATGACAAGTTGCATTCTTCCACCAGACCCACACATTTTTACATTTCATACCGTTCTCGTACACCATGCCGTTGAGCACCGCCGGACTGTAGTCCAGATAGGTTAAGTCGCTGTAATCGTACTCGCTCTGGTCCTTCCAACTCCGGGCGGTGGTCGCCGGCGCGCGGGTGGTTTCGGAAAATAGGTGCTCGGAATGCTGGTCCTGGTTGTAATTATGTCCAAAGCTGCCGTGATGAGGGTGCAAGATCTCGCCGTTTTTCCCGAGTAGATGCCGGGGAAAGGCTGGTTTCCGTGTCGACGTGTTGTTGGTCGACCGCGAGCGGGTGCTCTTGCTCCCGTTATGATTTGCAAATATGGGTTGGTTTGGAAGATTGCGAGATTTGTCATGCTAGTGTAGCATGACTCTGCACTCGGTATTGCGAGGCCACGAAGGCGAGGTCCTCTTGTCTGTCTTGCAAATTAAACGCAGTTCCTCATGCGCAATACACAACACAGAGCCACGAAAAAACTTGTCATGCTTGGCGTTGCAGCATTACAGCTTGGTTACTTTTATTCGCTCACATGCATCGCAACTTTCCAGACCCACACAGGAGCATATTTGCATTTGATAACCGTTGTTGGTAGACGTTTGGTCTTCCGGAAGGCCGTTGTAATTATTCCCGCCGTGCGCGGGGGTTGTGTTCTGATGCAGTAGTTGTCCTCCTCCTCCTCCTCCCCAGCCGTTCGTATTATTTCCACCAGACGCTGGGTCTGCGGTAACACTGGTACTGTTTCCGTTGCTGCTGCTGGTACTGCTCACGCGACCGGCGGCTCCGTGTTTGTTCGTGCTGGACTTGGTATGGTGCTGCTTGTTACTTCCGCTTGCAACTCGGGAGGATGTCGTCGGGATTCTTTCCGAGTTATGGGATTTATTTCGGTGGTTGTAATTCGACGAGAAGTTGTGATGAAACCCTGTTGACGCCCCCCCGGAGGACTTTTGCTGCATAATTTCGTGGTCCTTGCTTCGCGCAACCCGCAACGCCTTCTCACGATCCGTGGTCCCGGGAACCATGTCCTGCAGCGTGGTCGTCGGAACGTCACGAAGGTGCACGACCGGCGTGGGGGTTGTGTTGTTCGACTGGTGTGCTGGGTGATGAACCTGCGCAAAGTTTTCCGCACAGTCGTGGAACTTCATCTCGGGGACATTGTGTAGTTCTGCGCCATGAATCGTCGCGTTGGCAGTGGTCACACTTCCTCCAACAACGTGTTGTTCACTATGTTTTCCATACTGGCCGGCATTTTTACTCCGGTTTCGGTTGCACTGGCTGCGGTTCGTGGGCGAGAGGGTTTCCGTTATCCAGGGTGAGAAAAAAGCCAACCGCAACCACCCAAGCTTTGCGTCACCGCTGTGGAGTAGTAGAACAAACATAATTATTCTTGTCTGATGCCGCTAAAATCTTTTACGTTCTATGGCAAACTTACATAATAAAACAAAATGAAAATGCACATCTCCCACGCAGCATATCAAGAAACCCAAGACACAGACATGCAAAGCGTTGCTACAGTGGACTTCGACTTTTTTCGCTATCGGTTCTCCCTCCCATACGCGTGATCTGTGTCCCTATCCACTTTAATCCGGACCAGAGTCGGCCGCGAGAGTTAGCATCACCAGCCTCGTTCCCTTTGCACGCGGTCGGTGTCCGCTGTAGCGCCGTGCCTTCGGTCGCGGAGCTCAACCCCGAGCCACAGGCACTAGTGTCTTCCTCATCGATGTCGGAGGGGATCGGTATTTTCGCTGCGTTTAGGAGATCACGATCCGGACCGGTTGGTCTTATGGATTGCAAAAATGTCTGGGTCTGGAAGGTTGGAACTTGTGATGCTGCATTTGGATTCCAAAAAAGCTTGTATTGCATGAGCAGCAAAGAGAATGCAATTTTTGCTACGCAGAGAGGACATTTGTCATGCGGACTAGGCAATAGATACCCTCAAAAAATCTGTGACGCTAGGGCATGCATCACAGACATCATGGGTCATGGAAAACCTGCAAGACAAGTCTCAGAATCTTCCAGACCCAGACATACTTGCAATTCATAGGTCTACTAGAAGTACCATGCTGTTCCTCAGCAACAATCGTGTCTGACGTGCCGGAAACCAGCACTTCTGTGCTCGAGGAGCTCGAGTTAAAAATATTTCCTCCTTTCATCTGCGCACCATCGCAGACCACTCCCTCCAGCCCCGGCGGAAGCCGCTTCACTACTGCACTGCCGGAAGTGGTGGATATCTGCTTGTTTGTTCCGGCGTTTGCCACCTGGCAGGCCTGTTCGAGCTTTTCTACCAGCAATTTTTCTTCCGCCGTCAGCTCGTTCGCCGGTCCTGAGCCGTTGAGCACCCGTCCAGAGGAGGAGCTGCTGCTGCTGCTGTTCATGCGGTCCAGCGATTTATTCATGTTTTTCGTGCTATTCTTGTTCCCCTTATTTATTGCAGTGGATGGTGCCACTGCCGGTGCGTTCGCGTTCGCATTCGCATTTGCATTCGCCCGCCACCACAAATCGCTAGACGGCCCAGCACCGGGAGTTGTCGTGCCAGTAGTCGGGTCTTTATTTGTTGTTGTACAAGCTGCCTTTCTTGCGGAGGAGCTGCTGGTGGCCGAATGGGACCTAGTACTCGTCGAGCCGCCACCTCCTAGGCCGCTCGCAGTCCGGTTAATAGCCCCGCGGTGCTGGTCCCGCTTGATGTTGTGCTGGTTCACGATAGTGGTACCTTGCTGCGCCTGGTCATGTAATGTTGCACCGTGGCTAAGGCTATCACCGCGAGGTTTGTTGCAGTTGGCTGGGGGTTGTCCTCCCTTGGGAAGGGCGTTAGGGTGAACAAATGCGGAAGATTTATTATTGTTCACGTGCGAGATCAAAGGTTGTTCTGTGGCCGTGTTATTAAATCTACTGTAGTTCACACAGCCCTCGGCCGTGGTGGGTTCCACGCTAAAGCTACTGTAGTTAGTACGACTCTTGTTTCTTCCCTCGATCGACATCTTCCCTTGGCCTCGCTCAGTAGTAGAGGTGGTAGTTATTTTTTCCCCCTCTTGTTGCTGTTGTTGAGAAACTTCTTTACTATACTTTCTCGGGTCCATTTTGCCGCCGTCCAGCGTGCGCTCCATCCCGAGATCGTACTGCTCAGTCGGCGTCGGCTGCTTCCCGAGGTTGGACGTCGTCGTACCGATGGCGTTCTGGTTCATCGGATGCGACGCTGGCGGTGCGGGGAGCTGTGGCGGCCCACCCTGTATCCTGCGCAAAAGTATCGTGCTCGTACTAATTGCGTTTATGCATGACAAATCTCTTTGTCAAGGTGATTCAGCATTACACATTGAATTTGTAATGCTGGGGTAATTTGTAATGCAATTATATACTAGTACGATGCTTTTGCAATTCATACCCTGCTGCTGGGTACTAACCGCCGCTCCCGCATTGGTCGTGCCTCCCGGCGTGTGCGCGGCCGCGGCGTTGTTGTGCGGGAGGTGCTGGGACGCGTTCCCCAAGCCGCCTCCATTCGCGCCGTCCAATTGAGAAGGGGTTGCACCTGGAAGTTATTTGGAAATCATAATGAAAATACCACGTAAAAAATAAAGCGGGGCAAAGACCATGAGACAAAACTATTGTAAAATTCTCCCCAGCGCCAGGCTTGATAGTACTATCAAGCAGTGGCAGCCAAACAAGAACTTTTCATGACTCACCTCCGGCTGGAGTGACTTGGTTCCTATGAAAGTTGTATCAACTGTAAAAATGTCTGGGTCTGGAAGATTCTGACACTTGTCATGCACGTTTTGCATGAGCCCTGATGTCTGTGATGCTTGCCCTGGCATCACAGATTTTTTGAGAGCTTCTTGCTGCCTCTTCCGCATGACAAATGCCCTCTCCGCGTAGCAAAAATTGCATTCCTTTTGGTTTTGGCACTCATGCAATACAGATTTTTCTGGAATCCAAATGCAGCATCACAAGTTGCATTCTTCCAGACCCAGACACTTTTACATTTGATAAGTTGTTGGTCCCGCTGTACACATCGCTGATAGCACCGCGCATGCGCGCCGCACCGTAACCGGACGGATAGCCACGCGTCGTGTTGTGTCGGGGTTGGTAGCCACCTGATGTCGTGTTTTAGTTCTTTGTAGAAGCTTGTTTTCTGCCGCAATCTTTAGAACGGGAAGAGAAGACTGCATATGAAAATGTAAATGATAGTATACATAGGACTCCACTGTCGCCATCGGCGGTTAAACTGATAAGTATTCGAAGATATCAGATGAGACTTGCAAAAAATGCCCGGTGAAGAAATTATAAATCGACATACCAGTATGGTCCTCCACAGTCTGCAATCCCGGTGGCGGAGGAGGTGGTTGCTTTCCCGCTATTGGAGGGGGCGGCGGCCCAGGCATTCCGTTCATATCGAGTCCATGCGGAGCGTAGTCCTGTATTTAGTGTCGATTTCATGCCACACGATGCGCGACGGCAGCAGCACCACAGAGAAGAAAGACATAAAACCATGCGATGCAACTGGTACGAGTCACATCGAGGATCTAGACACGAAAAAAAAAATCTTTTAGACTACCCTCAAGACTTGCGGAGGCGGCGGTTGTTCCACTCCCAATTTGTGTGCTGTGGCATGTGTGCTGTACTGCGAGCTGAAAGTATTCCCCCCGGGACGGCTGTACTGCGGACCGCGGGTTGGTGGCGGCGGCGGCGGTGGAAGGACCGGCTCCATGTGATGCTGGTCGTAGCGCGACGGGTAAATCGGATACCCCTCTGCTTCCTGTTGCATTTTCAAATTTAGTTTTTAATGTGCTTGCATATGCAAACAGCATGTTTGCATCAGTTGCACTTACAACAAGCGGTGCGCGCGCACCGTGCGCCCCCATTCGAAACTTTCTTTCGGCTGTAGCTGTTGATGCATCATGACAAAAAGATGGATACCATGCTGGTAGCCCCCGTACTAGCTGCGGCGCTCATTGCCACATCTTGGTACATCGGTGCGGCACCCACCTGCTGGCGGTTTTCAAGCCAGTAGGATTCTGCAGAAAGGGAAGATGTTGTTCCCACTTGGCCGTGTGCAGTTGGCGGCTGTTGGGACAACCCTCCATAAGACACCGCGTGGTGCTGTTGTTGGCCTACTTGTGCGGCGGTCGGCTGCTCACCCGGATAGACGAGCGCAGTTTGGTAGTAACTGGCACTGCTGTGCGCCTGGGAGGCTGCTCCTGCCATGGCTCCTGCTGGCCCTCCCGTAGTACCCGTGCTGGGGTTGTGTGCACCGTAGTGCTGCTGCGCTACAGCTGAGAAAAGCTGCTGCTGCTGCTGACCGGCAGTTGTTGTGCTATTCGTTGTGGTGGTACGGTACAACCCGTTTGCGGCGGAGCCGGTTCCGTTCGCGGCCGGAGTCGTGCTCGCGGTCGCTGGTGTGGCCAGAAGCTGCACCGGAGTGGTTGTTGTACTACTGTGGTGGTCCAGCTGCATGCTCTGCTGCTGGTTCAGGTTCTGCTGCTGCTGTTCCAGGTACTGTTTGCGGAACTCAGTTTCCATGTATTTCCTGTACCCCATTTTTTCCACGTCCATGCTAGTGGCGTTCGCACAAGCCTCCGAACCCGGGACAATGTAGCACTTTTCCTGATCAGAAATAATTATATTTGTTGTCCTCGTCCATATGATCAATAAATGGAATTAGAGTCAGAATTTTATTATCCCATTCACTTCTTCCCATTCACTTGTCACACATCAACCACATGATGGTAATTTGATTTTCAGCAGCAGTTGTCAAGCGATGAACGACAACGAATCCATCATAAACCAAAGCCTTTATCTATACCGCCGGGGCGTCCTGGAGCATGGAGGCGTCGTCTGCACCCATTGTGAAGTAACTGATGTTTTCCTTTATGCTCCGAAACTTCGGTGAAACTCTTTTCCAAAAACACAGAAAACGATCCTCTGCAAAGGAAAGAAAATTCTCGCGAAGTCCTCGGGGAGCAACAAAACAGGATCGCTTTTTTTTCCGGTCGGGTGCTGGTACTAGCCTCGCTGACACTACGACTTTGTTGCTCCAGCCTTTCGACGTCCTCTACTACAGGTACAGATACAGCCTAAACTACCAATAATATTAATATTACCCACAACTCCTATAATTAGTGCCTATTTGTTGAAAATATCATCAATGGTGCTATGTGAAGCGGTATCGGTGGTGTCCAAAATTCGCAAACAGCTGATGATCTATCTTCTATCTCTGTTAAGTTCATCAGTTCATCAGTACACCTGCAGCAAGTACAGCCACTCACGACGTTCTGGTGAAGATGAAAACCTGCTCCTCTATCTTACAAATCTAATATTTCTTTGTTTCTGGTGTTACTTGCTCTGTGCAAGTCGCGCGGCTTGTTGTTCTCACCGCTCCTTGTTTCGTCCTGTATGTCTTATAGTTTGACTCGACCTGGTCGCGCTGTCTTCTCGAGAAGGACGGTCCTAGTGCTAAAGATTATCTGAAATTCTCAGTAGGTGCAAGTACGTACCACCTGTAGCGCTGTTGAAAGTTATTTACTGCTGCTTCGCCTCCGCAACTGGTTTTTGCAGTCGTCGAAAAAGAATCGTATAAAAAATTGTAGTATTGCCAGAATCATGCACCGGCAACGCAGCGGGTATTCTGTCAAAGGACACGATTCCGTATACTCGGCCTGTTCTATCCGTAAAAACTTTCGCTTCCAGGTTGTACTTACTACACAACTACGCCAATTCCAGATATGAATATGATAATGATTATGATGGCTTTGCTCCTTACAAACAATTACTAGCACGGCTGATCGCTGTTCTGTCGATATGATGGCGAAAGTACTACTAGTAAGTATATTTATAGTGGATGTGGGACTGAACTTGCGCCAGCGTTCTTCTCTAGTGCGGCTCAGCCAGCACACTCCGGCCACGCGCGCTGGTCTGCAGCTATTTGTGAGAAAATAGTTAACAGACAAGTACGCTTGCGGCAGAGTGAGTATTTTCCCGCGGTTCGCAGTTTCGGTCGGGGATCGACTATTTGTATTTTTCGTCCATAGGGGGATGCTACTAATGGGTGCGTCCAAGTTAGTACTAGGCACGAGGTTGTATTGTTCCTATTGCTGTCTTGCTCGATGGGAGTGGGCACGACGGACTTGGTTTCCTAACTTTGATTCTTCTGCTACCACCTCTGCTCAAGAATCCCAGACAAATGGGCTCAGGTTCTCAGAAAAAATTATAAAGTGAGGACACGAGTGATTGATATCAAATGCGTCGTCGTTGTTCTTATGTCTTTTTGTTGTATTGGCTTCATGTATTTGAATTTCGCAACGTATCTTACTTTTTATTCACATGAATAGCGCTTTTTATGCGGTAACAAAACAAAGGCATTGAGGTTCAAAATTATCTGAGGAGATTCCTCTATGAAAAGTAATCCGCTTAAAAACGGTGGTGGCAGTGGAGCTCCAGAAAAAAAAGAACGTCCCAAGTACTACCTAAAATGGGATAAAAAATATTCGGCAGCTGAAAGGCTACTGGCACGCGGCGGGCAACAGAAAAAAGTGTGGTCGTCAAAAACCCTATCAGCCAAATTTGTCGGCGACAGGGAGTTTCCAGAACGCTCAAAACAAGCGGGAAACAATGTTGCTCCACGAAGCGATGCACGGAACAGCCTAGGAAAAAAAAGCGTTGAACCTCGTCCGCTCCTTACTTTTACAGCATGAAAAAGGATGAGAAAACAAATGGTAGAAAAAAAAATTCTGCAAACCGGAATAAATCAGCTTTATTATCCTAACAATCGCGCTCAGCTGATAGCAGATCAAGCTGTATTAACCACTGCGGCCTTGAACAGCTGCTATAGTAAAGTTAATACGCTTGTAGTTACGCATGCGCTCGTGCTCCACTCTAGTCCTCGCGCAAATTCGTACTACACGTATATCAGCTTGAAAAATGTCTAGGGCAGCTTTTTTACACGATAAACTTAGAGGACATGCGCATCGAGCTGGGCGAAATATATTCATAGGATATTAATCATAGCAGTTTTATCAAGTTTGAGTCTTCGTTTTGTTTCCTGTAGTTTGTTGTGCCATCGAAAATAAAGATTTTTTGGGAAGAGGCTTTGTCAAGTGAAAACGGACGCAGGCCTTGTTATGTGGATGAAAGGTCAAGTGCTAGTAGCTGTCTAAAGTTTTTAATACGTGAATCCAAAGTCCGCCAGGAGGTGGAACGTGTGTATGTATGTGAAATGAAACTAATGGTAACGATTGATGCGGTGGTGATTAGAAATAAACAGGGTAGTTTGGGAGGTTAATAATCCAAGTCCGGGTGTTACCAACAATAGAATTTTTTCGTCGAAGTGGCTGTGAAATTTCATATCACTGAATATCAACAAAGGTGGCTTCAGAGTCAATAACTATGTTCGGAAACAAGTGGGCTAAGACGCACGCATTTGTTCGGAAGAAATTACACCCGCCCCTACTGCTCTTTACTTCCGCACGTGAAAAATTCTTTATTATGCGTTGCAACACCAAGAATTATACTTAACCTATAGCTCTTGTAGTCTCGTTCTCAAAAGCAGACACAAATACCAACTTTCGAGATAGACTCGTCCTGGAAAAATTATTACACAATGTACAATTGGTGGTTCTTGCAGAAGAAATTTACGCGCAGATTGCTGCTGAAAGTGTCAGTTTCTAGGAGTACGCTGCAGCACAAATAGGTGAAGACCTTCGCTCCTGGTAGAGGTACTAGACTAGGGAAAGAGATCTACTTGGGTGGACATGCGAATCGATTGTAATGGGCGGAGGCTGCACTAGATGTACTTAGATCTTTGTCCGCGCTTGGGCGTTGGTTAGGAGGACTACGGGCGTCGGAATAAAAATCTCGAACATCGTCGGTCTTGCTCGTGATGTAAACACTACTACTCACACGTCGTCGCGGCAGTTGTACTTCTGAAATAGATCCTTTGCCAAGTCTTACGGTAGGAATACTTATCGTGATGTTGCGTGGTTCTTGCTTTGCGAAACAGAAACAAAGTCATCGTCCGTCCCAGGTACTCGCACTGCCAACGTTGTGAGATCTTTCTCAAAATACACTGGGTCTGATAGTACGCAGCTCCTATCTGTTATTTTTACGTGATCATCCTCGTCCTGATTCAGGGCCAGAAATTATGCACGTCTACGGACATCGAAATCTTCGCTGGCTGCTCAAAGGTAGAGGTGGTACTTCTGGTACCTACTCCATCTCCGAAAGTGATCCTCATACTGCAGGGCACCTGAAGGACCTTCTTTCCTTCATCTTGGCTGTCTACTTTCTCAGGTGACGACAAGTCTCCAAAATGTAGTAAGTATATAAGTACTTAACCATCTTCTTCGCGACCGTACTGTATTCCTGAAAGAACGAAACCGGAGGCACGATGCGAAACAAAATTATTCGAATCAAAACCGTATAAAGAATTTTTATCTTCAGCTCCAACTGCGGTTAGTATGCAACATCTATACTGCAAATAAAGCCTACCATTTGTTTCATCTTCAAACCCCAGGCGAGACCAGGGGCGAGCGACTTACCACTTCCGAAGTCGGCGTTCCCAGGGCGATCTGTTGTTTCAAAGCTTCTGTTTGCTTCTCCAGCTGCTGCTCGAGTTCTACAAGTTCTTGCGCGAGCTTTTCCTTCCGCCGCTGCTTTATCCGGGCGAAAATATTGCCCCCGCTGGTCTTCGGGGACGGCAGGCTGCTCAACTTATTCGCCAGGGCGCGGGGAGAAATCGGCATCTTGCTCCAGAGCGACTGCGCAAACCGGACCGACGGCGACCGGTCCTGTGGCTGCACAGGAGCGGGGAACTGCGGCCGTTCGGTCACCGACGCCACGCCGTGCTGCAGCGAACCCATCTGCTCCAGCGCTTTGCGGCTCGCGGGGTCCTGGAGTAGCACCTGAAGTTCGAGCGGGGTGCCCACGACCTGTTGCGCCTTCATGCGGCGCACGAGTCGCTCTAGACGGGCTTTACGCCGAAGCTTCCGCTTACGGTATTCGCGGAGAACGTTGATCAGTCGATCGCCCATAAACCTTTAACATACATTTTTTTATAATCAAAATCATTTCAAGGCCTACAACCATAGTACGACGCAGCAGGAGTCATGCTCGCTATGATTTTTCCACCGCACGTTGTCGAGTGTCTGCCAGCAGCAACAAATTACCAAAAAGAACCTATACACGACAACTACGATTTAAGGTAACTATCGGACTTACTTACCTTAGACTTACTTACCATATGATTGCTAACAAAAAGCACGCGGCCGCGAGCCCGCTTCCGACCACCAGATGCCCCCGGATTCGGATCGGCACGGTCTCCTGCGACGCGAGGATCATCCCTAGATAGCCGGCGAACACGAAGACTTCCAGGATCAAAACGATGAGCGGGACGGTGACCAAAATGATGTTTCCCTTCACCTCGTCGAGGAACGGTTGAATCTCCAACGTTTCCAGCCGCTGCGTTGCCCGCTCCAAGCGCCGCGCGGCCTCCCGGACGAACTCGGACTATGACAATGCACAACTCCCCCTTCCCCTCATACATTTGTCATGCAAAATACCAAGTCCACCCTTCTCTCTTTGGCACATCTTGCATGACAGATTTCGGAAGCCGAAACAGCACTAGATTCGGTCGCGAGTCTGTCATGCAAAAGCTGCACTTATGCCAGCACTTGTGTTGCTGTTTATGCCATTCAAATGGAGGGGAGGGGGAGTTGTGCTCTCTCATACGGACAGCTGTCCGATCACTTGGGCGGACTGCGCATCCACGATGGCGTTCAACTTCAGCAACCCGGCCAGGAAGAAACTGGTCTTGTCCTCTAAACCGCTGGCAGTAGCCGTGGCGCTCCGCGCATAGCTCTGGATATAGGTGGCGTGGATGTGAATATTCCGGATGGCCTCCGATGCCTCGTTGATGGTGCCAACCACAGCCTCCAGCTGTTCGCGGTCCATGGTGTGCCGAAAGGCGGGCTCGCCCGCCCCCACGCCGGGGGTCGTGGGTCCCATCGCCTCGGCGCTGGACGGCCGGGGGGGAGTTTGCGGAGGTGGACCACCCGCCATGTTCAAAAGAGACCAAGACGATCACTTACTCTAATATCTGACTCCACGTGCTGAGATCTTAATTCTGTAAAGAAAAAGCACTCCGCTCTCACGCTCACTTTGAGCGGTATTGTAGTTCACTCGTCTAGTAGCTCAGCGATACCAGGAAAAACAAGGCTGTGTTCAAGTGTAACGAGAACAGTCAGCACCATCTGCGCGGCAGACACCCACACTGATCTTCATTTTTGGCGTCCCTTCCGGTTCTGTGACTGTATCTGCATGAGCAGCCTTGCCTTTTCCTTGCTCCTCTGAGAGCTACAATGTACAAATCTTCCGCCTTGTGACGTTTCTACGAATTTCGGTTTCAGTTGCAAAAATTCTGCGTCCGTGCAGCTGATGGCTGGTCACACACGATAACAAAAGAATCTTTGGTACATTGAGAAAGGACAAGAACATTAATTTTGGAAAGCATACATCAAAAGCTAAAGCGGTGATAGTAGCTAGCTAAATCTAAGATTCATTTACATTAGTGAAGAAGAAGATAACTACAGCTGTTCTATTTTTGCATCAACTGTGGTACTGTCAAAAGCTTCAGATATTTCATTTTTCAAGAATCGATTGTACAAACCCTGGCTCTGTCTCCAGGAAATTCAATGCAGGTCCAATGTGACACTCGACGACAAATTGATTCAAATTGTTTAATTTCCGTATTGTACATGGAGATAACGTTTTTTTTTCTGACCTTCCTCCATTCCCCCGAATAACGAAAGCAAATCACATGATGTGCAACGCCTCGAAGGCCTGTAGAGTGAGAGTTTGAATGTCAAAGTCGAAAATTTCTTGGATGCGTTGACACAACATCATGCCTGAATCATTCGTTGTTCTATTCTTGACATTGCATGCTCAAAAAACCTGAGGGTCATGATCAGATGAAGACAAAAGTATTCATCATACCGTGTGTGCCGTGTTTTCTTGTTCGGAGGTGTGGTGCGTGTCGGCTTTCGGCTCAGCTGGCGACAAGAACAGGTGTTGCACGAACTGCAGAAAGGTCGCCGGCGCCGATGCGAAACCGCTCGGCTCCTGCTATCAAAAGGAAAAATCCCCCCTCCCCATATCAAAATGAAATTTCTGATGCTGGATTTCCGTACACAAATCAGAGCTGTCTTGCAGTACAGGACTGCAGGCATATGCCGTGCCTGAGTACAGGGCTTCTGACGTGGACGCTTAGCGTCGCAAATGGTTATGCTGTAGCCCGAGCAGCATCACAAACCGCCCGCATAATGCTGCGGAGACTGTAGAGTTGCCTTCTTGCAAGACAAAAAGATTTGTGGTCACACATCAGCATTACAAATTTTTTGAGAAATACCTTTTTGATATGGGGAGGGGGGATTTTGCCTTACGATACCTGCTCCAGCGGCGCATGATGGTCTTCCGTCCTCCCGTGCGCAGTCTCGATGGTGGTGTCTGTGTCACCCGCGATTTTCACATTTCGTTTTCCTCCACCTGCCGCTGCTTTCTCCGTGGTCCCCAGCTCGACAAACGACGTGGTGGAGAGGGACGCCTTGTCTGGTGACGGCGGTGTCGCGGTCGTGGTGACGGACGCCGCCTCCCCGTCGTTTCCGCTTCCACCGCAGCAACCCGCGAGGGAGCCGGGCTCGGGCGTGGTCTCGGGCGGCGCGAGCGTGCTGCCCATCGCGCGGTCCTCGGGCATCAGCGTGGAATACTCCGGGTTGGGTCCTGCGGGTCTGGGCGTGGTGGGGAGCGGCTCCGGCCGGGCATCTTGGGGGTCCTCCATCCTCCTCCCTTGCTGCAGAAAACTGGTGCTCTTCGGAGCCGGGGTGGAAGATACACTGGCATTTTCATTTTCGCTCGACGACGTCGGCGCTGCGGTCGTAGCCGCGCTTTCCGAGGAAGTCGCCTCCGCTCCTTCTCCACCGCCGCCCAGCAGTCCGTCGCAGGCGCCGCCGCACGAGTCTGCGCTCGCCGTTTGTTCCGCCGACGAGGCCGGAGCGGTCGTCGTAGCTTCGCCATCTGCATCTGCCTTTGCCTTCTGCACGAAAGAGGAACTGTCCGGCTTGGGGCTGGTGGTTGCCGTGTCCGTCGGGGGAGTCGTAACCGCCGGCTGGTCGTCCCCACCGCAGCAGGCAGCGAGCGGATCCGCGTCAGCCGGCGGTGGTGGTTCGGTGGCCGAGGGCGCGGGAGTGGAGTCTCCCTCATCCCTGTTCTCGCCACCCTCTTTTTTCTCATCACCATCCGTTTTGTCTTTTTTGTCACCTGCCTTGCCTTTGTCACCACCTTCATCCTTGTCTTTGTGGTCCCCATCACGCTTCTTGTCGCCATCTGCTTTCACCTGCGTCGTAGCCGTCGAGGTCGAAGACGCTTCCTTCTTCGCCTGCTCCGCTGTGCTTTTCTTACTCTCCACGGTCGATGATGTCGAGGTGCTCATGGAAAGAAAACTTGAGGCATGGCCTGATGACGCCGCTGACGCCAAATTAGTCTTGACGTTGAGGTCCTCCGTTTGATGCACAGGTGTATCTGAAACGAATTGATGATTTTATCAACTTCATACATAAATCATGTTTTATGAACGACAACGACTAGATGAAAAGGAAAACACAGCCAGAGGAAAGAATCAGAATGGGTACTTAGAAGAAACAACGGCACAAAAACATTCTCAATTCGAAACCCAAACCAACATACCCGTTGACAAAGTGGGTGACGCAGCAGCTGACGCCGCGCCTGCAGCAGCCAATCCCGTTCCCCGCAAATTTCCCCTCTTCACCACTGAAGTTTTTGCCGATGACGAAGCCCCTGGTGCACTGCCACCTTCATCGCTCTTCGCCCCCGCAACGGTTTGCCCGCCGAGGAACTGCCCGGTGCGCTGCGTTAGCTCCTCCAGCGAGGATGGAATCAGCCTGGCTCCAGATGCAGTAGTAGTAGTTGAACCGAGGTACACAACCGCCGTCGACAATTGGACGACCGTGCGATTCTTGTTGACAACCATTTTTACTCTTTTCTCTTTTCTTGAACAAGTAATTTCAATTTTTCTCGAACAACACCGTACTCAAATTCAAATCGCATAGGTGCGAAAATAACTCCAGGAGGTGGGAGTAGGAGATCCTTCACAACTGCAGACGCAGACCGTGCTATCGGTGATTTTCAACTACATGCAGTGACCCAGGTAAACGATAGTCAAATCAATCAGACGAGGAGTTCAAAGAAGGAGTTCTAATCGACTTCGACGAGGACTCTCACTCTCTGGCCGGTGTGTTCTCATCTGGTCGAAAAACAATACTTACTCAGCATTTCATCTACTCGTCACGACGTCGATACGCAAGGATGGCAAAATTTTTGCAGACGATATTGATTGAACAAACTCGCGAAACAACCGCTACCAGCAGTTAGTTCACTTATAACTTTTTACTTCGTCGTCTTCTTACCGTCACGACCGGATGAATAGCACATAACTAGTACGAGACTTTTCGACAATAGTAGTTTCGCATTTACAACCCTTCTTGGAACATACAGCGAACTCTTGTTTTTTACGATTCAAGTACGTACAGAAACTCAGAACGATCACATCAATCCAGGACACGCCAGTCGCGGCTGAGTAAAGTTGGTGTCTTTGCACCCCTAGAAGTGGTGGCCCTTCCTTCTACCTAGCAATGTCGCGTGCAGCAAAATGGTATTGTTTCAAATTTATCTGAAAGAACCCCGGACGACTGGCCGTTACGACGTCAGGCTTGTTCTACAGATTATTGATGCTTCCAGCGGTTCCAATCCCCAATCGCGGCGTTAAACCAGCCGTCCCAGCGGGTGCGCAGTGCCAAGTTGAAAGCGAAGCCGACCCGCGTGACCGTGCTGTTTTCGTGCGGAGGCACCTGGTGGATGAGCCAACTCGGAAAGCACAGCACGTCGCCCTTCTCGGGGAAGATGTAGTAGGGCTGATGGAAGGGCGCGTTTCCCTGCCACCCGTAGGCGTTCACCGCGTTCCCGTACCGCTCGTAGTCATGCATCACGTTCCGCTATCAACTGCAAATATGTCTGGGTCTGGAAGGATTGCAGCATTGTCATGCAGGTTTTCGATGACCCACGAGGTCTGGAATGCAGTACCTAGCATGACATCGGTGGTCTACGGGCAGGCTGTCCCGGTGGCGCTTTGGCCAATCGTACAGAGAAAAAACAAAAAATACAAGTTAGGTAGGAATACAATTGAAGGTTATGAATGAAGTCAAAAGTCGTAGAGACAGTATTAAAGTAGTTCCTACGGGCATGGTCACGATTGGGCAACAGAGGGTAGAGTCACGATTGGGCAACAGAGGGTAGAGCAACGAATTGTTACGCATCTATCCGCTGGTCAAGTACGAGGAAAACGAGAGCAGCATCGAAGAAGGGAAAGGCGCGCAAGCAAGGCAGCCCAGCAGCAGCAAAAATATCAAGACAAGAAGCAGACTACCGCCACCCGGGGTCCTACCCGACCGAGAACTGTACTGGTATGGGCCAACATACCATAAAAGGTACAGAAGAAGGGTAGGTGCTCGCGTAAAGAGAAAGATGACCAAACCTACAGCGCCCGAGGGTGCATGCTCACCACTGTAGGATAATCTCTTTACCGTCTGCCAGCGGACAAGCCACTGAAAAACAAGGCAGTGCAAAGTAAACAACCAGGTTGGAGCCAGCAGGCCAACCGCAACAAGACCGCGAAGATGACAAATTCTGTGAGATGATCTCTATCATGCCTATTCCCTCTCAACTTGGTAAAAAATGTTGGCAATCATGCAACACAGACTCTTTGCGTGATTCAGATTTAGCATGACAAGTTGCAACCTTCCAGACATCCAGGGATTTTTGCAGGCCATATCCGCCCCCGCGGGTCCATCAGAGCGATGGGCGTCTTGTATCCTGTGTAAAATATACGTCCTCCCGCCCCAGCACACTTGTCGTGCATCAAATTCAAAGCGGCAGGCCTAAATAAATGTTTCGCATGCGCAGGGGCCGCCCCATGAGAGCCATTTTCTGATGTTATCTGGAAAGTTGTGATGAAGCTGGAATCAAGATAAGGTAGACGATTTGTGATATCACGTCTGCACAACTATCTACCTCAAACAGCACTATATTACGAGTTCAAAAAAACTTGTCATGCGCGACAGCAAAAACTTGTGCCAATTTGCGTAGCCAAATCCGCATCTTGTATCTTGACTATTGGGTCGTCGCGGGGACGTTCAATAGTTTACTCAGGATATCTTGGTCGGGTCCGTCACGGCGTACAGGACGCAGCTGACGATGCTGTCCTGGTGCGCGTGCGGGTTGTGCCGCCCGCCCTGCTTCGGGTACACCTGCACCCAGGCAAAGGGGTCGTACGGCTGCACCTTCTTCGCGTCGGCGAGCGTGTTTTTTTGCTCCTGAAAACTCCTCATCAGTTGCTTCTCCCGGTACAGCTTCACCGCCTTCGGGCTTCTCGGCACCTTAGTTTCGTCGGAATCCGACTCGGAGTCGGTCTTTTTGCTCTTCGCTGGTACTCCCGCCGTCCTGTTTGTTCCACCGAGCGAACCGCCAGTTGTAGTAGTATCACGGTCCTCTTTCGGTTGAAACATCGCCGCCTTTTTGTTCAGCACCTGCTCGATGTCGACGCCCAATCCGGTCCGCGCAAACTCGATGGCCACGCGCTCGATCGCGGCTACCATTTTGGTCAGAGCCTTGCCACGCTTCCCCCGGTACATCTCTTTCCACACCTTGGCCTTGCGGTACAGGTCCGGGTCTTTGACCTGCAGGCCGAAAAAGTAGTCGTTCAGCTCCGCCAAGTTTTTCGCACCACCGCTGTCGTCGGCCGCCGAGGAGGACGAGGAACTGCTGCCCTCGTTGCCCTCAAACTTCTTCCGCTCGTCCTGTTCGTATTTCTGGTACTTTTGCCGCAGCTCCCGCCGACTCAACTTGGAACTCCCGGTTTTGTTGCTCACGATCTCCTATGCGTTGCAAATATATTTTCTGGGTCGTCTGGAAAGTTCTGATGCAAGTCTGCGACTGCTGGACTCACTTGAATGTACAGCCACGCATCAAAAAATTTTGAGCTGCTATGGTTCTCGCGTAATCCCTATGGCAAGCTAGGTTTTTGCATGACAGGCAAGAGGTGCTCGTTTTCGTGCACATGCAGTTGTACAGACCTCACGGTCATCATGCCAGACAAGCATGACAGATCCGGCATTTCCGTTTGTCGTCCAGAGCCAGACATTATATTTGCAGTTCATATCTCCTCCAGGTTGTGGTCGTCGGCAATCTCCTCGTATTTCGCGATCGCTTCCCGGGCCAGGTCGTCGATCACCTCCTCGGAATATCCTGTGCAAAAGTATCGTACTCGTACAACTACAAATGCGAGTCTTATTCTTAAGGTAAATCTGCATTACAAGTTTTATCGCTCATACTGAGGGAATTTCTAATGCATTTATACGAGTACGATACTTTTGCAATGCATACGGAAATGTCCTCGTCGATGATGTTTTCAATCCCAATGTTGGTCGGGAAAATCTGCGCCACCTGCATTTGGTTACTGAGAGAAGTAGTCACACCGCTTGTAGTTCTCGTGTCCGGTTCTTGATCTTGATCTTCACTCCCTGCTGTCAACATCTTCTTGCCGCTGCTAGTGCTAGAGGACTTCTGCTGTTCGATGTCATTTCCTGCAGTTGCTCCTGCTGCGCCGGATGTAGCAGTCGCACTCTCCTCCTCCGAGGAGGACGCAGATGCCGTGGCTTTCTTTTTCTTTTTGCTCTTCTTGTCTTTCTTCCCCTTCTTCGATTTTTTTTCCGTCTTCTCCTCAATTTGGTCCTGCGATGCAGCCGGGAGCAGGGAAAGCTGCAGCAGATTTTTGTTCGCGGTTGTGATGAAGGAGCGCTCGGCCATGTGGTCCGCCACGAAAAAATCTGCTAAAGTCCACCGTTGACTCGCTTTGTTGATTTTTGGCAGCATCAACACTGAAAAGTCCGGCTTGCTCGGCCACATTTTGGTGTCGTCGTCCTTCGAATCTTTTACTACTTTCGACGCCAGGGAGTTCATCATCTTCTCCCCGCATGAAGATTCTTCATCCGGGTCGTCGTCGTCTGCGCTGCATTTATTGTTCGGGGCGATTTCATCGCTGCCACGACCTGTTTTTGAGGACAGCACTTTCGTACAGGACAAAACCTGCGACTGTGCCCCGCCCTTCTCGATGCGTTTTTTCACCACCTTCATGGCCCCGCGGAGCCACCGGATCCCCCGAACCGGTCCGAAACCCTGGTTGAACAGCCGCGCGTACAAATACAAGTTGCACTCGACCCGGTTCGCCCGAGACTGCAGGATGTGCCAGGCGAGTTTGTGGGGGTTCCCAACGGCCTTTTTGCCCATCTCGTCTCGCTATGAAATGCAAATATGTCTGGGTCTGGAAGATTCTAAACTTGTGATGCTGTGTCTGGATTCTAAAAAAATTTGTATTGCATGATCTTATTTACCCCTCAACCACTATACCCCCTTTACGACCACTACCTCAGGGCAGGATCTCGGGGGGATGGGGTCAAGCTCTAACGGGGGTCGGACCCGAGTGAAACCGTTAGAGTGGCTGCATGTCCTGGTCGAATCCGGAAATTCCATGAGCAAGGTATCGTTTCCAATGGTAAACCAGGCAAACACGACGAACAGACAAAGACGAGGGACATGGGCAGAGCAAAGGGATAGCTCGCTGGGGTCTCCTGCAGCTGAAAAATAACGTCGCGATGCGACTGGACTGGGGTCTCCAGCAGTCCACCAAAAAGCCCTATTGCAATGGCCGGGATAGGGACCCCACCTAGGACTACGCACGACAGGCCACGAAGAGACGATGCCGAGGAGACACAGCGACGCTCCGCTCCGCTCGACGCGACAAAGCAGCAACCGCACCGCTCGTCGAGGATCGCTCCACCCCCGCGCCAAACCCCCACGAACGACGCCAGGACGACAGAAAGACGACCGCGAGCCATAAACAACTCCCCTACGAGTAAACACCCCTCACTCGTCTATCCAGCTGGTAAGCACCGTTCAGTACTCTGTGAGACGCGGGGCTGGCGACCCGAACTCCCGCACCGTAATCAACCCGCCATCCATCGCCACCACCACCTCCGCGCAGCTTGGATCCGCAAAGCCCAGCCGCATCGAAAACGTCGCACCTCGCAGGAGTAACGAGCCGCACAAACGCGCTGCCAGCGCAGCTACCACGCAAAACCTGAGGTCAATCATATGGAAAGGGGTTACCATAAGGCTACGTAAGGGTCAGAGGACAATCCGCTGCCACAACACAGACCAAAGGATTAGGAGGGGCGACAACCACAAACGAAGAAAAAAAAGGAAATATGGGTCTGGTACTATGATCTTATCATAAGTATTCATGTGAGTGGGTGAGAGTGTGAGACAAACGAAAAACAATAAATAAAAAGTCCCTGAATTTGTATTGCATGACCAGCAATAGGACTCCAGTTTGTGCTACTCGGAGAAGACATTTCTCATGCGGTGGAGGCATCACAAAGCCAGCGAAAAATCTGTGATGCTAGAGCATGCATCACAGACATCATGGGCCATTCAAAATATGCATGACAACAATGGCAATCTTGCAGACCCAGACATTTTTGCAGTTGATACTCGCGCTTTTGCCACCACGAACTCCGGGTCCGCGAACAGCCCCACTTGCTTCGACACCACCGCTATCAACTGCAAAAGTGTCTGGGTCTGGACCTTTGCGCGACTTGTCATGCCGGTTTTCCATGACCCATATGATCTGTAATGGAGGACCTAGCATAACAGATTCCGTGAGATCACTATCATGCCTATCCTGCATGAGAAACTGCCTCCCAACTTCAACAAAAGTGGACAGCATTTGGTAATCATGCAACACAGATTTTTGCGTGATTCAGATTTAGCATGACAAGTTCCAACGTTCGAGACCCAGACATATTTGATTTGATAACCTCCGCCGCACTGTCCCGCTTCTTTCGGTTGTCGCCAACTAAAGAACCGGGCTTCAGCTTCCGCTCCGCAGCCGCGTCCTTGGCGGGGTCCTGTTTCGTCCGGGCCCAGGTGCTGAACACCCGGTGCGTGTGTTCTTGCGCGTAGGGCTCCAAACAGTGCTCCGGCTGCTTCCGCATTTCGCGGCCCGCGTCCGGGCCGATGTCTTTCCCGTACGAGTCCTCGGCGTCCCCCTCCTGGATCAGGCTCAACCGCTTATCAAAAGCAAAAATCCCTCCTCCCCATATCGAAAAGGTATGTTTCCGAAAATTTGCGTTGCTGATTTGAGGTCGCAAATCACATTTGTATTGCAAGAAGACAAGGGCAGAAGCTTCCGCCCCACTATGGGAGCGATTTGCCATGCTGTTGGCCCTAAAAGTGACCCGCTTGCCATGCTGAACAACTAGACCCATTCGCCCCTACCTAGCCTGGGGATTTGGCCGCAGTGCCTCTCTGCAATACAAACCTGATTTGATGTGTACACAAATCCAGCATCAGAAATTCCGTTTTGATATGGGGAGGGGGGATTTTTCCTTTCGATACCGCTCCTCGATCGCCTTCAGATCGCTCAAATACTTTTGCCGCTCCTGTTTCGCCGTCAATTTCACTTCGTGTTTCTCCGCGACTTCTGCTTCCTCGTGTTTGGCGTTCGTAGTTGTACTTGATGCTGGTGAAACCACCGTCGCCTGCAATAGCTTCTCCTCGCTGGCTTGGAGTCCGCAGGAGCTGGCGAACGCCTTCTGCACGTACAGTTCGAAGCCCTTCTGCAAAAACGCGATGCCCCCCTCGATCTGCAGAAAGGGTTTTTCGTCCGTCCACGCCGAGGTGAGCCAAAGCTCCCCCACGCGGAGCCACAGCTCCGGGTTCGTCAGGTCGAAGTCCAAGGCACCGAACATCTGGCTCCTATCAAGTGCAAAAATGTCTGGGTCTGGAAGAGTGCAAACTTGTGATGCGCATTTCAGAACACAGAAAAATCTCCCATGCATAGGCAGCAAAAGTTCCCACTTTCTGTCACCAGAGTCAGGGATTTGTCATGCGGATTCGGCATTGCGGAGGCTTCTCGAAATCTGTGATGCTAGAGCTTCCATGCCAGACCTTCTGTGTCATGCAGAAGCAGCATGACTCTTCCAGACCCAGACATCTTTACAGACATGCAAGAGTTTGTCATGCATCTCCCGGATCACGCTACTGGTCAGGTCTCCAATGCACGCAAAAGCATTACAGGTTCTGCGCAGGCCTCCTGATGTCTAAGTCTATCCCGCATGAGAAATAATTCCCTATTTGCGTAGCAAGAAATGGGAAGGTTTTGGTGCTATATGCAACACAACTTTTTGCCTGTTCCAGAAATCGCATGACAAGTTCCAGTTCTTGTTCCAGACCCAGACATATTTGCATTTGATAGTTCCGGGCCTCAAACAGTTTGGCGAATGGGTCCTCCTGCACGACGTCGCGCCTTATCGAATGCAAAAATGTCTGGGTCGGGAAGAGTGCCGGACTTGTCATACAGGTTTTTCATGACCCATGAGGTCTGGCATGGAGGGCATAGCATGACAGATTCCGTGAGAGTTCTATCATGCCTGTCCTGCATGAGAGACTGCCTCTCGATTAGGTCAAAAGTGGACAGCTTTTGGTAATCACGCAACACAGATTTTTACATGATTCAGATGTAGCATGAGAAGTTGCTTTTTTCCAGACCCAGACATTTTTGCATTTGATACGACCCATTTTCTGCCGGTAGGAGTCGGGGAGTCGGTCCAAGGCCTTCCGCAAGTAGAAAGGCGCGATCTTCTGCGACCACTGTTTCACCCAGGTGACGCGCTGGCTCTCCAAGGCCTCCGCCGTGGCGGGGACCTGCAGGGGGTTCGCCGAGGTGGTGTTCTGCTGCGCCGCCAGCACCGTCTCCTCCGCGTTCGGGTGGATACGCCACGTGTTGCCCAGAAGCCGCCCATCCTGCGCAAACGACACGCGGACGAAGCAACAGAAGAAAAGGGCAGATGACATTCGGAGAAATGACCTCATGGACGATGAGATATAAACGTGCTTATGCGACGACGAGGAAGAGGAAACCATTTTCATAATACAGTAGCAATTTTTTTTTCGACAGGAAATACTGAGAGTTGAAAAAATCGCTGTTTGGGGTGAATCTTGAGAAAAAAAACCTGACTAATCTGTGAGTGAAAAGGCAAACAACAGCCTTATTAAAGAACTATCGAGAAAACTCCGATCATTCCATGCTCGTCAAACAATCTTGTGCCCCGTAGGGCGGTACTACTTAAGCGCGACAACTTTTCTTTTGGCCCACGACGATATTGATCTAGTTACAACACAGCTGCATCTTCTGAAGGAATTTTCCCAATTATCCCACTTCGGACGAAAGAAGGACGTTGGCACAAGCGCTTCCACCTTCGAGACGATCTGCTATAATTTCATCTCTGTTTAAACGCAAACGTTGAGTAGTAAACTGTTCTTTCTTGGAATTAAATCATAGTGGTCCCTGTAAACGTCGCAGAAATTATCCTGAGCTACTTTGGATCCACAGACTTTTGCTGTGCCCCGACGAGTCGATGGGAGAGCAGTTCTTCTGTGACGTATTATACCTAGCAGCAAAAATGTAGTTCGTTCTACTGATTGACACGAAAATTTTCTGTACTTCGCCTCAGATTTTCGCTGGGCTGGTGCCCATGGCATTGTAGAACCAGTTGTCGAGGCGGGAGGTCATGGTGAGCAGAAACGCGATGCCCACCCGCTCCACGTCGCTCTCCTCGTGCGGCGGCACCATGTGCACGAGCCAGCTGGGAAAGCAGACCACGTCGCCCTTCTTCGGGAAGTAGAAGTAGGGCTGGTGAAAGGGTGCGCTCGGCTGCCATCCGTGGATAAAGGGCTTCGCCGGCTGGTCCCCCATAGCATCGTACTGGGCCCACACCGATTTGCCCCGCGGGTCCAGAATCGACAGCGGCGTACGCGTATCAACTGCAAAAGTGTCTGGGTCTAGAAAATTGGATTTGGAACTTGTAATGCTAGCTTTACATTCCTGGGAAACGTGTATTGCATAACCGACAAAAGCCGCAGCCCTTTTTGTCATTTCATTTCATTTCATTGAGTCTCTCATGCGGACTGCCTATGAGAAAGCGCTCCGGAAAGTTGTCATACTGGGCTGCATTTGGAAGCCTTTCCATCATGCACATTTTAGCATCACAAGTTTCCAGACCCAGCCATTTTTGCAATGCATAACGCGCCGGGTCGGTCGTCAGGTAAAACACGCAGCTGACGATGCTGTCCGTGTGGGTGTGCGCCTCGTGGTGCCCCCCGGCTTTGCTGTAGACCTGCAGCAACGCGTACGGGATGTAGGCCTGCCGCCTCTCCTGGTCGAACCGGCTTTCCGACTGGTACTGCAGAAAGGCCTGACCCGGGTTGGCGAATTTCCTTTTCTTCTTCAGCGCGACGGAGGAGGAACTCGTTTTCCTCTTCGCATCCACTTTCTTGGAGTTCAAAGTACTACCCCCTCCGTTCGCGGCTTGCCACTCGTCGTCGTGCGCATCCCGATCTATCACAGGAAAAAAGTGTTATAGTTACACACTCGTTGGAGTTTCTGCATCACAAAGTTGCTCGACATGGCTAAGAAAACCTGTGATGCAAAGACTGTAAGGGAAAACAGGAATGAAATGAGGCTGGCAAGCATAATCTGCATGACAGATGTTGTCTGTCCTGCTTGTCTCCCATCTTCAGAGTGTGTAACTGTAACACTTTTTTCTCACGATACGATCTTCATCGTTCTCACTATCGCCGTCCCCCGTTGCGCCCCGGTCTTCGAAGGCGAGCGGCATCAGAGGCTCGTCGTCCTATCAAATGCAAATATGTCTGGGTCTGGAAGAATGCAGGAGTATGTCATGCAGATTTTGCATGACCCATGAGGTCTGTGATGCATGCCCTACCATCAGAGATGCTGTGAGGGCTTTCTAATGCTCATACCGCCTGAGAAATGCCCTCTCCGTGTAGCACAAATTGCACCTCTTTTTCTGTTCATGCAATACAGATTTCATGTAGAGTCCAAAGGTAGCATCGCAAGTTGCATCCTTCCCGACCCAGACATATTTGCAACGCATACGTCCTCGTCGTCTTCAATTTCAATCTGTTCTATCCTGAGTAAAAACGTACCCACACCAGAGTTGTAATGCAGATTTGCAAAGACAGGAAGACTTGTAATGCGCATCCCCATGAGAGCCATGCCCAGTCGTGTTTTGGAATGTGTGATGCTGTGAACAGGATGAGCAGATGAATCTGTGACGCGGCTGCACTTGCTAACCTGCACTACCCTGCAGAGCGCAACTTGTCATGCGTGACTCACAAAACTCCTAGGTTTGTGTTGCAAAATCCCCATCCTAACTCTGGTGTGGGTACGTTTTTACTCAGGATATGTTCGACGTCCTCCTCCTCGCCGTCTGCAGCAGCTTCCCCCGTTTTGTTTCCGAAAAATTCGTTCCGGAAAGAATCCCCGAAACTAGCGTCGTCGCTATGCATTGCAAATATGTCTGGGTCTCCTGGAAACTTGTGATGCAAGTCCGTGAACAATAAGTGCTCTGTAATGCGCCGCCAAGCATGACAAGTTTTTTGTTTTTCGTGATTCTGTGATGCGCCTTTCGCATGAGCAACTGCGCTTTTGCATGACAGGCAAGAGGACCTCTTGGTGGCCACGCGGCAATACAGAGTGCACAGACCACGTGCCAGACTGGCATGACAAATCTCGCAATCTTCCAGACCCAGACATATTTGCACTTGATAGTCGCCGCCGCGAAACAAGGAGGACTGTTTGTTGAAATACCGCTCCAGGTCGATGCCCAGAACGTTGCCCGCAAACCCCAGCGCCACCGACTCAAGGGCGGCGACCACGCTGGTCATTTCGCGCGCACGGTCGCCGCGGTAGAGCGAAATCCACTTTTTGTTGGTCGCGTACTGCCGCGGGTGCGTGCTCTGAACCGAGTAGAACCGCCCCTTCACGTGGTCGTCCATGTCTGCGGCCGTGATTTTTTGCTTGGTTTTGGTCTTCTCTTTGATCAGCTTCTTTTCCTTCTTCGCTACCTTGCGGTACTTGGTCACCGCTAGGTCCCGCAAATTATCGATGACTTCTTCCGATACCTTGGTCCCCATAATGTTCTGTACCGCGACGTTTGTCGCAAAAATTTGCATGATCTGCATCTTCTTCTTCTTGGAAGTTCTTGCACTACTTGTTTGCGCTTTCTCTAGTACAACTTCGCTGCTCGTTGCAGTGCTGCTGGTGGCCTTTACTTCCTTTATTTTTGCAGTCGTTGTAGTTTTAGGTGCTTGTTCTACTTTCCCTGATTTCTTTTTTGCATTTTTCTTACTGCTTGCTGCTGTTTTTGTACCAGTAGCAGTCTTCTCGTCATCAACTGCCTCCCCTGCCTCCTTCCCCGCGACTGTCGACGTCCCTCGCCTCGCTAGTTCGCGGTCGACTAAGGTACGTCCTGAAAACTTTTCCAAGATTCCCGTCGTGACAAAGTCGGAGTTGTGGAAGGCCAGGTGGTCGGGGGGCGAGAGCCGCACCAGTCCGAGCGCCGCCTTCTGTACGCAATAGAAAAACTTCGCAAGTGTAACAAGTCTGTAAAAATGCAAAGCATGCCATTTGCCAGTCGTGCTGGCCAGCCATGAGGTCATCTTTCAACATATGTCGTGCTTTCACATACTAATTAGCTGTGCATGACAGGCTTTCTCTGTCATGCAGGGCAAATACTTCGCCCTGCTGTCACTCCACGACGCTACACGAACAGAGTTTTCATCTCCTTCGATATTTTGCAGTTGGAAGGAGGCACAGGAAAACGCCGGCTTGTCCAGCACGGCTATCAAATGCAAATATGTCTGGGTCTGGAGGGATGCAACTTGTCATGCTACCTCTGCATCTTGCAAAAATCTGCGTTGCATGAGATGCACCAAAAGTTGTCCAGCATTTTTGACCAAGGCCAGAGGCAGTTTCTCATGTAGGAGAGGCATGCTAGAGATCTCACAGAATCTGTCATGCTAGGACCTACATTCGAGACCACATCCATGCGCCATGGAAAACCTGCATGACAAAATTCGCAATCTCCCAGACCCAGACATTTTTGAAATGCATAACGGCTACCGCGTCGCCGTGCTGCTTCCGCCCCATCTCGATCCGGTCCTTGACCTGTTTGGCCACAAATTTCACCCACCAGACCCCGCGGGACAGGCCGACGCCGGTGAGAAACGATTTTCCGTACAGCAGCAAGTTGCACTCCACGCGCCGCGCGTTTTGCTCCAGCAGATACACGGCGAGCTCCCGCTTCGTCACGTTCGCGCCCAGCTCCTCGCGCATCTCGTCGAACACCCGCTGCGCGTCCGAGTAGTACCGCATCTGCTGTGCCAAGGCGGCCGTCACGTCCTTCAAATTGCTAGCAGCGTACCAGCTGATGTGCTTCCCATTCGGAGGCAGGTTGTAAATCGCCCCGGGCTATCAAATGTAAAAGTGTCTGGGTCTGGAAACTTTTGATGCTGGGTGGCGTCTCATGATGAGGCCACAAATGCTGGCTCAGCATGACAAGTTTCTGAGCTTCTAGGTGTTGCCTATTCTGCATGACAAACTGCGTTTTTGCATCACAGAAAAATGGAGCTCTTGGGTAACGTGCATGACAAATTCTCGAGTCATGGCAGACAAGCATGACAAGCCTGGCACTCTTCCAGACCCAGACATTTTTGCAGTTGATACGGGCTTCTGGCTACTTTCCTGCACACTGGGGTGGATGTTTGCCGTCTTCACCCAGGCCGACTGCGCTAAGTGCTCCGTGTCCCAGGGCCGGTCGGCACAGTAGTCCGGCACGAATTCCACCTCTAAGCCCCCTTTATTCTTGATGTCGTCCTCCTCCGCCTGCGCGTTCCCATACATGTCCTCAGCCATGTCCAGCAGGTGGCGTATCAAATGTAAAAGTGTCTGGGTCTGGAACATTCTAAACATGTGATGCTGTCTCTGGATTCTGAGAAAACTTGTATTGCATGACCAGCAAGAGGACTCCAGTTTGTGCTACGCGGAGAGGGTATTTCTCATGCTGTAGAGGTATCACAAAGCGCTCTAAAAATCTGTGATGCTACGGCATGCATCACAGACATCATGAATCATGGGAAATATTATGCATGACAAATCCAGAAATCTCCCAGACCCAGACATTTTTGCATTCCATATGGTGGTCCAAACCCCCAAACTGCATGGAGAACAGCATCTCCTCCTCGGCCGAGCCCACCTGGGGGGCAAACGCGTGGTTCGACACGGTGGTGCCGTCCTTCGTCTTTTCGTTGCAGTTTTGGATAAACTCGCTGCTGAGCCCCTCCTCGAACACCTTCTCGGTGTACAGCTCGAACCCCCGACTCAGCATGGACAGGCCCGCTTCCACGCGCATCACCGGCTGCTCCTGCACTACGTCGGCCGTGAGCAGCATGAGTTCCCCGGCGCGGAGCCACATCTCCGGACTGTGAACGTCCAGGTCGAGCGCGGCCAATACCTGCGACTCCTATTGTAAGGAAAAATCTCCCCTCCCTATATCGAACAGGAGATCATTTGTGATGCTGGATTTGCGTAAGTACACAAATCTCCTTGCATTGCTAGAAGGCCGAGAGACGCAGAGGCGGCCTCGGTCGCAGGCAATTTGTCATGCTGTTTCCCGTTTCCTGTTGCTATCTGTCATGCTGAAGACGCAAGGCTTACCCACGCCAGCCAGCACTAGAGTCTGCATCTCGATCTCTTCCGTTGTAGCATGACAGTGGGATTTGTGATCACAAACCATGCTACACAAATCTCCATTTGAGCATGGGGAGGGGAGATTTTTCATTGTAATAACTCCGCTTGGAGAATCATGATCCCCGGGTCCCGCTTGTCCTCGTTTTGCCGCGCCTTTTCCTCGTCGCCCATCTGGTCACTGTATTTGCCCTGCGGGCCCCAGTAGTGGAACACCTCCGCGAGTAAGTCCAGCGCCCGCCGTAAATACCCCGGGGCGTTCTTCGCGGCCCACTCTTGGATCCAATCGGTTCGCCCCGCGAACGTTTGCAGCTCCGAGGGGCTCATGCGGCCCAACTCCTCTTCGGACATACTGCGCAAGTTCTTCCTCGCGCCGCCCACTTCGCTGTCGTGGATCTGCCACGTGTTGCCGAGCATGCGGGAGGGCGAGAAAGGGTTTATTGCACCAACTGGGGGTACTTCTTCTGCATGTTGTTCAAGACCTTTCGCCGCCACCAGAAGGTCCCAGAGAAGGAAGAACGCGAAATAAACACACGGACTCAACATCTTTTTCCGAGTCACTATATTGATACAGATACTGTTACCGAGACACGACTTTTTCTTCAAATACAAAACTTAGTTTTACTAATCCATCTTTCCGGCCCAGCTGTTGTACGTGGAAGGATCTGTCACATTGCACCTGGACCTGTATTCTCCTTCTGTGTTTACTTCTGTTCGAGAAATCAGCCACCTACCAAACGCTATTTAGGCAGAAACCGATCTTCCCGGCTGCAACGATGAGCGCAACAAGATTTTTGGCAACTGTATGAAAAACGAACATACGTACATATTTATAATTCCTAACATGTATTTCTGTTTTGCTGTTCCTTCACTTTTTTCGAGGGACGAGATGCAAAGGCCAACAGATGTAAGTAGCAATAAACACGATCAAGGCACAATCTTATCTCTTCACATGTTTTTCGTATCCACAACCACAGCTCGTTTTTTTTGCAAAAAATGATGACACAACGCAAAAAATCTTTCAGTTTCAACACATACTCTTTCAACAGAACTTAAACTGATTCTTAATGATACTCCCCTCATGCCACGGCCGCCGCACCGTGAAACCAGTGGTCAATGCGATTGGGCGCCATCAGCAGAAAAGCGATTCCCACCCGGTAGCCCGTTTCCTTCCCGTGTGGCGGCACCTGGTGCACGAGCCACGAGGGAAAGCAGACCACGTCCCCCCTCTTATGGAACTGTCAGGATCGAAATCGACAAAGTTGAAATGATTTGCCATGCATAAAATGGATGCCATTTGTAACCCAGTTTCCAAGTGGCGCATGACAAAATTGGGTTGTAGAGCCGAAATCCAGTTTGTCATGCTGGTTGGGAAGGTAGGACAACTTTTGTCATGCTACTTTAGCAGCTCCACTTCCACCCCTCAACAGGCTTACAATCTGTCTCAATTGCCTACTCTGCAACACAGGCACTTTGTCGGTTGCATTTTATGCATGAAAAATCATTTCGACTCTGTCGATTTCGATCCTGACACTCCCATACTTCTTCGGAAAAACGTAATACGGCTGGTGGAACGGCGCGTTCGGCTGCCAGCCCGCGTTGAATGGCACTGCCGGAGATTTCTTGTTGTTCTCCTTGTAATCGAAGAAAACGCCAGGCTGTCCTGTGGCAAAAAGCTATAGCAACTGCACATCCAAGGACTAGGACGATGAAGTACCGCATGTTTCAATCACAACAACTTGTAGTAGTTGTACCATCCGCGTGCTTGTGAGTGCTTACTGTGTCTATGGATACAACTGCGCCTATGGATACAACTGCGCCTATGGATACAACTGCGCTCTTTCTGTGTTAATGTGCATCTACTTCAACTATCGCATTTATACGCAGACTTTGTATACTTACGTACAAGAACCGTGCTCTGCTAAGCTATTTCCCCGCTGATATCTTTCCGCGCGGGTCCAGAAAAATCAACGGCGTCTCCATTCCGTCGCTTCTCAAGTAAACCGCACAGCTGACAATGCCGGAATGGTGCGTGTGCACCGGGTGCTGCCCATCTTTATCCGCGACCAGGGTCCAGTGAAAAGAAATGTAGGGCTGCCGCCGTCTCGGGTCGAAAAGCGTCCGTTCTTGGAACTCCATAAACTCCTGGACTAAATCGGACCTGCCGCGTACTTATCAACTGCAAATATGTCTGGGTCTGGAAATTCGTGATGCTGAAATGTGCATTAGTGAAATACTTCCCAATGAAGCCAAGCATGACAAGTTTTCCGGACACTTTCTCATGCGCAGTCCGCATGAGAATAAACTGCCCTTTTGTATAACAAAGGAGGTGTCGTTTTGTTAGTCATGCAATACAGATTTTACAGCAACGTAGGACTAGCATCACAAGTTCAATGTTTCCAGACCCAGACATTTTTGCAATCCATAGTGCTTCATTTTCTGTTCTTTCGGGTTGAAACAGAGACAACTGGTTCAAAGACGTCACGGTGGACCGGCTGCGGTTTGTATTCTATCTTGTGCAAAAGTATCGTACTCGTACTAATTGCTTTTATGCATTACAAATCTTTTTCCTAAGGCAGAACCGCATTACAAACTTAATTTGTAATGTTAAGGAAATTTGTAATGCAATTTTTTTTTTTCCTAGGCTCCTAGCGTGTCGGTTTTGCGCTGTTCTTGCTTTTCTTTCTTTTGATTTTCTTTTCATTTTTTTTTGATTTTTTGATTTATTTTGTCATCTTGTGCTGATTATTTTCTTGTCCTGTGTTGTTCTTTTTCTCTTTATCATTTTCTTTTCATTTTTTTTTAATTTCTTTTGCGCTTTGTTTGATTTTTCTTTTTCTTTCTTTTGTTATCGACACGCTGAGAGCGGGGGGCGTTTCACGAAGAAGAGCGCGGGTATACTCGGCGTTCCCGTGGCCATTGGCCCTACCTTTTTGATATTCTCCGCGGCGAATCCTCGCGGGGTGGCACCGTCGCGTCCTTGGCAATCGATCTCTGTGCAAGCCCCTTCTGCTTCCCTCCTCCAGGCTTAGGCCTCCCCTGAGCAGTAACAGAACCTCTTTCTCCTCCAGACGTAGACGCGGCAATGTACACCATGACCATACGAAGCAGGCCTCGTAGAGGCAACGCGCAACATGACATCACGAGCTGAACAATCCTCATTTTCATTTTTTGTTTCTATAATTCCTAACGCAGCTATGACGGTGTGCTTCTTAGTAAGGCAAGCACATATCAATCTAAAAGCCGAGGCAATGCATTTGTGAAATAGCGCCTAAAGCTTACACTTACTACACTTCCTACACACGCACACACATACGCTTTTATCTTCTTCGCTTACTCTGTTACTTTTATCATGCTCTACTCCATGTCAATATCTGATAAATTAATTACTCTACTTTTCTGCTCTCCGCACCTGAAGCGGGCGGTCCCTGTTTTTCCTGTTGCTTTTTGTGTTGAGACGCTCACCAAGTGGTCTACGAACATTTCCAATACTACATCTGACGACTGCGGTCATCGTTTCACCCGCTACGACTTCAAACGACTTCCTTTCATTCCGACGAGCAACGAGGCTGAAGCGAGAACGATAGACGAAAAAATTTGAAGTACCAGGTCCCTGTCTTACTTTACTTCAACTTTCTTTCTTCTTCCAGGGGACTAGGCGACAAAGCCACGCACTATGTACAAGGTTATTCTAGGGCGCTGTTTGGTACAAGTATAGATTCTAATTTTTCAGCAGCGAGCGGCAAAGTCACCAAGATCTGGCAGTGGGGTTCCCTCTTTGAAGTCATCGCGGGATGCGCGGCAGGGACCTGTTTGATTAATTTTTTGTGATTATGAATATACTTTTTGCTTCATCTTCATGTTATGAATAACTGCCTTGCTACTTCATAAATAAGTGTAAGTCGACATATTTTTAGAAAAAGTGACAAATCAGCATTACAAATTGATGATAAGTATAAAAACGAGATCAACTCTCGCGCGTGACCTTCTTCATAGGGCGCGCTCTTTCGACCTGCCCTGTGCACTGTGTTGCCCGAATACAAGGGCTCGCCGGAACAGTAAGACAGAAAATAGCCTCAGGGCTAAACTCGTGCCTCCGCCCCAGCCCGGCGGCTAAGTAAAGAAAGAGACAGGGATCTACTTAGAGGGACAGCTCTTCTCCCGGCTCCAGCAGTCCGTGAGCTGCGCTGTAGCTAATATCTAATGCCTCGTGGCGCTCAGGCTCACAGAAGCCGACAGTGCACAATAAAAACAAAAAGCAGGCCTGTAGTACTCGCTACAATAATACCATCCTACCCTCAGCCCGATGCTGTGGTGAAGAGAGGCCGGAGGCGACTCCTACTAAGCCCGACCAGTATGGCATCCCGCGCAGCGATGCCAGACCATGCCCAGTCGACGAGTAAGAGGGCGCAGTCAGTATGGCGCCAGAGGACGAAGCAAAACAGCGAAGACCAACAGGACGCAACCCTCTCAACACCTAGGCCTGCTCCCCCGGCCGAGGTATCACGATCTCGCAGTACATTCTTTTAGGCAGAAATCCTCTACCCGCAGCGCCAACAACTACGCTCTTTACTGCTACCCCCGCATTACAGTCTTTAAGAATTCCGCTGCAATATGTCTACACAAACACATCCAAACTTGAGACATTCTCCTATGTTGAGCCGCAAAATTACTATACCTGGTATCTTCATTCATCTTGACCTATTCCGTCTTCGTTCTCAGCCCCACTCGTGGTTGTTGATTTCGTTTTTCTTTTTGTTGCAAGCATTTCTCGAGTTGTTTGTTTTTTCACTTGTGATGAATGCGCTCCTGTAGTTTAGATTTTTTGAAGTTTTTCATTTTTTTCAATTCATACTATCTGCCACTGCTTATCATCTTCTCCTGGTGAGATATTTCGCTGGAATCTTATCTGTAAAAACAAAACTGCCTGCCATTGCATCCATTTTCTCATATGAGTTTGGTAGTTTCTCATGTTGCTTTGCTGCCTTTTCAATTGTAGATCCTATTTTTTCAATGCAGTTCCCCACCCTTTCTCGAAAGAAGTCATGGGTTAGCTTTGCTTCTTCATCTACGACAAACCCCAACACCCTCCTCGGGTTTCTCAAAAGCTCCCGGCCTATAGTAGGCGGGCAGCTCTCAAAACCAAAGTGGCGCACGCGCGGCTTTTTTACCTCCGGACACTCAAAGAGAATATGATCAACACCACACTGGTGGGCCTTCAGGCATTTGCTGCGTTTTTGTTGCATTTTTCCATCGACAAAAAGAATCTCGCCACAGCCAAGATGAGGCTGAGGCGCGATCCCCAACCAAATCCAAAAGTAGAGCAGTTCCGACCCCCGGTTGGGAAAGACCCCTACGGGCGGTCTGAACCCCCCCAGAGACTTCGCGCGCTCGCGCAAGTACTCCGAGGCAGAGGAGCTCTTTTCGAGATTTTCAGCCAATATTCTTTTCAAAAGTAGGCGCCGCAGAATAGGCGCCGTAATCATCTTTTTATAGATCGGCCGCTCTGCTTCATCGCTGTAGTCCTGCACCCCATCACCCCACATCTCCTTGTAGATGTTCGTGAGGTGATCCGCGCAGTCGTTGGCTATTTGGCCGCAGTGCCCCGGTGTCCACCTGAAGTGAAACCATACCTCTTCCTCTTCGTTCGGTTTCTCCCCTATGCAGGCGGCTTGTATTTGCTCCATGTGCTTCATTATGCAGTGGATCATCTCGTTGCTGCTATCGTTAAAGCACTCCAGTGCCTGCACTATGCTGTTGCTGTCCAGGAAAAAGTAAAAACGCCGAAGCATGTGCTTGATGTGTGGGCTAGTCCTAATCTTCTGCTCTATTTCTTTTAGTTGCTGTATCAGACCAATGCACTCCGCATCAAAGGAATCTGTTTGCACATCTTCTAATGGTGCGCAGATATATGCCCCAGATATCCAAACTGGGTCCGGAAAGCTGCCTTCTCCTGGCTGCTTCCGTTTGTAGTTCACCCGTGCCTCCGTCCCCAACGGGCTCCCACCACCAACTCGCCCCCGCCCCCACGCCCAGATTGCGATCCTTATCCACTAGTCCATCCGTAGCTGATACCAGATTCCCCTGCGACTTCCTTAGAAGCCCCCGCACCAGTGCATTATGTGCTTTCGCGACTACTCTTCTCGCTTTCCCTAACTCCTCGCCCTTCAGCCCGGAAAGTTGTCCCAAGCCCATGTCCTCCCCTATCCTGTCCATCGGCCTGGCATCTAGGTTCACCCCCCTCCAGAAGATCTTTCCTATGTAGAGCCGGTTTGTGCTAAAATGACTATGAACATCTGCAAAATTCTTCTTCGACATATGCCTAGTCGTATCTGTCCACGCGACATGCTTCCCATCCATGCCTAGCAAGAACTTTACTGGGTCGCTGTCATCTTCTTTTTCAAAAACTTTCTTTACATCCTCGCAGGGCGCTTTTTCTAGTGGCCAGAGATCCAGCTGCGCACCTTTGTAGTAGAGCATCAAGTTCTCTACTACAAAGAGCGAGTGGATATCTGGTATGCCTGCACAATGATGCAAAATCGTACTTGGTGTCTGCTTCGGCAGCATTGCATGGCCCTTCAAATATTTCGAGGTGTCTTTTTTTCGTTGCAACTTGTTCTGCTTCTTGAAATACTGAAAAAAAGGCACGCTGTTCGACAATATCGCGCTATATATTAGTGAGACATAGACATCTATTCGCGCTGTCAGGCGTAAGTTTTTGAGGCGGGCTACGCTTGAGTTTTCTTGTGTCATCTTTTTCCTCATTATTTCATAGTGCGAGGAAAAGTGCCAAGTCCCATCATAGAAAAAGCCAAGGGATCTGCTTGCGTCATTGACTTCTACCTTTTTGTCCACCCCTACATCATAAAAAACCGCTTCGGACTTAGTTTCCTCGAAAAAGATAAGTTTCTCCCTCCCCGTACGCACCAGGTCCTTTTTTAGCTTTGTCACTTCTTCCATGTCCCCTATCCCACACTGGCTATTATCATCGGAGTACTGTGCTTGACTTCCGTCTTCATTTAGCACTGCCGTCTTCTTTACCAGCGGGGTATTGTGGATATTGAAGCAGCCCCCCGAGAAGGGGCTGCCTTGTGGCATACCCGGGGACAGATGCCAGTATCTGTCCCCGGTCTTGATTCTGACGGTTCTAAAACTAAGCCACTGCACAGTGGCAGCAGCTAGATCTTCCGGGACCCCTAACTCATGCATAGTCTCCAGCAGTTTTTGATGTGAGACAACATCAAAACCTGCCTCATTGTCGTTCAAAAGTAAGAACTTCCTCATGCCTTTTGTATTCATTCCTTCCGGTGAAAATAAATACTCAAGTATCGAAATTGCGCCAAATTCTTTGCAGAAGTTCTTTCTGTATGCAAGCGAGAAGAGGGGTAGTTGTGGTTTTGCATTTTCAATCCGTTTAGCCCCATTCCACTGATATCCCTCCAGCCAAAGGCAGAGCCTTCGGTCCTGTATCACCTCCCACACCTTCGCATAAACTGATAACAGGGAAACTGGCCGGAACAGGCTCTCCGTGTAGGGTTGCCCTTCGGTTTTCCCGACCGGGGCAAGGATAATCTCCCTCCCTATTTTAGGGAATTCGTTGTATTTGATTAAAACATAATAACACCTGTAGAGACACTCCCACCCTGTTCCCGTCAATGCTTTCACCAACTCGTGCGTGACCCCGTCCCTCCCTGGGCTCTTGTTGCATTCCAGTTTTCGTATAGCCGCCGCAAACTCCGTTCGCGTCAGCTCCCAAAAGTCGCCCGCCTCTGCTTTAGCGTGCGAGCGGTCCCTAGCGTCCTTGCAGGCCTTTTCCTTCCACTCGCTTTCGTCCGGTACAAGAAAACCATTCTTCGTGTACACCTGGTCCGGTCTACCCTTGTACTGGGCCGCGAAGTAGTTTACTACATCTCCATGCGTAGCTGTAGCTTCCCCGGGTATCGGCTCGGCCGTGAGCTTCTTCTTTTTGATTGCCTTCAGCGCTGCTTCATTCTTACGCTTTTCAATCACTTCTACTGTGAGCGGCGGGCACAACTTGCAATTTATACTAGTACGATGCTTTTGCAATGCATATATTCGACGTGTCGGCCATGATGTTCGTCGTCCCGCTACTGCTCGACTCCGCCTCGGGAACCAGCCCAAATTTTTCCGCCCGAAACAGGCTTGCCTTTTTGTTCAGCACCGTTTCGTATCAACTGCAAATATGTCTGGGTCTGGAAGAATGCTAGTTCGTCATGCTTGTCTGGCATGACTTGAGAATCTGTGTTGCATAGGCACGAAAAGTCCCCCTTACCTGATATACAAAAACGCAGCTTGCCATGCGGAATACGTAACATTCGGCAGCCAAAAAATTTGTCTTGCATAGCTGCGTTTTGCAGTGCGTCTATCATTCGCTTTTAGCACTACAAGTTTCCAGACCCAGACATATTTGCAATTCATATTTCGACGTCCATGCCCAAGACCTGGTCCGCAACCTGAATCGCGACGGCCTCGACGTAGGCTATGGAAGCGTCAGGTTTGAAATCGACAAAGTTGAAATGATTTGTAATGCACAAAATGCGACACAGAGACTGACTCTATTGCAGAGGACGCAAGGGAGGCTGATTCTAGTACTGGTAAGGGTGAGGAATTGGGTTGCTGACTAGCATGACAGGGAGGAGCCATCTTGCTCTAAACAGCATGACAGACTTCCTTCAGAGGCCAGGAAAATTTGTCATGCGCCGATTGGAAACTGTGCTGGGTCCAACTGGTATAGATTTTACGCATTGCAAACTATTTCAACTTTGACGATTTCAAACCTGACACATCCATATAGGCGAGCAGCTGGGTAAAGACGCGGCTGCGGGGGCCCTGGTACATGGACTTCCACTTCTTTCCCTCCGCCTTGCCGGAAAAAAACCGCGGATTGTTTTGCTGCGCCTGCCAGAACTTCTGTGTCACCAAAAGTGTCGACGGGGCTGCAGCGGGTGGAGTAGATTTGATATCTTGTTCAACATCACTGTCTTTATTTGTCTTCTTCTTCTTTTTGGAGGAATCACCTTTCGCAGCTTTAGCGTCCTCTTTCGCCTGTTGCTTCTTCTGGACCTGCTTTCTCGCTTTCTTGTACTTCGCTACAGCAGTGTCCGCGAGGTCATCAATCGTTTCTTCCGAGAAAAAACCCTGGGCGAGCAAATTTTGCACCGCTATTTTCGTCGGAAACACCTGCGAAATCCGAAGCTTTTTCTTCTGGTGCACCGGTTTTTTGCTACTTGCCTTGTCAGCGGAAGATGGGAGTGGAGCTGTTGAAGATGGGCTATGAACCGCTGCATGAGGACCTGCGCTGGCGGCAATGTCGCCATTTTCTTCTTTTTTCAGGACCTTCGCATTTATTTTCGCTTCAGAAGAGGAAGACTCCTTTACCTCCTGCTCGTTGATCATGTTCTTGGAACTTTTAGGTTTCACATTTTCATCCTTCTTTTCGTCGTTCATCACATGCGCTTTTTCATCACTTCTTGCAGCGTTATCGGACAGGAAGAGAAAATCCGACAGCTCGACATCTACGTTCTTATTCTTCGCTTTTCGGAGTCGCGGCAGCGCAAGCAAATCCCGCTGCCGCGTCAATTCTTCACATTTTAATATTTTCATGTTGCTACGAACTCCATCGTTAGCTGGTCTTTCAGCAACTGAGGGTTCCTTCTTCTCCTTCGTTTTCTCTTCCTCAAACCGTTTCGCCACCTGCGTGAATGCCCACTTGAGCCACCACACCGCGCGGCCGGGTCCGAGTGCGGTCATGAACGAGTGCGCCAGCACGTGCAGATTGCACTCCACGCGGGCCACGTTCTGCGTCAGCACGTGCATCGCGATTTCTTGGTTTGTCGCGTTGGCCTCCAGATTTTGGTCGTCGTTCCGCGCGTTCGCGAGCACCTTTTCCATGGAGGAGTAAAACCGGCCCTGCTGGGACAGGGGCCAGGTCAGGCTCTGCAGACTGTTGATGCCGTACCACTTTTTCAGCGGGTGCTTGTAGATCTCGCCCGGCCTCAAGTCCGCCAGTCTCCCCTGGAAGATCACCCCCTGCCGTCGCGGCTGCTCCGTCCACGCGCTCTTGTCGGGGGCCTCCGTCTCGAAGGCCGGCAGGCTCTGGCAGTAGGGCGGCTGCTTGCCCACAACGATGTCCGGGTAGCTTTTCTGCAGGTGCGGTCCGTACACGTCGACGGGCAGGTCGAAAGCCATGTTATCAAATGTAAAAGTGTCTGGGTCTGGAAGATTGGCATTTGTGATGCTAACTTTGGACTCTAGAAAAATCTGTATTGCATGACCAGCAAGAGGAGTCTAGTTTGTGCTACGCGGGGAGGGCGTTTGTCATGCGGAGTAGGCATCAGGAAGCCCGCTCAAAATCTGTGATGCGCGGTCGTGCATTACAGACATCCTGGATCATGCAAAACATGCATGACAAATCTCAGAATCTTCCAGACCCAGACATTTTTACAATTCATACATGTCGTGCAAGGCGTAAATCTTCTCCTCGTCCTCCGTGCCGTACAGAGCGACGGAAGGGTTTTTTCTGGTGGATTGTGACATCAAAACAGCCAGAGAAGCTTCGGTGTTGTTGTTCACAGCGTCTTCCTGTTGCGTCGGATGCGACAAAGAAGAGGATGAAATTCCGCTTTTCCCGACGTGCATCTCCCGGTCGCAGTTCTTCAGAAAATCTTCATCTACTTCCGCGTCGAAGCTACCAGTTTTGATATTTTCGGTCGAATATTACAATGAAAAATGCCCCCACCCCCGAACTTGGGAGCGTTTGCATTGCAAACCTTTCCAAGTGAAACACTCGCCCTCTTGCATCTATCAGCGTCACAGGTTTCCAATCGTGAATAGCAGAAATTTGTACTGCAAAAGACCCCAGCGATGGCGGCGCTTGTCATGCAAGCCATGCGATACACGCCTAGACTCTGCATCAGAAAGATGCATACTCCTTTCATGCATGACAAAAAGTTTGCATTTGGATTAGGAAACTTCGCATCACAAATTTTTGCAACTTTGGGCGTGGGGGGCACTTTTCACTGTAATATCGAAAGTAGAATCCTTTCCGTGTACAGCTCGAAGCCTTTCCGCAGCATCGCAATGCCCAGTTCGACGCGGATCAGGGGGTCGTAGTACACGATCTCAGCCGACGTCAAAAACAGCTCCCCCACGCGGAACCACACTTCGGCACTGTTCACGTCCAGATCTAACGCGGCCAAGGCCTGGTTTTGCCACTCCATCAGCAGCGCGGGCGGGTCGTGCTTCTCCACCTCCTTGTTCACGCGCCGGACCCCCTTCTCCTTGATACCCAGCTCCGTGCCCTGGGGGCCCCACAGCACCAGCGCTTCCGCCAGCTGGTCCAGCGCGCGCCGCAGGTAGCCCGGGGCGGTCTTCGTGCTCCATTGCCGGATCCACTCTAGCCGGAGTTGCAGCAGCTCTTGTTCTGCGGATAGCGGGTGGGAATCCCTGCTTTCGTCTGGCTCTGGCTTTTTCAAAGTGGTCCCACTGATGCTGGTATCGTCTTCTTTGGCGAGATCATAATTCTCGAGAAGCTTGTTTCGGGTAAGTTGTAGTTCTTGCTCTTCTTGATCCGTGTTGTCGTGGACCTGCCACGTACTTCCCAGCATGCGGAACGGCTGCACCGGGGGAGCGGCAAGAACGCCGGCCTGCACATTGACGAGAGGCAGGACATTGACGAGTGGAGCTACGAAAAAAAACGAAGGGCATCTCATCCTTGGCTTTCAATCAAAACAGAGGCCGCGAAAAGAGCAATTGGAAAAGATCTGATCACTCGTGACTGGTACTAGTGCAGCACGGTGAAAAACATGTAGCTCATGTGGCCGGTAAGCAGCTTAAGCAGAACATTTTAGTTCGCGGCACAAAGGGTCGCGTATACCGCATGGTGATCTGCAGATGCGCATAGTTCATGCCCAATAAGCTTTTACTTTCTTTCGTTCGCTGCAAAAAGCGATGCAATGCTCTAGGTCTTCTTACCACGAACACACAAAGCATTCCCGAAAGAGCAAGCCGATCAGAATCCCGTCAGTGCCAACATCTTCTCTATGTTGGAAGGGATGCAAGTAAAAGGCCGCCATGATGCGCTCGGCCGAGATGCATTCGTGTGGTTGCGCTTTGGGAGTAGCTGATCCGTCGGTTGGAAAGGAAATGGAAAATAATGATGAGATGTCATACACTACTCATTCCATGACATGATAGAAATGGCATGCTCAGCAAAACCGGGCTTCCGATGATTCCACTGGTCAGACAAACAGGGTTCTTCGGTTATTCTTCGCGTCTCCGCAGGCGACGACTTACTTTCAACAACACTTCTTGGGGCGTCCAAGTCCATATCTTTCCATTATGTGTATCTTCCACGACCTCCCCAATGACCTCCTTGAATGCCTTTTTCATTTTATCGCTGACACTGTCCAACTGCTCTTCCTCTTTCTTCGGCTCCTTTGACGTACCAGCGTCAACTGCTTCGCCGCCAGATGGTGGGGTAGTAGCTTTCTCACACGCACTTTCTGCAGTCACAACCGCTTCTTGTTGCAACAACGCAACGAGGCTGTCAGCAAACAGGAACCCTGCGGCAGGACTACCCAGCATCCCCCACAGCGGCCCAGTGCTTTCCAGAATGTCCCGCAAGCTGTTCCACACGATGTCGAGCTGTGGAGTGCGTAACTGAAGCCAGCCAACATCGAAGTCCGGCTGGCGGAAGACGTCGGAGATGAACAGCTCGGCTGTAGAAGGAGGCAAATCCGTGACATAAGTGTCCTCGCCGCTGTAGCCCTTTGCGCCGAACGAACCCCACAAAAAGCCCTGCAACAGCGGCTGCCTCCAAAGATCCATGAAAAGCGGAAAGAACGCGAAAGCAAAAGCGATGTACTTTTGGCAGCGCAACTTTTCTGGCTTCGACCCGTCACCGTTGATGCGCCAGGGTGTTTTCTCGTGGTCCTTGAAAGTCTCGAGGAAGGTGGTTGCAACATCGCGATCGCTAGGAAAGAGCATCTTTTTCCTTGTATCCCACCGGTCGAAAGCCCTGGGTGGTCCGACCTCGTCACGAAGAAAAAGGTACGACTCAATGGCGCCCTGAATGGCCGCCCTCATGAGGCCCCCAAGCGGGGCGAATCTGCCCTTTATCAGAGGCAGCGGCATGCCCAGAACGCCGTTGACCAATATGGGGATGCGCTCGCCACCCGCCAGAAACAGTGACGATGCTCCCGCCGCCTTCGTTACAAGGTCAGTAGATGTCCCCGGCGAGCCTGTGAAAGTGGTCACCGCCTTGTTCGCAAAATCGTGCTCGAACTTATACCCTGCGGCGTCGCAGAAGTTGCCGCCTAATAAAGGGTGCAAGAGTGTGGTGATTCGAACCAAATTCCCAAATATTTCGTCGTGGCAGCAGCTCAGTAGGCACTCGTCGAACGAAAGTTGTGGAAATGTTGAACCTGCTTCTTCTACGTCAGCTGGGGGTTGGAGCCGCTTGATACATGCGAAGTCACACGTGTGCAACGACCACCCACAAGCGTCATAAGGTGTCAACGCGGCTACTTCCCAATTTGGGACTTTTAAAGCAATTGTACTCACTAACCCGAATGCAGCTTCGAAGGCCACTAGCACGCTGAAGGGATGTTCTGCTGGTAGTTGTGGACAGTCGTCTTTCTTCTCCGACAGCAGTTCTGCTTTTGCGTAAGAAATACCCACCTGCTGCGCAAAGCCACCGAATTTCTCGGTAGACGGGAGACCTAGCCTGTACATGCAGTCCGTGCCCTCCTGTGAAATCTTGTCCAGCAACAAAACTCCGGCCTGCATCCAGCCTCGTCGGAATTTGAATTGCGGACCCGGGTGCCACTCCGTAGGAATTAAGCTGGCTTCACCATCCTTCTTGGCCCTAGCGCAAGGGCCAAGCAAGTCATCAATGAGATTAGAAATGCTGGTAGTAATGGTTGCGGTTGAGCCCTCCATCGGGTCGTTTTTGGGGAAGCGCACACAAACGCGGACTGGCTGCGCCACAGAGGGATGAAGTCGGCACATGTTGCGTATTTGCACAAATTCCCGCGCCTCCTCGGAACCTGTCGGGTCGCAAGTAGATGTCGCGGCCGTGGCATCCGGCTCCTTCAACAAGCATTTCATCATGTTGCGCGACTCAATGAACTCGCAGTTCTCCAATTCGCAGAGCCGTCGAGCGCCACCTTCGTTGCTTGGCGTGGCTATCAAGTTGCCCTTCTGCACCGCATTCCAACTCCGGGGATCTCCCGCGATCCACAGTGGCCCGCCATCGATTAACGACCACGTGCTCTCCGAAAGCCATCGTCCGATCAAGTCCCTCGAATACCGCACGAAAAGGTTCGCGTTGCTGCGAAGATGTGACGCAGAAGCAAGAATGGTGCTCTTACTGTTCGGATTCTGGCTCGAGGAAGCGGAACTTGCTGGCTCAGACCACAAAAAATTGAAGTGCGTAATTAAATCCCCAAGACGTTCTGAAACTGTGCTTTTGTCGCCGCTTCCACGACCAGTACCAGCAGCTATACCGCGGATGAAAAGATTTATCACGCTCCGCTGCGCCGTCAAAATTTCGTCCAATACGCCAGCGTCTGCCTGAACTTGGCCCCGAACTTTTGCCTGTGCGTTTTCATCGGCTTCGCCTTTCTTTTCCTCCAGCAATGCTTGCAGGAACGGGAACAAGTAGGTCACGCCGCGAAGTGGGCTCTTCCTCTGCGCCTCGTTCTCCGGTCGAATGGGCTGGAAATCATAGTACAGCTTTGGAACGTTGAGCGGGTTTCGAAAAGTGCGCGTCCCAACGAAGTTCAAGCCCATTTGCCACTGCCACTGCAAATCCAAATCAGGTACGCTACTAGAACCCAGAATCGTTCCCGGCGGGGGCGACTCCATCCGCAAAACGCCAAGTGCTCCATTGTTGAGAAAATTGATGCCCGCATCACGATTTCCCGAGGCCATCACGATACAAGACGCGAGACGCCGCACGCCGTCGTTCTTCCAAATCCGCTCTTTCAGCTTCTCCTCCTCCCTCGGTTTGCCCGTCGCTGCCATCAATTCCCTAGACTTGCGCAAGACACTCTTCTCGAGACACATGGAGAAAATCGCGTCGTCTGTAAACCCAGGAGTGGACGAGTCCGATCCAGCCACCACACCTGGCCCCATCGCTCTCAGGTCCTTGAGTAGACCCTGGGGGTCTTCCTGGAGATTCGCCCAAGGACACACAGCAGGACCCCCCGAACCCGAAGACAAAGCTGTAAATTTTTTCCACTGACCCAACTTTTCCTCGAGCCATTGCGGGCAGAACAATGCGTCGTAGAGTTCCGGTGTGCATTTGATGCATTTGCTGTCCACTGCCCGGGTGTCAGCGACAAGAATTGCTGAAAGTCGGTAGGTTTTCTGCTCCTTGTAATCAGCTGGCGCAAATGACCACTCCACGCATTTGTTCTTGTCTTGGTCATGGAAGCACCGGCACACGTCGGAGAATTTAAATGAGGACGGCAGCGTCGGTGATTGTACCTGGCTGGTGCCCGTCGCCGTCGGGGTCGTCTTCGTCACCCCTGAAGCATCATCTTCGGACGCCTGTTGTTCCGAAAATTCGAAATCGATGCTCATGCCCGGTTTGATGTGGTATGCTTGAAGTTGGGGTAGTTCGGAGGACTCTGGATCAACTGGAGTATTGCTGATCCTCAACAACAGTAGTTTCAGATCGACGATATGGTTATCGGTAAGCGTTATAGCGGTCTGGCGTTCTTTCTCATTTGGCGGGCATGCGAGTTTTGCAGCATTATGATCTTGCTTTTGTTCAGGAAAAAGCTGGCGAAGGACAATCTGAGCTGCTGCAATCTGTGGATATTCACCACCCGCCTCACCGGATTTCAGATCTGCGTCTACGAGAGGAAGATACATGTTCTTTGGCGCTATCAAAGCTTTGTTCCATGGTGCAATCCACTTTCTCATTGCTCGCTTGTTATTATTTATGAATCCTTCAACGTTGCGCTCGTTCATCAGCTCCTCGAGTTCCAGCGGATAGACAATTACGGGTCCAGGAGTTTTATCGTCTTTGCAAACAGACTCGCTGCCTGCAGCGACGCAAAAATCCAGCGTTTTCGTGGTGAAGTCAATTTTCTCCGAGCGAAGATCTAGCGAGAACCCGCTGAAAAACGATTCTGACGGAGAACTCGCTCCCGCGAACCAGCTGCGCACGGGAGCAATTGCCGCAGCCAACGACAAAGCGCCGGACCCGCTCTGTGCTTGCGTCTGCTCCAGTTGCCGCTGCCTTTCGCGTGCAGCTTTCACTTGCTCGACGAATGCAGCAGACAACTTTTCGGACCAACTTGTTCCACTCCTAACCCCAGCTTCTAGTAACGTCGAACCTCGCGGCGGTACATCCCCGGAGAGGTGCACTTCCTCCGTCTCGGTCGCATCGACGGATTGCGCTGTTTGTGCAGGGTTAAGGGGAGCCATGGAGGAGAGTTCCTTGCTTGCAGTTTTCCCAGAACCAGTGGTCCTGCTTCCAGTGATGGTGTACAACGGCACTTCCAAGATGTACGCCCCCAAGTCAACAAAACTACTGTAGAGGCAGCCTATTCCTCTTGTAAACGCAGACGAAATGGCCCGCCCTGCTCCCACGACGAAGTCGATCGGGCCCCATTCGTGTGGAAAGGTTGATGCGGAGGCAGGATGTGATTTCGGCGTGTGTTCAGAATTACCCGCCGGAGAAATGTTTTTTGCTCCGGCTGTGGTCGACGACGAATGCTGGCTGTAAGTCGGCTCAACTCCTGTGCGCGACTTTTCGGTTGTTGACAGCGCTGCTGTTGGTGAGGACTTCTCCGGATCCTTGTACTCTGCAGGAGCTCTGAGATCCTCATGGCTCCTGCCTGCCTGCCTGCCTGCCTGTACCCTTTACTACTGCGCTTTCGACGTGGCCCGCTCGTTCTGGCGGCGCAGCATCGTCCCGGACCGAAACTGCCGGCTCCGACTTTTTCCCCGCGTATGTCATGCGTGCCCCGGTGGCGCCGTTGTCGGTCGCGGCGTTTTTGTCCAACGAATCCTCTTCCATCGCGTCGCTCGTCTCAATCGTTACAACGACCGTCGGCTTCCTGTTGGCATTGCCGCCGGAAGTCGAGCCCAGCACGTTGAAGCCCGCGCGACCGCCGCCAGAAGTCAAGGATCTTCGCGTTTTGGTAGATGCAGAAGTACTTCTTTTCACTGGAGAGGAGGAAGACAATGCAGCGCTGGAATCTTCGAGGTTGTTTTCTCTTCCATCATCCCCACTGAAACTCGCAGCTCCTGTGTACTCGTCCACCTTCCTTTTGTGCTTGATCATATCCTCCACCGAAAGGTAGTTCGCGTGGTCGAGGCCCTTCTCGTCAAGCTGCCCGGCCGCAACACCTAGCGTCCCATCTGGTAAAAATGAAAAATCGACTCTGGCAGTCGTTGGTTGGTCCAGGTCCGTGAAGTGCCCCTGTTGCACGCCACCTGATTCTTGCCCAGCACCAAAGGAGCCGCCTGCGGCCGGGTCGCCATGGTCAAAAGACACTCGTTGGCCTTTTCCGTTGAAATACGCCGTGAAAGAAGGCGGGACATCTTCAGGAAGAGCGGGTCTTCCAGTTGATTTTGCATCTTGTTGAACGGCACCCTTCTTCACCTGAACATCAGTGGAAGAAGTGGTGGATGGAGCTCCGGCACTGTGTACTGGAGACGGCGGCGCAGCACCAGCTGGATCGGAAGATTTTTCGTTCTTCACCGCTGCGGTCGTACTGGACGCGGCCGCGATCGACGTGTCGTGGCTACTCTGGTCGTCCACCTTTCGTACGACTGGAGCAGCGACGTGTGCCTTTGAATCCTCGCGCGGAACTCCGTGACCGGGGTGCAGCTTCTCGCCTTCCAAATTCTTATTAGCATGGCTCTCGTCAGAACTCGAGGCAGTGACGACGTGCGGTCGAGCGTCGACTTGAAAATCCAAAGTCGAAGATGGCGCAGTTGCTGAACCAGATGATGGAGTGGTTGTAACGGCAGCAAGCCTTTTCCCTTGTTTATCAGGCGCCGAGGAGGTGTCACTACTGGTAGAAGTCTCTCCTGAGGCCGCTGCGAAGTTGTGGTCCCATGTAGAAGTTGTGGTCCCGCCACTTAATGTTTTCGAGGAACCTGCGGCGTCGAAATCTCCATGTCGTGGCGGATCTAGTGCGAGTCCGCCGATTGTAAGGACGAAAAACAAAATCAGCAACACCCGCATCGGTGAAAAGAGCCGTGTGCTGCGCAAGCAATGCTTGTTCCCGAGCGATTTCATCTCGCAACTCGTAGTTTTGCTCGTCCTTCTGCTCACTTGCCTGCGCAGAAAGAACGAAGGAGACGGAAAGAGCAAGAGGAAAAAGGTTACAACTTCTAAGCAAAAGCGACTAAAAATTTTATCAGGGCGGGCAACCTCGGTGAATTGCCATTAACATATACGAGCATCCATTGGGTGTACAGGTAGAAGAAGTGTCATCTCGATCAATACTTTTCGTCTTGTTTTATGTCGATATTAACAAACAAGTCGTCAATACCTAGCTACTTAGCCGGTGAGTAAGAGTCATGTTTAAGCCAAAAAGAAACAGCTGAAACCGTAAACGTAACCGCGCAACGTTGCAAAAAATAAAAAACAATAATCTCGATCTTCTTGCGAACATGCAATGCCCGCGAACAGCAGGTTCCGACTACTTAAGATCCCTTGAGCGCCCTCGGTCTGGCAAACAAACAAGTGAAATTTCGCGAGCCCGGCGGCATGCGCTTTCAGAAAAACAGTGCTATGGTGCGGTCCACAAAAGTGCATTGACAAGAGTCGTGGCCCCATCGAGGTTGTACAGATGTACAAGAGTTGGATCTCCACACCACTGAAAAGAAAATGATGCATTTTTTGCGTCGTGCTTTCAATCTTCATTCCATGAACTGACAAAAATGGCATGCTCAGCCAAAGCGGGCTTCTGATCATTTTTCGCCCGCACCTTGCTCACACTAACCGGACTTTCCGATTTGCAACATTTGGTGGATTCCGCGGCATCCACCGAGGCGGCTGCGTGGCCCAGCGGTTCCCGCCCACGCTCGGCCGGCGGTACACCCAGGTCTTCGCCCGTTTCGGGTGCGACGGCTGGTTCTTCCGCGCGTCGCGCACGCCCACCTTCGTCAGGAGCTGTTCCGTGATCGGGTCCACCTTCGTGCGCGGTCGATCGTACAAAGCCATCCGCGATCGCTCCTGGAAGTCGTAGGGCAGGCGCCGCCCAAACTGCTGGCGGATTTGGAACCACCGGCGGTCGCCGCGGAGCTCGTTGTGCTGATCGAGGATCAAATTTACGTCGTGGGCCTTGCAGCCCGCCTTCTCCGCCAGCAGTCGTTTCGCCTCGGCGCAAAACACCAAGCGGCAGTTGGACTGCAGCTCGCGCGGCGTCATAGCCCGGAGGACCCGAATGACCATGTCGCACTGGCGAAGGTCCATCAAAATGAAAAATCCCCCCTCGTCCCCATATGAAAATGGAAACTTCTGCTGCTGATTTGCGTACACAAATCCGACTTGTCTTGCACTAAGGCGCTGCGGCTAGATCCGCAGCCTAGGTGGGAGCGCGCAGGCCTAGCTGTTCAGCATTGCAAACGGCTACCCTCTAGGACCAACAGCATGCTAAATCGCTTCCACAATTGGGCGGATGCCTCTGCACTTGTCCTCTTGCAAGACAAACCTGATCTGTGGTCACAAATCAGCAACACAAATTTTCGGAAACATACCTTTTCAATATGGGGAGGGGGGATTTTTCCTCTCAGTAAGCTCCATCATCTGTTCCCGGGGCGGCAGCTCGCCGAAAAACCCCTCCTGCTTCTTCCGCTCCATATCAAATGCAAAAGTATCTGGGTCTGGAATGCTGCCGGGTTTGTCATGCATATTTTGCATAATCCGCGATGTCTGTAATGCATGGCCTAGCATCGCAGATTTTTAGTGGGCTTCCTGATGCCTATTCCGCATGACAAATGCCCTCCCCGCGTAGAACAAACTAGACTCCTCTTGCTGGTCATGCAATACAGATTTTTTTAGAGTCCAAAGTTAGCATCACAAGCTCCAACCTTCCAGACCCAGACATTTTTGCATTTGATACTCGAGAAACGTTTGCAACTTCGGTAACAGTTCGCGCATCTTGAGTTGGTATTCCAAGAACCGCGCGAACGTCCAAACCTCGCCCTCCATCAACACGGCGGTGAGTTTGGAAAAAAACTCCCGCTCGTTCAGCACTGGCCCGGTCGGGTTCACCTTGTCCCACGCCTCGCTTGCTTTCTCCGAGATCTGCTCCACGAGAAGGCTCTGCTGGTTCAGCGCGGTTTTCGTGGCCGCGGACACGCGGGCGAGGAGACCGGGAGTGGTAGTGGGACTGCTGGTGCTCGTGGTTCTCGATTCTGGGTCCACTTCGCCTAGCGATGAGCTTTCTTTCAAGCGTGATAAATTTTCCGCGCTTGTCTCCCTGGTTTTGTTCGCAGTTGTTGTACCGAAATCGAAAACACTTTCGTCTTCGAAAATGCTTCGCTGCGACTGCCCCGCCGAGCCAGCTTGTTCACTTCTTTCTGCAATCGCGCCCATTGATGATATATTCGAGTGAGTAGTAGCGCATTGGCGAGTGTATTCTGCCCTCTCTGCTGCGGACGGGATGTTCCTGAGCTCCGTGGGATCCGGAACGAATGGTGGGAAAATGCGGTCAGAAGACACCTTCGGATAGGAGAGCGACTGCCTTGTTTCACGCTGGTTTAAGGAACTATGTTCGGTCGAGGCAGCTGGGAAACCATGGATGTGCGCGCGCGGGTCGGTGCAAGCCATCACGTTCACGCCAAGCGACACACCAACGGCGCGGGGCCGGTTCGCCGCGGACAGGATGCTGCTCCGCTGTCTCGGGCGCGGGATATTGCAAATGCCGCGATGGACGGTGCGTGAGCTGGAACTAGAGCAATGAACGCAAGAAGTGGCCTTAGTGACCGCTGGCGCTTTTATGGCCATCATGTTTCGCTGCATCAGCGCTTTATTTAGCTGGAAAAGAAGTTGACAGCGATAAAATTGAGTGCGTCTACCCGACCAACGAACTGAAGTCAGCCGGCCCCAAATGGACAAACAGACGACCAGGGTCGCGGGGGCTACTTCTTCTGGTCCCACGGTCCCTCAATTCGAACACCAAATCCAACCGCCCAAGAAAAGTATGCGAACAGGTGTGGTCGCGCGAAGTCATGCTTCCACAGTTTCTTCTTTCTACCCCTTGTTCTAGCCTGGAAATATTATGGCGGCGGCAACATAACACAACACGCAAAGCGCAGTGCCGCGCCTCAGTCTGTGAGCGGCTTCGGCGCTGCCCCTGTGGGTGCTGATGATGGTGCGTAGCTTTCCCGTGATCGCGCAGACCCTGCGGGGGGCCGTAGCTGGCGCCCCTTCTTCGGTCCGCCCATTATTCTGCGACCGGCAGCCCGCCAAGCATCCGCGGGGCCTTGTACTTGGGGCGCCCCCATTGCGGGCTGGGGCCTCCTTTCCCGGGGCCGAGCTGCGCCCGCTCGCCCCCCCCCCCGAAAGGCTGGCACGCAGCAATGCGGGCGCGCGGCCGGCATCTACACACAAGCGAGCGCGGCGAATGCGCGGGGATCGCCAGCCGGCGGGGCGGAGCCCGGGGGCGCACCGCGGCAGGCAAGCGCGGCAGAAATAACGCACCACGATGGCCCCAGTCTCGTCTGCGTCAGGCGGCCAGGCCAAGCACGTCGCTGCCGGCATTCCTTTTGGGGTGGTGGAGCGGCAGCACGCTCATGCGCGCCACCAACTGACCGGCGCAAATTCCAAGTTTCCGTGGCGGCAATTTGACTCCCGCAAGCGTCGACGGTAGGCTGGGTCTGCACGGTGGCGGTGGGCTGGGTCTGCGCAGTGCTTGGCAGCCAGCAAAGAAACTGCCGGCGCGGCGCTTCCCGCTGCTTGCCAGTCTGTCTCTGGCCGGGCCGCCGACTTGCTTAACTTCCCCAGCCGTTCTACTAAGGCCCGCCGGCGATGAAGCTTTGGAAGCACTCAACAGCACGCCCGTGCGCTCCAGGGCGCAGCAGTATAGACGCCGCCCCCCCCCCGCCCAATGGGCGGAACAGCGAAGCGGCGGCCGACTGCTCCTCCCCGCCCTACCCACCCAAGGCACGCGTAGGGGGGCGGCGCTAGCGATGGCCACACTTCGGCGCGCCCACAATCCGGCCGGGTTGCAGGCTTCCAACGCCATCCAAGACCCAGCGCCCGGCGGCGGTGGGAGAACGGACAGCCGTCCGCCCCCCCCCGCCCCCGGCAGCGTAAAGCGAGAAGGGCCCCAGAAAAGCAGGCGCCGGCCATTCGTATTTGGGTGGCTGGCGGATCCCTTTGGGCCTTTACTTTGGGGGGCGCGCCCAAGTCATTAGCGTCGGCGGTATCTCACGCGACGCCCTACCCCCATTCGGTAGTGCATGGCTGGCCGCCTTCTGTCGGGGCCGGGGGCCGCACGCCTGCGTCGGCCATGAGACAGCGAACCGATCGGCGGGCGCCCCTAAAACACTGGCCGCCCTGGGCGGTTTTCAGTTGCGGCCGGTGCCGCTCTGCACTTCACCACACTAGGCGGGCCGCCGATCCACGCCCCGGGCCCACCGCAAGAGGGCTGCCGCGGGTGCTGGCGGCAGGCGCCAAAGCTGGAAGGCAACCCCGCGCGGGCTTTCCCGCCTTGTGCTGCCGGGCCAGGAAGAACGTCGCGGCCATTGCTGCTCGCACGCGGCCGCGTCGCGCGTGGGCCTTTCGAAGATTTCGGCCATCACGGGGAAGGGCATGACGCTGCACAGCTCGGGCGCCTCATGCGCTAGCTGGTGACTGCACAGCAGCGCGCGCAGTTGTTCACCCTCCCAGCAGTTCCGTTCGGGCGGACACGTAGCGCCAATCGCTTGCAACTAGTGCGGGCCAAGCTCGTCGCAGGAAGGCAGCAGAGACAGCGCGCGACGCTCGACCGCGTCGCCTATGGGGAGCGATTCCCCCCCTCACTCTCCCTACTTCTTTCCGCCCCAGCTTCTCGATGTCTGGCGCCTGCTGGATAGGCAAAGGGGCGCCGCCGCATTTTTTAAGCGCGCGGCCGCTCCCGGCGGCTGGCGCGCCCCCCCCCCGGGGGGGCATTGCTGGGGCATTTCGCACCCTGGCGAAGCCATGCGCCCCCGTCGGCAAGGGCCTGCCTCGGCGCCACTGTCGGCCACGCCGCTACACACTGAAAAAGAACAAGACGGCGAAAATTTGAGGGCCGCGAGCTGCGACTTCTATCAACGTCACCCGTTGATGAACACCTGATCCAGAAAAAGCTCCCGGCAAAGTTGAACAGAAAGCATAAGGCAAAATCTTATCTACAGACCGCCGCTGTTTCAGATCTCGGCAATTTTCTCCGTGCCTGCTGTTTCCATTTGTTTTTTGCTTGAAGCAATCCATCCTTCTTAGTGGACAGCTTTCTGCGTTGTGATTAGAACGTCGATATTAGATGCAGTGTTGTAATATTCGGCCAAGAATGTTGAGCCTCTTTGTGATTGTAGTATTTGTGTGCGTATCCCCAGTACAAGATTCTAAGTACATTCAAAAAAACCCTTCCCACCAGGACAATTTCCTCCCATCAAATTGAAATCTCATTATTTCCCTGGATCGTTGGCGTTCTGCGCCGCGATCTTGTTTTGCAACAGTGTGCACACCGCCTTGCTGAGCTTCGAGTTGTTGCTCCGGCACGCAACCCGGGCCTTTCCCCGGAACGCCCCAGACCCGATTTCCACGCGGCAAACCAGGAGATTGAGCACGGTATCGCTGGAAAACTTCGCCGCCAACACCAGATTGTCAGGGTTTGAATCCACGCCGGGGAGTAGCTTTAGCACGTCGCCCAAGCAAACCGCCTTAGCCAACGGGGCCAGCGAGGAGCTTTCTTGGAACCTGACATAATTATTGCAGAGATCTTCAATAAAAGTGATGCATCTCTTAATCTGCGTAAGTACGACTGGTGTTCAAGAGCAAAAAAAACAACCCGTTCTGTAAAAACGAGCTAAAACAGCTATACTTTGCAGCTATATCCACAACTGCACACTCCTCATTCACCGTGTAGTCGTGATCGCGCCAAACCCCGAAGAAATCCATTGCGCTCAACTCCAGCGGATCAAGGAACTTGTCGATGCTGAGGGGCAGGCGGACTTGTATTCTCCGTGGCGAATTATCAGAAAGCAGAAAGGATAATCGCAGTATCGGCGCTTCCAAATACGGTCCGACGCACGTTGCCGTCACGCGCTGCGAATGCTGCGTGCCCGCTTCTATCTGTCCAGGTGGGAGGTATTTCTATTTTTAGAAACCGGACACATTTGTCGCCGTCGCTTCATGTAAAAAATGTAAATCTCGACCTCAAGCAAAACGCTTTGATAAACTCTTTGCCCGTGGCCTTATGTAACAATATCAACACTTGAGAAAAAGCACTGAAATCTTCTTTACCATGGCCGGCGCGGTTGTCATGGAAAGCCGTAGCAGTGTGTCCTCCTTTATCGCATACTCCGTCTGAAAATTGTGAAAACTTATCTTCGCACTCTTGTTTCCGAAGAACAGCGCCAACTCGCCGTCGAGATCACGGTAACGGCTCTTGATACCTTGTCACATTACCATTGACATACCCATTTTGTTGCTGACGCAAGACAAACGTAGTACATACCACGTATTTTTAACAAGGACGAAGTTCGACATCGCCTCCATCCACGCTGCTACATGAGAATGCACTTCAAACGTCTCCCGGATAATCATAAGGCAGAAACGCGATACCAATCTGCATCAGATCGTCCTCGTAGAGCACCGCGTCGTCAAACATTGTCCTGCCCAAGCTTCCAACGGACGTGTCCAAGGCTAGGCGAGCTCTGCAAAGTGTTTTGGTTCTTTGCATAATTATAAGGTAATAACAATATTTTATCAATTTCAATCTATCGCGGAAAAATATCGGATAATTACGCAACGACTCCATTTCCAAACACACCAAATAAATCATTCGTACGATGGCGACGCCACGAGATTGGGGTTTCTTGACGGTGACGCGGGGAGCCACCCCTTCAACTGCTGACTAGCGGGAACCGAACCAGCCCCGATGCTGCGCGCGTAACCACCGGGTGAAGAGGACCCTCCGGGTGCCCCGGCGCCCCCGCCGCCGAACTCCGAGCCGCGCGAGTTATTATTTCCGAAGATGTGTTTCAGCTGTCGGAGCTCCTGACTCGCCTCGTTGTACATAATGGACAGTTGCGACAGATTTTTCTCCAGCTCGTTTATCTTCTTTTCCGCGCGCTCGAGGCTCTCCCCGAGCTTCGCCGCCCGGCTGCTCTCCGCGAGCCACATTTCTTTCGCGTGGGTGCTGATGTTCTCCCGCTCCCGGAGCAGCATCTCCAAACGCTGAATCTGGTATTAAATTTGAATGAGGAATGGCTTATATTGGATTTCTTTTTTTCAATCAACAACCACATGGCGCAGCATGATAGAGAAGATAAAATTGAAAAACATAAACTAACAGGTAACGATGAAATGAAATAAAATCAAAAAAATACATTAAAATTATATCTAACAAGTAACTCTTGCCTGTGCTTCTCCTGCAGTTCGAGTTCGTCGGGGGGGGGGGACCCCGGGGTCC